CAAAAATAATTAATACTAAACTGACAAGAAAAAGGGCAAACTATCCCAGAAAGTAAAAAGGGAAGTAAAAAGATGTGCAATTTTCATTAACAAAGAGTTCTTTTTTCGTCAGCGATTTCTGTTTTGTGTTTCTCTTTGAATTTTAGTTTTAACTCAAAAGGAAGGAGGAAATTAAGCTTTAAAAGACATAGGTTTGAGGTGCTTATTAGATAGGAATACATGTAGTCATAGAGAACAAATAGAGTTCAAGGCACTTGCTTTTCATGCTATGGTCATGTTTAACTTGTAAATAAATACTCTGGCACATTTTGGCATCAAGCCATTTGGAAATCACATATGTACGTATGTCAGTGAGTGTGTGATGCTATGTATATAGAGCATGCAGTGGCCCAGAATAAGGCTGTCGAATGGAAGTGTTATGTCAACACCCCCTGCAAGCCACAACTCTCTGCCCAAGTGGGCCTTCTGCGTGGGTGGAGTACCAGCAAGTTAAAGTGTTTAAATTTCCTCTGCTCCACAAACTGAGACTAACTTTGCACCACTTGATGAAGTGTCAGTATTGAACTTAGTAATCAGATCATGTTCAGTTTCAGAAAACTTTATTGATCCCAAAAGGGCAATTCATTTGCAGCTTTTTAAGAGCAGCTCACACATACATAAAATCACATGTCAGTCCATTCCAGTCACAGTGGAACCCAGATCGAACCCTTACAAAATATAACACACTATGCGATCAGAAGATGCCTCCCCTAGAATTCAATAATTTAATGGCGGAGGGCACAAAGGTGTTCATAAACCGGTTAGTTTTCCTAGCTGGAGCATAAAACCGGCGCCCCGAGGGCATCAGGACAAACTCTGGAGTCAGAGGATGGAGGGGTTGAGCCAGGAGACACTTTGCTTTACTCATCACCTGCTGCTCCCAGAGAGAATGCAAATATCAGAGTACATGCAAATCACTGGAACAGACAACAGTTTTGAGCAGTATGAAATGACCACATGAAATGAAGTAGTAAATTGCTGAAGTGCACTGAATCATTTGTGGATTATTTGTTCCAATAAATATAGGGGGGGGGGTTTGAAGCTTGCACAGTTTATAGTAGACATCTGTGTCATATTAATTTGGATATCACAGCCAGTAATGAGTTTTAAATTTGGAGAAGCACTGAAATGTCACTGGTGTATAGTTACAGGGTATACAAATCTCAGATATCGGAAATAAAACTCAGCCTGGTGATGTCTCCTTTGAGGCAAGGCTAGTATTAAATATCTCCTGGGAACAGCCTGTCAGAACGATAGCCAGCATGTATAATTTAACACCAAAATAATATTCCTCACTAATGTCAGCAATGTTTTTGCCGGATGAATGAACATTTTTTGACAGGTTATTCAATGAGAGGAGTTTAAATAGTAAATAACTGAAAAGTGGGATAGGCAAAGTTTGGGATCTTGTTGAGAAGCAACTTGCATTCAGAGAATTTGCAAAGACCAGGCTTATCATTTTCCATCTTACCAGCAGATCACAAGGTATTACCATGGTCAAAAATAAATTTATCCAAGGGGCAGGGGTGGGTGGACATTAGGGGAGGGGGGGGTTATGATTCTTATTTGGCATAGAGAGATGGATATATTTATAGCAGACATTAAGATATGTTGTTAACACCATAACTGAAGTTGAAAGACTATTCATTAATTACCCAGCTCTTTTAGATAAAGCAATTTTTGACTGCTTGGTTTCGATAAGAATTTTAAATCTGTGGCCCATATTTTACCTTTCCTCTCATGGGGGGATTTTCATTTTAGAGTTTAGACATACTGTGTCCATGAATATTTGCAGATTGTGAAAGAGTCCAAAGAGACTAATGCATCCATAAGCACCCATAAGCAAAAAAGACCACCAGGAAACTGACTTCTATTCTACTGCTATTCACCACTACTACTGCTAGTGTCTGACAAAAGGTTTTGTTAGCACACAGACTGGAAGACCTTTGCGTACAGTGTTCACCAAAAAGATTTATATTAAAAAGAGAAGTTATATATTTTACTGAGGAGCATCAAGGCGTCAGCTTTTGTACTGGCTCTGTACAGAGCAAGCGCATGGGAAGATTGAATAGTATGTAATATCACAAAAACTTTTTTCCAATCAAAAGTATATTTTCTGCATAGCTATGATGCGTATTATTTTAAAGTTGATGCGTTTTTTTTTTTAAATGTACATTTTATGGTATTTTTGAACAAATACCTTTCCCCTATTGAGCCCTTAATCCTATCTTTGTATGTTAACCTGATTTTGATTTTCGTTTTTAGAATGCTAACAGAAGAAAAGGCAGATACACCCCAGTGTGTTCTAAAAGCAATAGCAATGACTTATGAGCGAGCTTAAAAAAAGGGAACATATCACTGTCAGGCTTTTTGAGTAAAATAATTGTGTCATCTCACTTTTGGGGGAACACTGGCTATAGAGATGATGACAGGGATATCTTGAAGCCTCAAGGATCTTGTTTTGTTAGCATCATGCTACCTTTGAAAACAAGTCAGATGGCCACATAAAGTTAGTGGTGAAGATCATGACCACATGTCCTCAGAGGTCAGTTGTGATATGGCCTTGACTATAAGGCCTTGACTCAAGGCTTATAGTAGAAGAGATCCTGTGCTGAGGTCATTCCAGCAGGAAAAAGGGGAATACAATGCATAGCCGCCGTTGTGGTCTTTGGGTCTGGAAAAAAGTTGTGATCCTCTTTGGCTTCTGACCCAATTATTTTGGCGTGAGGTAACCTGCACTTTTCGCTGCCAAAGGCTGGGTAAGAAGAATACATAGACATCCTGTATCTCAATAGTTCTCAGTTATACAGTGGTAGTCACTGAGATACCTTAAGCCTGCTTTACAGAAAGCTGAGCAGGAGATGGTCACTGCTTAGACAAAGGCTTTTACAAAGGTCTGGTAGTGCTGTGTGTTTTTTTGTGCAATTAAATTTCGAAAATGAATAAATCTATACAATGAAAGCTTCCAAAACAAAAAATCTTCTACTCTCAGGGGTTATGTGACTGTCACTACTGTTGTTAATGTTTTTCAGCTTGGTGATCCACTTGGCATTTGCAGAACTCTTGATTCCCTTTTTTTATACTTTAAAATAGCCCTAAGTGGAAGTGAGGTAGGGACCTGATGTAAACAACTAAATTTTATTTGAAGTATTTCAATGTTTCACTGGCTGATTTTGATTTGTGCACCAGCAAGCTTTGATCAAAAATAGAAGTCTGCCAACTTCTGCTATTGGCATTCTTAATATGGTATGATATGTGTTGTGAGAGGGATATCAGATTTTGGAGGGGGTCCGAGTTTTTTATTTGGTAACTGACCAAATTTTCAATTAGGATAAGGTTGTAGCTACAGCATGATCAAAAATAGAAAGGTATCTGCTAGTCTGGCCTCATATGTCAGTCTGCATGACCTGACAACAGAGTCATCTAGATATAGGGTTATACAGAAGGTGTTATGCTATGTAGTTGGTTAGTTATGCACTCTTGTTTGGTATTATTATTTTGATATAATTTTCACTCAAGGGAAATGGGAATGCGATTTAGCATTGTTTGTTTACTTGTATGATGTATATGCACAGATGTTTAATTTCTGGTGGAAGTGGTAGACTGATCATTCTGTTAGAGAGTTTATTTGTCTGGATATACAGTTCATACTTAATGTAGAGTAAATTACTTAATTTATAATAAACTGCTTGAAGTGTGAGTCATAAAATTTGTAGCTTTCTGCCATTCTTTAGCTTCTGGTTGTACACTTTATTTGCTTTGAAATGCAAAACTGCATTTAGTTGTTAATTTCAGCATAAAGAGTGAAGATATTAGAGTGTCACCAGCACAGAGCATAATGCTAACCAATCCTCAGACTCACAATTTGTACAACTGTAACACTCTACTGATATTGATTTATGGATATTTGAAAGTAAATCAGCTGTTTGTATGAAGAATTTACACTTCAAGTACTCTAGGTATATTTATTATGAGAAACCTATTTTATTAATATAGAGCTCAGAGTGACCTTTAAAGCTATACAAAAGTCTCACATGGATGTCATCACCAATATTTGATGGTAAAGTAAGTAGATGGCACTGTCTTCCATGGAGTGTTGCTACTGATATTGTCATGTAGAGAGAGCTTCGAATATATGAAGCCATTAAGTGGTGTCCATCTTAGTTTTGATAGAGAATCCTGACGTAAATAAGTACAGAAATTAATGTTGTGCTTATTGTTTCTTACTGTGACTGAGCCATACTGAAGCATTAACTGTTAAAGTTATTAGGGGAACCTTTTGGGTTTTTTTTAGTTGTAATTACTGCTGACATTTTAAAAATAAATAATTTTAAATTTCAAGCCATCATCAGAATGAACGATGATGGCTGGATGGAAAATGGCCTCACACCCTGTTCACTGGCTCTTACAATCTTCGTCTGTACATTATCCATTACTTTAAAATAAAACATGACAATTCAACACTGTGCTGTATCTATAAAAGTGCAATGCTGTGTCTTGTGGATTTTGTGTCATGATCTGAAAGTTTCTAAGTGGAAAAGATGAACTTTTTCTGACAGGACCAATGTTTTACTGTGGTAAATATATTAAAGATCAAGATTCCCTGATTGTGATTTATGTCAAAAGCAGCTAAAAGGATCAAATTCTACATGGAAAAGACAAGACTATGCCCAATGAGTGTGAATGCAGTCATGATAGATGTCTGTTATCATAGATTGGAGCTGTCAGAACCTGCTTGCTAATCTAGTGCCAGACAAATGCAGTCATACCAGGCAAGTTCACTGACCCAGTAACTCTAAACTGCTGTGTGGAGCACAGCACAAACAAGAGAAAAAAATAAATGATACCAAGTAACACTGTTCAATAATCAAGGCTCAGTTTATTGACAGCATATGAAGACACCTTAACAGCTTGGTCATATTTTATGAATGCTGTTAAATTCTCCAAAAGGGTGTTGTCTTCTATTCAGCACTGTCGGACTGGAAAAAAGCAAAATAAATTATTATTCAGCTCTTACTTTTGGTATTAAAGGCCCAGTGCCCACTAAATATATATTTAATAAGTTAAGTGGTTACCTTTCCAACATCACGGCTCTTGGCTCTCAGCTTGTTGACCTGGGACTCAGCAATGTCAGCGCGCTCCTGAGCTTCCTCCATCTCATGCTGAACCTTTCTCAGTCTGGACATGTGAGTGTTGGCCTGCTCCTCCTGCAAGATGTAAATGTATTTTCTTAATTTCTTATTCATTTTCTGTTTAGTCCCCACACAAGATCACAGAAAAATTCACTTACAGCCTCCTCAGCCTGTCTCTTGTAAGCCTTGACTTTGAGCTGCAGTTTGTCCACCAGATCCTGAAGTCTGAGAACATTCTTCTTGTCTTCCTCAGTCTACATGGAAAAACAAATTGTTAGCAATGATGTGTACAAATATATACAACTCATGTTATTTTGTTTTAATATTTAATTACCTGGTAGGTCAGCTCCTTCACTCTCCTCTCATATTTGCGGACTCCCTTCACAGCATCAGCACCACGTCTCTGCTCTCCTTCAACTTCAGTTTCCAGCTCACGCACCTAATGTGATAATGAACAACCCAAGTTTAGTACAAGGGATTTAATGCAGGTAATAAAAGTCTGTTGAAGCTATAAGGGAATCTTTTAAATACACTTTATCCTAAGGTGCATACCCTGGACTCCAGTTTCTGGAGCTGCTTCTTGCCACCCTTCATGGCGAGGTTCTCAGCCTCATCCAGACGGTGCTGCAGGTCCTTGACAGTGACCTCCAGGTTCTTCTTCATCCTCTCCAGGTGAGCACTGGTGTCCTGCTCCTTCTTCAGTTCCTCAGCCATCATGGCAGCCTGAGAAGTTGATGGGTCAAAATAACAAAGTTATAGTTTAGATAGTGTGTTAAAAATTTTGTACTAGAATTTAAACTGATAAGTAACTGAAACACAAACTCACATCAGTGATAGCCTTTTTGGCTTTATCCTCAGCATTTCTAGCCTCTGAAACGGAATCATCCACCTCACCCTGAACCTGGACCAGATCAGACTCCAGCTTCTTCTTGGTGTTGATAAGACTGGTGTTCTGAATGATAGAGAACAGCAGTGTTCAATAACTTTGTTCAAGGCATATTCAGATGCTTAACTTTTTTGATAGAGAAATGTAAACCTGAGAGTGGAGCAGTCCAACACGCTCACTGGCATCAACCAACTCCTGCTCAGCCACTTTGCGTCCTCTCTCTGTCTGCTCCAGAGCAACTCTCAGCTCCTCAATCTCAGCCAGCATCAGACCATTTCTGCGCTCCACCATGGCAACCTGCTCCTTCATGTCCTCCTGTCCTCTGACAGCATCATCAAGATGAAGTTGGGCATCCTGAAAACATTAGAAGAATAAATATGCCAAGTTTTTTTTTTCTATTTCTCATGAAAATTTTCACCTAAAATGATGTAAAACTCACCTTGAGTTGTCCCTGGACATTCCTCAGTTGTTTCTGGGCCTCAGCAGCCTGCCTGTTAGCATGGCTCAGCTGAATCTCCATCTCATTCAGGTCACCCTCCATCTTCTTCTTGACTCTCAGGGCATCATTCCTGCTCCTGACCTCAGAATCAAGAGTGCTCTGCATGGAGTCCATCACCCTCTGGCTGTTCCTCTTGATCTGCTCCATCTCCTCATCTTTCTCTGACAGCTTCCTGTCAACCTCACCCTTGACCTGGTTAAGCTCAAGCTGAACACGAAGAATCTTGGCCTCCTCATGCTCCAGTGTACCCTTCAAAAGTCACACAAATACTAAATTGACTCAAGGAGGAAAAAAATCTGATTGAAAGATGGTTTTATACTATATATGATGGTGTGATATATCATAGACGATTACATTGCAATCAAAGTTTTACCTCTGCCTCCTCCAGTGCTGACTGAATTTCAGCCTTCTCTGTCTCAGTGGTCTTCTTTGATTTCTCCAGCTCATGGATGGTCTTTCCTGTGTCTCCAATCTGTTCAGTCAGGTCAGAGATCTCCTCTGGAGAGAAATTACAGACCGCATATAGTTAAAAATGAACAATAGATTCTGTGACACAACACTTTAAGGAAAATATTAAACAGGGTGATTGGTTAAGAATTTAAAGTGAAAGGGGGGAATAGTTAATTTTTAGAGTTATGTACTGTATATGCAAATAATAATAATAGTAATAAACAAGCATGAATGACTTGCACCAATGTCAACAGTACTGAAACCATTCAGGTAATAAAGCGTAGTTTGTAAAAGCAAGAGAAGTGACATTTTTTAATTGTAGTTGGATGACTTACGCTGGAGGTTCTTGTTCTCTCTCTTCATGGTCTCAAGGTGATCCAGAGCCTCCTCATATGAGTTCTTCATCTTGAACAGTTCAGTACTGAGAGAGCGAGCCTCCTTCTGGGCTCCTTCAAGCTCTGCCTGGCCCTCCTCATACTTCTGTTTCCATTCTGCCAGAACCTTGAAAGATACAGATGAATTCAAAATATTACTTCCATAATTTTGGGGGACGAGGTGGACTAGCCTAACATTGTATGAAGTTAATTTCACACTCTAATACCTTGTCAAAGTTCCTCTGCTTCTTGTCAAGGTTGGCAGCCAGAGAATTAGCTCTCTCTACATCAATCATGAGGTCCTCCACCTCACCCTGCAGCCTCTGCTTGGTCTTCTCCAGTGAGGCACACTTGGAGTTCACAGCCTCAATGGATTCCTCAGCATCCTGCAGACGCTGGGCAAGCTTTTTCCTGAAATGAATAAGGTTTTGTTTGTGTTTAATGGACTAACAGAAAATAAAAAATTCCTTTTTTAATGGGAAATAGTCAAAAATGCTTGATGTACTTTGATTCCTCAAGCTCCTCAGTGCGCTGGATAGCATCAGTCTCATATTTGGATCTCCACTGAGCCACCTCACTGTTGGCCTTTGACATTCCCCTCTGCAGCTCGGCCTTGGCCTCCTGCTCCTCCTCATACTGCTCTCTGAGAAGATCACAGTCATGGCGTGCTGACTGAACAGCATGGGCCAGGGCGTTCTTGGCCTGTTGAGTGAAGATAAATTGAAAACTTTGAAAGCTGCATGTGGGAGCAATATCTCCTCAAATTTTAACGACAGTTGTGTAATTCTTAACAGGATTCGTGAATTCTTAAGGTAAAGTCACTTGTTATACCTTCACTTCCTCCTCAACGTGCCTCTTCAGCTCCTCAATCTGCTGAGTAAAGGCCTGCTTGCCCCTTGTCAGCTGTGAAACCAGAGCTTCTTTCTCCTCAATCTGCCTTGAATACTCGCCTGAATGACAAAATATCAAAATATTTGTGATTGGTGAACAAAGGTGAGTTTTAAAGAGTCTACATCACACATCAATGAGTCTACATCACTGACAATCTTCCAACAAAGTCGCATTATAGTTCACTAACTCACCATTCTCTGTCTGCAGTCTGGCCTTCTGTGCACTAATGTCATTCAGCTGGCGGACATTCTCATCGTTTTTGGCTTTGAGCTCACTCAACTGATCCTCAACAGTTCTGCACATTTTTTCCAAGTTGCCCTGCACCAAACAAGAACATGAAGTATTTAAAATGTATATTTTTTCCTACAAAGCTGCTGTTATATACTGTATATTAGTCAGAATGTACTGTTCTTATTATTTGATGGACATAGCCTTGCCCCAAACAAAATCCACACCTTGGCTTTAGCAACACCCTCCATGTTGCTGGAGAGGTCGTCAATCTCCATCTTGTACTCGCTCTTCTCTTTCTCCAGCTTCTGTTTGACACGCTGGAGATTGTCGATCTGCTCTCCCAGCTCTGCAACACTGTCAGCCTGCTTCTTGCGCAGAGCTGCAGCGGTAGCTTCATGCTGAAGGGTGGACTCTTCAAGATCACGACGCAGCTTCTGGAACTCAGCCTCACGCTTCTTGTTCATCTCAATCTGAGCAGCTGTTGCTCCACCAGCTTCCTCAAGCCTCTCGCTGATCTCCTCAAGCTCCCTGGAGAGATCAGCCCTCTGCTTCTCCACCTTAGCCCGAGCAGCTCTCTCAGCCTCGATCTCTTCCTCCAGCTCCTCAATACGAGCCTAGTTGTTGATGACAATATATCAAAGAGGCTTACTAAATGGAAAGTAATGTATTGTATATATCATCCTGGGTCCACTGTGTAAGTCAAAGATGTACCTGGAGCTCCTTGATCTTTTTCTGGAGCTGGGCACCAAGGGACTGTTCATCCTCAATCTTGCTGAGGAGCTGGCTGGTCTCAAACTCCTTCCTGTACAAGACAACAGGAATTTTTTAGCATTATACCCCAAGATGACAGTAGTCAAGATCACTGTAACTCATCATGGAAAAAGTAAACTTTGCATTTAATTCAACAAAATTACTTCTTGATTTTCTCATCAGATTGCTGTTTGTCATTTTCCAGATCCATTATGGATTCCTGGGCCAGTTTCAGATCTCCCTCAAGCTTCCTCTTTGACCTCTCAAGGTCCATGCGGAGCTTCTTCTCTTGTTCCAGAGATCCTTCAAGCTATCAAATTAGAATTAAGAAAATTAACTGAAGTTTATCTTAAGAGAGATAATAATGCCAAGAGTCATTCATGTTATAAGGGGTCAAACCATAAAAGCAGTTACTGTCTTACATCGTCCACTTGCTGTTCCAGCTTGGTCTTGGCTTTGGTCAGAGTGTTGACTTTGTCCTCCTCTGCCTGGAGATCATCCAGGGTTTGCTGGTGGCTCTCTTGGAGGGCTTTCTTCTCCTTTGTTAACTTGGCAAGAGACTCATCCTGAGATGCCATCTCCTCTGTCAGGTTTTTCACCTTAACAAGGAAGAAAAGTATGCATTTTTTAAAAACATTCTATTTCCTTCCTTTTATTGATGGTATGATTATATTTTTTGACCAGGATGTACTCAAAAAATGTGAACCTTGTTTTCTGTGGCGTGTTTCTCCTTCTCCACTTTGGCCAAGGTGAGCTCCAAGTCATCAATGTCTTTCTTGAGCTCAGAGCATTCATCCTCCAGTTTCCTCTTCTTGGCAGTCAGCTCAGCATTGATTTCCTCTTCATCCTCCAGTCTCTCACTTGTCTCTTTGAGTTTGGCCTCGAGCTGGATCTTGCTCTTGATGAGTCCCTCACACCTTTCCTCAGCATCAGAGAGGTTCTCAACTTCCTATAGTACATTTTGAGATTGTTATATTCATTTAATTTAGACTTTTAGATAGAATTTGTTTTTATTATTGGTTTTGTAAATTTTCTTGAATAATTTTAGGAAATTAAAATTACATACATATTTTAAAATAGTACCAAAGAACTAAATCTATATGTTAAAAAAGTGCAATGGCTGTTTTTGTACTCACAGCTGCTACTTGCAGTTGCAGGTCATTCTTCTCCTGCAGCATGGCAACCATCTTTTCCTCAAGTTCCTTCTTCTTGGCCAGGGCAGTAGCCAGGTCTGACTTCATTTTGTCATAGTTTTCCTTCATCTGCTGCAGCTCTTTCTCAGTCTCAGCACTCTTCAGGAGAGGCTTGATCTTGAAGTAGAGTTTCAACCATGGCCAATTCTTCACATTCATGAAGGATCTGATGTTGTACTGGATGGAGTAGATAGATTCTCTGCAAAAAGGGAAAAGTGCCAATTCTTTAACATGACTGCAGTTGAAAAATACCTGCAAATAATTTGGCAGTTTGAGTAAGTGTGCCCCTAAAAAGCCTACCTCCTCTCCATCATCTTCACAAACTCCTTCCTCATGACATATCCTCTGCAGAGAGCCTGAGTCATGGTCACCAGCGTAGCCAGTTTGTCATCTCTCATCTCCTCCAGGGTACCCAGCAGACCGGCTTTGAAGAACACCTGTGTTGTGTTATTAGTGAAGATATAAGCAACAGCATATACTATACCACAGCTAGTGAAATATCATTGTCCATGAAAACGAACCTTAGTGTGTCCAAACTTGTACTGAGTGTGGTCCACATCGATGGAGCCCAGCAGCTTCTCAGAAGCTTTCTTGTTGTCAATGAACTGACCCTCAGGGATGACACTGGCATTCAGTACTTTGTATCTATAAGATTGAAAAACACAATTTTTAATATATTAACTTTCCACCTTTGCCATTTCTCAACCTCATGATTCTACCCCGAAAAGTTACCTCTGCTTGAAGTCACCATAGAGGATTCTGCTGGGGAAGCCCTTTCTGCAAATTCTGATGCCCTCCAGCACACCGTTACACCTCAGCTGGTGGATGACCAGGTGGTTCTCCATAAGACCTAAAAGATATATATTCATATCATTCAAAGATCACAGCTTTAGTGTGTGTCATTCTCAAAATAGAATAGAATGGCAGCACTATGGGCTTACCTGGAGTCTTAGTTTCATTGGGAATCAAGCAGCGCACAAAGTGAGGGTGAGTGCTCCTCAGGTTGGTCATCAGCTTGCCCAAGTTCTCCTGGTTATCAGTATGACAGAAATAAATATGAACTTTATGTCAACACGAGGCTTTTCATTTTACTATTGTTTTCTTTTGACATGAAGCAGTAATTACCCTGAAGAGAGCAGACACAGTCTGGAAGGAGCCACCCTTCTTCTTACCACCCTTTTTGGCACCAGCAGCCTCTGTTTGAGAGCAAAAGAAAGAATTCACATGATTTTACATGATAACATGATTTTACTGGTTTACTGATTTTCTGGTGAATGCATCCATGTTCCTGTCTTGGAATTAGATAATGTTAAGCAAGTTTGGGAAGAAGCTATCATCCCTTACTCAGTTATCTTTTGAATTCTAACTAGAGGTTTCTGTTTTGGATGAAACTACAAAAATACCACTAAATTACCTTTTCTTGTACTCATCATCCATATCCAAAATCTTTTTGTTATAAATGACCATATAAATGACTAGATTACTTTTATTTTCAACAGTTATGCAATCTTACCTTCTCCACCGTGGGTTGCATAAAGCATGGCCAACAGTTTGTTGGCAGACTTCTGGTAGAGCTGAACAACAGAGTCGTTCAGGGGGTCCTTGTTCTTGTCCAGCCAGCCAACAATATTGTATTCCACTGTGCCGGCATAGTGAACCAGGGCGAAGTGAGCCTCAGCTTTGCCCTTTCCAGGCTTTGGTTTCTCAAAGGCCTTGGTCTTGCCAAGATGCTGATCATGCAGCTTGTTCTTGAAAGTTGTGTCAGAGGCCTTGGGGAACATGCACTCCTCTTCAAGGATGGAGAAGATGCCCATTGGCTGAAAGGAAGTTGAGTCAACTGTTTATTTTCACTGTAAATAATAATCAAGGTGAGTGGACATCTGTCTGTTAATTATGAATCAGGACTGCTGGACAAATCACTAACCTTCTCAATAAGCTCAATGCAGGCAGCCAAGTCCATACCGAAGTCAATGAACTCCCAATCAATACCCTCCTTCTTGTACTCCTCTTGCTCCAGGACGAACATGTGGTGGTTGAAGAACTGTTGCAGTTTCTCATTGGTGAAGTTGATGCAGAGCTGCTCCAAGCTGTTGAACTGTATCACAAAGAGACATTTGATTATACGGCATCTTAAAACCAAGATTTCATATTGTTTTCATATTTTTTTACCACTCACATCAAAGATCTCAAAACCAGCAATATCCAAGACGCCAATGAAGAACTGTCTTGGCTGCTTTGTGTCCAGCATCTCATTGATACGGATGACCATCCACAAGAACATTTTCTCATAGACAGACTTGCACAGTGCACTGACAGAATTGTTGACCTTGAAATAAGGAAAAGATACACAATTAATAAGAGAAAATACAACCTTGAATGAATAATGGTATATTTGTTCTTGATTTCATTTTTTCATTACCTGTGGGACGGTCTGACCTTTGGTCACCATCTCATTTCCGACCTTGACTCTTGGGTAGCACAGAGCCTTCAGCATATCAGCTGAGTTCAGACCCAAGAGGTAGGCGATTTTATCAGCCACTGATAGAGAAATGAACAAGCACAAAAAATACACATTACCTTGTGTAAGCAAACTCTACGTATCAGGATACTTACATGATCACAATGCATTATTGTTGCAATTACCCTCAGTGCCATCAGGCTCAGCCTGCTCCTCGCGCTGCTTCTGCTTGAATTTCATGTTGCCATGATGCATCACAGCGCCAGTCAGCTTGTAGATACCATTTTTCTCTTCAGCAGTGAAGCCCAAAATATCAATAGCAGTCTGCAATGTGTAGAAAGAAAAGTGATTGGTATCTAAAACCTTTTCCTCTGTATATCATCTATATTACTAGATAGTAGTCTTACATCAGTAGCAACGAACTCCTCAATATCATCAATGCTTTTGACAGTGATTTCACCCTGGCTGATCATTGGGTAGTCATAGGGGTTGGTGGTGATCAGAAGGGCCTCTGAAAATCAAGAAACACAGCACATGAAGTTTTCTGGTGATATTCTTTTAAGTATGTCTGATATCATCTATTAAACATACCCAGGAGCTCGGGCTTGTGGCCTGTCATCAGCTGGTAGAAGATATGGTAGCTCCTCTCAGCAGACAACTGGAAGGTTACACGGGACTTCTCCAGCAGATCTTAGAACAACAAATTAAGTCCCGTTTACAATGTGTCAGCAAATGTTTCTTAAACTTCTTCTCTAATACAAGTTTACATTCAAAGATTGGTGACTGAGATAACAGAGAAATTACTCACATGTTTCAATGTCAGCTGAAGCAAGTTTGCCTGAGGTCCCAAAGTGAATTCTGATGAATTTACCCTAAGGAAATAAGTTTTGAGTTTTTATAGACATAGTTGTAGTAAAGTCATTACTGATCTTATGCATGTGCGTTTCCATTAAAAGACTTACAAAACGAGAGGAGTTGTCATTCCTCACAGTCTTGGCATTACCATAAGCCTCCAGCAGAGGGTTGGCTGCAATAATCTGATCCTCCAGGGAACCCTGCAGCAATATTTTAAGATGCATGTTGCTGTTTGTTTATGATTATTATTATCTTCTGTTTGTGATGGTTTTTACCTGCATTTTACCAGCTACAGGCTCGGCCTTCTTAGATCCAGCTCCAGCGACTGCAATTGTTGCAAAGTACTGGATGACACGCTTGGTGTTGACAGTCTTTCCGGCACCGGATTCTCCACTGGTTAAGAAGAGACAAATAATTTACGTTCTGCCACATTATGATTAAGTTTATAGAAATAAAGCAGCACAGCTTCTTTTGTACTCACGTAATCAGGACAGACTGGTTCTCACGATCTAAAGAACAAACATATGCACTTTGTGTGAGTAACCTTTAAATGGTTCTTTTGGTTATCTCACCTAAATCTTTACTTCCATTGACACAAACTTCAATTCAAATGGTGTTGTTCTTACCAGTGAGCATGAACTGATAGGCATTGTCAGAGATGGAGAAGATGTGGGGTGGAGCCTCAATCCTCTTCTTGCCTCTGTATGCCCCAACAACCTGACTATCGTACACTGGAAGCCACTTGTAGGGATTCACGACGACACAGAACAACCCAGAGTAGGTCTGTAGAGTACAAACATAATGTTAACATATGATTATGGTCAAATTCATGTAAATACTTGGATTCATCGAGTGGATTATTCAGAAAACTTACGTAGATCATCCATGATGCATAACGCTCTTTGAGGTTATACAGCACACAAGGCTCATTGAGGTGGGTCATCATGGCCATGTCCTCAATTTTGTCATACTTGGGAGGGTTTCTGGGATGGATGTCATCCTCTTTTACGGTAAGACTCTGTATGAGACATGCATCAACCAATTTTAATTCATAGTTCCTGTAAATGATGAACAAAAAGTCACTCTTCTGGTCTTAGACAGACATCTTCAACATGGATCACCTACCTTACCACTGTCTGTGTCAACTGTGGCTTTGCCCCCCTCTTTCTTGACAAGTTTACCCTTAAGGTACATCTCCTCAACATCAACCACAAAGTAAGCTGTCTTTGCATCGAAAGGAGCTGTTTGTGCCTCAATCCTCTCCCTCTCTGGCTTCCGGAGGAAGACGGCCGCCGGGCCATACTGCTCCATCTCCGCATCTGTGCTCATGGTGGCACTTGAGACTAAAAAGATTAAATTGTTAATATATCTTTCTAGTGAAGTAATCTTTTTCAATTAGGCGTGAAATGAAAATTATTCATGACATTTACCTTAGCTCTTCCCCCACAAGTAAAAAAAAAAGGTTGCCGCAGTCTCCGGTGGAGTCTTGAGATGCTAGCATAGGGTGTTAGAAAAACCAGCACAGTTAAATGTTTGATAGTAATAAGGAAGAAAAAATGCTAATATGCTAAGACTAATTTTATGAATCATTTAAGATCACTTTTTTCCTTCATTGTAAAGTCCTCGACAGTCAGAGAAGTACTCTTGCTTTTTATAATCATTACATATACATCATGAGCATTCCATGTTTTACATGTGCTCAGTGTATATAGAGCTTTTGGAGAAAGACAGATTAAATGTCTTCACCACATATGGAGAACTATGGTGAGCATATGTATTCTTAAATCTCAGGACTTTCATAGTAAATAAGCCACATTAACTTTACGGACTAATCAGCAAGCTTAAAAACTGCACCCACAAGTGAGACACCTACCTGTGATGGAGGCCTACCAGTTCATGTGGGAGTCCAGAGCTGTCTCTTATATAGAGGGTGGGAGTGCCTGATCAGCAGTAGTGTCTCGCTCAGTTTGGTCATGGCCTGTTTTGAGTCTGTTGCTTATTTCGTGGTAGCACTGTTTCAGGATGTGGTGTATAAATCAATGTCACAAAATTCTCCAAGACCACATGGCGCACAGTGTTATACCAGTTTGCCTAATTTTTTAAAATTTTACTGTGTCCTTGTATGTGACTCACAAAATGCAGGTAAAAATAAAATGAAATGAAGCTCTTTTTAGCCCATACATTAGAATTGGCATAAAAGTTTCATTCTTCAAACACAAAATATGCTAATCAGCCAAATAAGGCTACAGTTTCTGCAGAAATGAATGTTAAATCAGTGGGAAGGGAAGAAGGAGGTGCTTTTGCATTTCAGCCCTAAATCATCATAGGGACTATCAAACTCTCTGCTTCATATATTGGTCCACTACTGCCTCCAAGTGCAGGCATGACAGTAATTAAAAAAATCAGTGTTATTTATTTAATAATATTGAGGTTAAAGAAAGTAAACTCTTCTTTCACACTAATATAACACATGAATTTATTGATTAATGATTTTAATCCTTGAAATACAGTGACTTGTTTCAAACATGGGAAGGAAATATGTTTGGTATTACATTTTTCATAATTTATTTCTAAAAACTGTTATTGTGCTTATGAAAGTTAGATAATGTATTTGTATGCGAATATTACATGAAGATAAAATCCTAAAAACTTTTATCAATAGCTTTTAATGGCCCTCTATGACCCTGTTAATCCCAGGGAAACACCTCTTTGTAGCATGAATGAAGCAGATCTGTTTTTGTGCTATGTTTGAAGCATGCAAAGAGCTTGGATTTGGAAATGTCCCCAAATGTTTGTGGTCTACAGTTACATGAGACTTGCACATCTCATATTCCTGTAATAAAATTAAAGATGAGGTACTATCCATAAAAGTTTAACTGCTTGTATCAGGGTCACCCTAAATGGACATGGAACTAGTTGGCATCTCTTTAAGGATCAGGCCCAAAATAAGTTCCACACCAGACAAAATGAATTTAATCCAGTTGCTGAATTTGATACCAAGAAGGTGACGTCTATTAAAGAGCAGGAATATCCTGGTACTAATGTCTTAAACTTTTGACTCAAATGTGCAAACCACAAAAACTGTAGATATAAATTGTACAATTGATAATGTTTGAAGAAAAAAAGTTAAGTTAAAAAAAAATAAAAATAAAAAACACTTTAGTCTGAGCCTTTTCTCAAACTTATGTTAAGATCTTTGGTGCCAGGTTTATGAGGTTCAAACATTTCAGTGGACAACACAAATATTCCCTATTACTTTTAAACATCTTCTCTGCCTCTCAACATCAAACCAAAGCTACAGGTGTATAAGGCTGATGTTTAAACACCTAATTATTTCAGTGTTCTTATTGCCCTTCACAGCAGCACTGTTGCTGTTATTGTTGTGTGTGTGTTAAGTGGGTGATTTTGTGAACTTGAAAAGGGTTTTGCTTTGTAAAATATGGCTGCAAGAAGACTGGATACTGGATACTCATGAAGCTAAATGTCATTTATGTAAAATCAGTTTAGTACCATCTTACTTTGGTGAGTAAATTCTAAATATCATAAGTCAGACCTATACAAGCCCGTCTATAATGACTTGAATGCTATGTGTCCCTCCTTGGATATTTAAAGACCCAGAATTCTGTTATGGAAAGAAATCCACTCAAGTGCATTGGTGGTGTTAATGTCTTTTGCTGCATATGTTGCCTGAGGATTTTTATCCTGTCATCATATGTTCCCTGTAGCAGGGTACAAAAGTGATGTGATATTTTGGTACCCCTCAATGAAAAGCCCAAGGGAATGATGGATTAGTGTAATCAAAAGCTTGGGGAGCTTGGAGATCTTATTCTGCTCCAAGATTCCGAGTCAAGATTTAATTTCTTCCAAGATATGTAGTGCAAAGACTTCCAAGACTTGGCAGCCCTCATGTATTTGTCACCTGTGACTTCCAAAATAGAACATTGCATGAATGCAAGCTCTTTTTACAAGCCGTAAGCAGAATTTGATCTTATTTTGTTCAGTGGAAAACACAAAACTTGTTTCCTCTTTGTCCTTCATTTTCCATTGTATTTTGCTCTTATAATTCCTTACAATGACCTTCAGAAGCCCTGATACATTATTTGTTTAAAAATTAAGTGAATGCAGTTGCCTATAACAGCTACATACAGTATTGTAAAATAAAAATCATGAAGTTACAAGAAAGTAGGAAGAAATTGTTAACCGTTTAATGGCTTTATAACTTGTGAAATTCCAGATATATCTTTATTTTACTGACTGAGAAAAGGAATAACAATGCTCGCAAAAAGTTTGTTCTAGCCTTTTTATGAGCAAAAAGTTTGTCCTAAAGTACCAGTTTGACAGTAAGGAAAAGATGCTGAATCAACCATATTTGTATTCAGTTTTCATAATCAGTATTGATTTCAAGTGAGCAAAATTTTAACAATTTCCTACAAACTCAAGTTGTAGAAATGTGCAAATCTTTAGTTTACTTTTACCCTTAACAAATCTCACATACGTTTTTCCATTTTTTTGCAGCTTTGTAGTTCCTTGTCATTTCAGTTAAACATCTTTACTTCACACAGTGGCATCAATGTTGCTGCTGCTGGTGTAGACTACCGAGAAAGGTAAATGCTCTGTTTCTTTTAGGATTTTTTTCAAGGCATTTAAGTGAAATAGTTACCAGAAAGAAAAAATTGACAGGATTCAGTATAAAGATGATTTTCATCTTTATTGAAATGCTGTACAGTTCCCAATGACAGGTTCATATTTTATGAACTGTTTAAAGGCTTCAACTTGATGAGGACTCCTCATCAGGACTCCTTATTCAGACTCCGACTGAAAATAGAAAGGAAAAGTAGTTATTGTAGCAAGACTCTTAACCAAAAATCTGTTTCGTAGTTTCATTAAAGGTTTCTTTTCCAAGTATCATATAAAAATGGAAATTCAAAATGCATTGGGTACTATTTTGCATGTGATATTGATTTATGCCATTAGCTGTCAATTAGCTTATTAACTCAGCCTGTAATGACTTACAGTGTTAGCACCATTGATATAACAATAAACATACCTTTCCAATATCACGGCTCTTGGCTCTCAGCTTGTTGACCTGGGACTCAGCAATGTCAGCACGCTCTTGAGCTTCCTCCATCTCATGCTGAACTTTCCTCAGCCTGGACATGTGAGTGTTGGCTTGTTCCTCCTGTGAGGGGTTTGGAATTAAATCAGTCTTGCCATATTTTTAGTGGTACTGCTGAAAATTACAGGCCATATTTTGTAGTTGTACTTACAGCCTCCTCAGCCTGTCTCTTGTAGGCTTTGACTTTAAGCTGCAGTTTGTCCACCAAATCCTGAAGTCTGAACACATTCTTCTTGTCTTCCTCAGTCTACATGGAAAAACAAATTGTGAGCAATGATTTGTACAAATATATACAACTCGTGTTATTTTATTTTATTTTAATTTTAAATTACCTGGTAGGTCAGCTCCTTCACTCTCCTCTCATATTTGCGGACTCCCTTCACAGCATCAGCACCACGTCTCTGCTCTCCTTCAACTTCAGTTTCCAGCTCACGCACCTAATGTGATAATAAACAACCCAAGTTTAGTACAAGGGATTTAATGCAGGTAATAAAAGTCTGTTGAAGATATAAGGGAATCTTTTAAATACACTTTATCCTAAGGTGCATACCCTGGACTCCAGTTTCTGGAGCTGCTTCTTGCCACCCTTCATGGCGAGGTTCTCAGCCTCATCCAGACGGTGCTGCAGGTCCTTGACAGTGACCTCCAGGTTCTTCTTCATCCTCTCCAGGTGAGCACTAGTGTCCTGCTCCTTCTTCAGCTCCTCAGCCATCATGGCAGCCTGAGATGTTGATAGGTCAGAATAACAGGGTTATAGTTTAGACAGTGTGTTAAAAATGTTGTAGTGGAATTAGGATTAAAAACCTAAACTCACATCAGTTATAGCCTTTTTGGCTTTCTCCTCAGCATTTCTAGCCTCTGAAACAGCATCATCCACCTCACCCTGAACCTGGACCAGATCAGACTCCAGCTTCTTCTTGGTGTTGATAAGACTGGTGTTCTAAGTGTTAAAAGATTGGACAATATTTATGTGGTTGTACTCTTGTATGGGATATCATTCTTGGGAATAATTCATTTTTAAAAAGGCCATACAAATGGATAATACACAATATAAAAATGTTTTTTTTTTTTTTTTTAATAGTTATGACAGACCTGAGTGTGTAGCAGTCCAACACGCTCACTGGCATCAACCAACTCCTGCTCAGCCACTTTGCGTCCTCTCTCTGTCTGCTCCAGAGCAACTCTCAGCTCCTCAATCTCAGCCAGCATCAGACCATTTCTGCGCTCCACCATGGCAACCTGCTCCTTCATGTCCTCCTGTCCTCTGATGGCATCATCAAGATGAAGTTGGGCATCCTGAAAACATTAGAAGAATAAATATGCCAAGTTTTTTTTTCTATTTCTCATGAAAATTTTCACCTAAAATGATGTAAAACTCACCTTGAGTTGTCCCTGGACATTCCTCAGTTGTTTCTGGGCCTCAGCAGCCTGCCTGTTAGCATGGCTCAGCTGAATCTCCATCTCATTCAGGTCACCCTCCATCTTCTTCTTGACTCTCAGGGCATCATTCCTGCTCCTGATCTCAGAATCAAGAGTGCTCTGCATGGAGTCGATCACCCTCTGGCTGTTCCTCTTGATCTGCTCCATCTCCTCATCCTTCTCTGACAGCTTCCTGTCAATCTCACTCTTGACCTGGTTGAGCTCAAGCTGAACACGAAGAATCTTGGCCTCCTCATGCTCCAGAGTACCCTTTATTTGAATATGACAATTGATTAGATTACCAAATTGGGTGCAGTATTTGCTTAAAAAAACCTACACTGAATTATGCAAAAAATGCTGGATCAATCAGACCCATCCCTGCAATGACAAAGGTTAGACTGGCCCTTTCTATGCAACCAACTGGTATGTGTTGTTATGTGTTGATATGTGTTGTTTCTAAGAATCCTTTTTAATTCCTAAAGTCCTGGTGTACCTCAGCTTCCTCCAGTGCTGACTGAATTTCAGCCTTCTCTGTCTCAGTGGTCTTCTTTGATTTCTCCAGCTCATGGATGGTCTTTCCTGTGTCTCCAATCTGTTCAGTCAGGTCAGAGATCTCCTCTACAGAAGATAACATAACAACATTTTTGAGCTGCTTTATACTCGCTGTTTCTCATTCACACATCTTCAAAGTTTACTTACGCTGGAGGTTCTTGTTCTCTCTCTTTATGGTCTCCAGCTGATCCAGAGCCTCCTCATACGAGTTCTTCATCTTGAACAGTTCAGTGCTGAGAGAGCGAGCCTCCTTCTGGGCTCCTTCAAGCTCTGCCTGGCCCTCCTCATACTTCTGTTTCCATTCTGCCAGAACCTGGGAATATATTGATGAGTAATAACAGCTGTTTTTTAAAAGATTTTCATTGTTTTTTTTTTTTTACAATGAATAATGTCTTGATATTTGCTTACCTTATCAAAGTTCCTCTGCTTCTTGTCAAGGTTGGCAGCCAGAGAATTAGCTCTCTCTACATCAATCATGAGGTCCTCCACCTCACCCTGCAGCCTCTGCTTGGTCTTCTCCAGTGAGGCACACTTGGAGTTCACAGCCTCAATGGATTCCTCAGCATCCTGCAGACGCTGGGCAAGCTTTTTCCTGAAATGAAAATGGTTTTGTTTGTGCTTAATGGAATAACAGAAAAATTAAAAGTCTCTGTTTTAATGGGAAATAGTCAAAAATGCTTGATGTACTTTGCCTCCTCCAGCTCCTCAGTGCGCTGGATAGCATCAGTCTCATATTTGGATCTCCACTGAGCTACCTCACTGTTGGCCTTTGACATTCCCCTCTGCAGCTCGGCCTTGGCCTCCTGCTCCTCCTCATACTGCTCTCTGAGAAGATCACTGTCATGGCGTGCTGACTGAACAGCATGGGCCAGGGCGTTCTTGGCCTGTCATGATAATGAGATCTTAATAAATTATCCATTACCATTTGCTTTCTATATATCACAAAACACATCTGAGCCATTGTATTTCTTTCATGAACTGGTGTATTTTTGAAGATTTTGGTTTTTTAATACCTTCACTTCCTCCTCAACGTGCCTCTTGAGCTCCTCAATCTGCTGGGTAAAGGCTTGCTTGCCCCTTGTCAGCTGAGAAACAACAGCTTCTTTCTCCTCAAGCTGGCGTGAATACTCGCCTAAAGGGCAATGTATACAAGGCATGGTTAAACTATAAAACCATAAAAGTTTTTTACATCATTGATGCTCTGGTGACGAACCATTCTCTGTCTGCAGTCTGGCCCTCTGTGCACTAATGTCATTCAGCTGGCGGACATTCTCATCATACTTGGATTTCAGTTCGCTGTGTTGATCCTCAAGAGTTCTGCACATTTTTTCCAAGTTGCCCTGCACCAAACAAGAACATGAGGCATTTAAAATATACTTTTTTTTCCCTACAAAGTTACTGTTATATACTGTATATTAGTCAGAATGTACTGTTCTTAGTATTTGATAGACATAGCCTTGCCCCAAACAAAATCCACACCTTGGATTTAGCAACAGCCTCCATGTTGCTGGAGAGGTCGTCAATCTCCATCTTGTACTCGCTCTTCTCTTTCTCCAGCTTCTGTTTGACACGCTGGAGATTGTCGATCTGCTCTCCCAGCTCTGCAACACTGTCAGCCTGCTTCTTGCGCAGAGCTGCAGCGGTAGCTTCATGCTGAAGGGTGGACTCTTCAAGATCACGACGCAGCTTCTGGAACTCAGCCTCACGCTTCTTGTTCATCTCAATCTGAGCAGCTGTTGCTCCACCAGCTTCCTCAAGCCTCTCGCTGATCTCCTCAAGCTCCCTGGAGAGATCAGCCCTCTGCTTCTCCACCTTTGCCCGAGCAGCTCTCTCAGCCTCAATCTCCTCCTCCAGCTCCTCAATACGAGCCTAGTTGTTGATGACAATATATCAAAGAGGCTTACAAAATGGAAAGTAATGTATTGTATATATCATCCTGGGTCCACTGTGTAAATCAAAGATGTACCTGGAGCTCCTTGATCTTTTTCTGGAGCTGGGCACCAAGAAGCTGTTCATCCTCAATCTTGCTGAGGAGCTGGCTGGTCTCAAACTCCTTCCTGTACAAGACAACAAGAATATTTCAGTATTATACACCAAGATGACAGTAGTCAAGATCACTGAAAAACATGGAAAAAGTAAAAACTAAACTAAAAGTAAAAAAAGAATGCAAAAAAATTACTTCTTGATTTTCTCATCAGATTGCTGTTTGTCATTTTCCAGATCCATTATGGATTCCTGGGCCAGTTTCAGATCTCCCTCAAGCTTCCTCTTTGACCTCTCAAGGTCCATGCGGAGCTTCTTCTCTTGTTCCAGAGATCCTTCAAGCTATCAAGTTAGAATTATGAAAATTAACTGAAGTTTATCTTAAGAGAGATAATAATGCCAAGAGTCATTCATGTTATAATGGGTCAAACCATAAAAGCAGTTACTGTCTTACATCGTCCACTTGCTGTTCCAGCTTGGTCTTGGCTTTGGTCAGAGTGTTGACTTTGTCCTCCTCTGCCTGGAGATCATCCAGAGTTTGCTGGTGGCTCTCTTGGAGGGCTTTCTTCTCCTTTGTTAACTTGGCAAGAGACTCATCCTGAGACGCCATCTCCTCTGTCAGGTTTTTCACCTTAACAAGGAAGAAATTTTTTAAAAACATTCTATTTCCTTCCTTTTATTGATGGTATGATTATATTTTTTGACCAGGATGTACTTAAATAATGTGAACCTTGTTTTCTGTGGCGTGTTTCTCCTTCTCCACTTTGGCCAAGGTGAGCTCCAAGTCATCAATGTCTTTCTTGAGCTCAGAGCATTCATCCTCCAGTTTCCTCTTCTTGGCAGTCAGCTCAGCATTGATTTCCTCTTCATCCTCCAGTCTCTCACTTGTCTCTTTGAGTTTGGCCTCGAGCTGGATCTTGCTCTTGATGAGTCCCTCACACCTTTCCTCAGCATCAGAGAGGTTCTCAACTTCCTATAGTACATTTTGAGATTGTTATATTCATTTAATTTTGACTTTTAGATAGAATTTGTTTTTATCATTGGTTTTGTAATTTTAAGTAAATTTTCTTGAGTAATTTTAGGAAATTAAAATTATATACATATTTTAAAATTGTACTAAATAACTAAATCTATATGTTAAAAAAAGTGCAATGGCTGTTTTTGCACTCACAGCTGCTACTTGCAGTTGCAGGTCATTCTTCTCCTGCAGCATGGCAACCATCTTTTCCTCAAGTTCCTTCTTCTTGGCCAGGGCAGTAGCCAGGTCTGACTTCATTTTGTCATAGTTTTCCTTCATCTGCTGCAGCTCTTTCTCAGTCTCAGCACTCTTCAGGAGAGGCTTGATCTTGAAGTAGAGTTTCAACCATGGCCAATTCTTCACATTCATGAAGGATCTGATGTTGTACTGGATGGAGTAGATAGATTCTCTGCAAAAAGGGAAAAGTGCCAATTCTTTAACATGACTGCAGTTGAAAAATACCTGCAAATAATTTGGCAGTTAGAGTAAGTGTGCCCCTAAAAAGCCTACCTCCTCTCCATCATCTTCACAAACTCCTTCCTCATGACATATCCTCTGCTGAGAGCCTGAGTCATGGTCACCAGCTCAGCCAGTTTCTCATCTCTCATCTCCTCCAGGGTACCCAGCAGACCGGCTTTGAAGAACACCTGTGTTGTGTTATTAGTGAAGATATAAGCAACAGCATGTACTATGCCACAGCTAGTGAAATATTGTTGCCTATGAAAACGAACCTTAGTGTGTCCAAACTTGTACTGAGTGTGGTCCACATCGATGGAGCCCAGCAGCTTCTCAGAAGCTTTTTTATTGTCAATGAACTGACCCTCAGGGATGACACTGGCATTCAGTACTTTGTATCTATAAGATTGAAAAACATAATTTTTAATATATTAACTTTGCACCGTTGCCATTTCTCAATCTCATGATTCTACCCCGAAAAGTTACCTCTGCTTGAAGTCACCATAGAGGATTCTGCTGGGGAAGCCCTTTCTGCAAATTCTGATGCCCTCCAGCACACCGTTACACCTCAGCTGGTGGATGACCAGGTGGTTCTCCATAAGACCTAAAAGATATAAATTCATATCATTCAAAGATCACAGCTTTAGTGTGTGTCATTCTCAAAAAAGAATAGAATGGCAGCACTATGGGCTTACCTGGAGTCTTAGTTTCATTGGGAATCAAGCAGCGCACAAAGTGAGGGTGAGTGCTCCTCAGGTTGGTCATCAGCTTGCCCAAGTTCTCCTGGTTATCAGTATGACAGAAATAAATATGAACTTTATGTCAACACGAGGTTTTTCATTTTACTATTGTTTTCTTTTGACATGAAGCAGTAATTACCCTGAAGAGAGCAGACACGGTCTGGAAGGAGCCACCCTTCTTCTTACCACCCTTTTTGGCACCAGCAGCCTCTGTTTGAGAGCAAAAGAAAGAATTCACATGATTTTACATGATAACATGATTTTACTGGTTTACTGATTTTCTGGTGAATGCATCCATGTTCCTGTCTTGGAATAAGATAATGTTAAGCAAGTTTGGGAAGAAGCTATCATCCCTTACTCAGTTTTCTTTTGAATTCTAACTAGAGGTTTCTGTTTTGGATGAAAACTACAAAAATACCACTAAACGACCTTTTTTTGTACTTATCATCCATATCCAAAATCTTTTTGTTATAAATGACTAGATTACTGTTATTTTCAACAGTTATGCAATCTTACCTTCTCCACCGTGGGCTGCATAAAGCATGGCCAGCAGTTTGTTGGAAGACTTCTGGTAGAGCTGAACAACAGAGTCGTTCAGGGGGTCCTTGTTCTTGTCCAGCCAGCCAACAATATTGTATTCCACTGTGCCGGCATAGTGAACCAGGGCGAAGTGAGCCTCAGCTTTGCCCTTTCCAGGCTTTGGTTTCTCAAAGGCCTTGGTCTTGCCAAGATGCTGATCATGCAGCTTGTTCTTGAAAGTTGTGTCAGAGGCCTTGGGGAACATGCACTCCTCTTCAAGGATGGAGAAGATGCCCATTGGCTTAGGAAAACAATTTGTCACATTGAAAAGAATTAATCACTGAACAGCTGTTCCATCAAACTAAAGTTTTACAAGACAGTTTTACTTACCTTCTCAATAAGCTCAATGCAGGCAGCCAAGTCCATACCGAAGTCAATGAACTCCCATTCAATACCCTCTTTCTTGTACTCCTCTTGTTCCAGGACGAACATGTGGTGGTTGAAGAACTGTTGCAGTTTCTCATTGGTGAAGTTGATGCAGAGCTGCTCCAAGCTGTTGAACTGTATTTTAAAAAATATATATTATATCCATCGAAATTCAAGAAAAATAAAATCTACTTCAATAGTTTTTAACAACTCACATCAAAGATCTCAAAACCAGCAATATCCAAGACGCCAATGAAGTACTGTCTTGGCTGCTTTGTGTCCAGCATCTCATTGATACGGATGACCATCCACAAGAACATTTTCTCATAGATAGACTTGCACAGAGCCATGACAGAATTGTTGACCTTGAAATAAGGAAAAGATATACAATTAATAAGAGGAATATACAACCTTGAATGAATAATGGTATATTTGTTGTTTAGTTCATTTTTTCATTACCTGTGGGACGGTCTGACCTTTGGTCACCATCTCATTTCCGACCTTGACTCTCGGGTAGCACAGAGCCTTCAGCATATCAGCTGAGTTCAGACCCAAGAGGTAGGCGATTTTATCAGCCACTGATAGAGAAATGAACAAAAACACAAATACACATTACCTTGTGTAAGCAAACTCTACGTATCAGGATACTTACATGATCACAATGCATTATTGTAGGAATTACCCTCAGTGCCATCAGGCTCAGCCTGCTCCTCGCGCTGCTTCTGCTTGAATTTCATGTTGCCATGATGCATCGAAGCCCCAGTCAGTTTGTAGATACCAATTTTCTCTTCAGCAGTGAAGCCCAAAATATCAATAGCAGTCTGCAATGTGTAGAAAGAAAAGTGATTGGTATCTAAAACCTTTTCCTCTGTATATCATCTATATTACTAGATAGTAGTCTTACATCAGTAGCAACGAACTCCTCAATATCATCAATGCTTTTGACAGTGATTTCACCCTGGCTGATCATTGGGTAGTCATAGGGGTTGGTGGTGATCAGAAGGGCCTCTGAAAATCAAGAAACACAGCACATGAAGTTTTCCGGTGATATTCTTTTAAGTATGTCAGATACCATCTATTACACATACCCAGGAGCTCGGGCTTGTGGCCTGTCATCAGCTGGTAGAAGATATGGTAGCTCCTCTCAGCAGACAACTGGAAGGTTACACGGGACTTCTCCAGCAGATCTTAGAACAACAAATTAAGTCCTGATCACAATGTGTCAGCAAATGTTTCTTAAACTCCTTTTCTAATACAAGTTTATATTTAAAGATTGGTGACTGAACTTAACAGAGAAATTACTCACATGTTTCAATGTCAGCTGAAGCAAGTTTGCCTGTGGTCCCGAAGTGAATTCTGATGAATTTACCCTGCACAAATCAGATCAGATTTTTTTCAGTTGTGATGTATCAATGTGGATACATAGAAATTTCATACTTCATGCTAGAATTTCTACTTTTAGGACTTACAAAACGAGAGGAGTTGTCATTCCTCACAGTCTTGGCATTACCATAAGCCTCCAGCAGAGGGTTGGCTGCAATGATTTGATCCTCCAGCGAACCCTGCAGGAAGAATTTGAAATGCATGTTGCTGTTTTTTTTTTGATAATTATTATCTTTTGTTTTTCACCAAAGGTGATGGTTTTTACCTGCATTTTGCCAGGTGTCTCGGCCTTCTTAGCCCCAGCGACTGCAATTGTTGCGAAGTACTGGATGACACGCTTGGTGTTTACAGTCTTTCCGGCACCGGATTCTCCACTGGGGGAAGCAAGAGAAATAGTTCAATATTTCAACCTTATTAACATTCTTCAAATGTTGTTGGGTAAACATTATCTCACTCACGTGATAAGAATAGACTGGTTCTCACGATCTGAAAATAACAAAGCAAAAACAGAAAATGTCAGGAACTGCCGTTCTATGTTCAATTACAGCCGTCAGCTGTCTCTCTTTTCAAAATAGATTGTCTTACCAGTGAGCATGAACTGATAGGCATTGTCAGAGATGGAGAAGATGTGGGGTGGAGCCTCAACTCTCTTCTTTCCTCTGTATGCCCCAACAACCTGAGCATCGTACACTGGAAGCCACTTGTAGGGATTCACAACGACACAGAACAGGCCAGAGTAGGTCTGTAGAGTACAAACATAATGTTAACATATGATTATGGTCAAATTCATGTAAATACTTGGATTCATCGAGTGGATTATTCAGAAAACTTACGTAGATCATCCATGATGCATAACGCTCTTTGAGGTTATACAGCACACAAGGCTCATTGAGGTGGGTCATCATGGCCATGTCCTCAATTTTGTCAAACTTTGGAGGATTCATGGGATGGATGTCATCCTCTTTTACAGTGAGACTCTAAAGAAAAGTAAAGTAAAAAAACAGTTCAATTTACTTGGGAAAAATATAGTAAATCTTACATTAAGAATGTTACTCACTGTTAACAACATGAAAATAAGTGTCAATCCTCTACCTTGTGTCCTATAAGTGTCTCAACTGTGGCTTTGCCCCCCTCCTTCTTGACAAGCTTGCCTTTGAGGTACATCTCCTCAACATCGACCACAAAGAAAGCTGTTTTAGCATCAAATGGAGTGTTCTGAGCCTCAATCCTCTCCCTCTCAGGCTTGCGGAGAAAAATGGATGCAGGCCCATACTGGGCCATTTCAGCGTCTGAACTCATGGTGGCACTTTATAGGGGACTGTAAAGGAAAAAGAGAGAGAAGGACTTCAAATTTATTGTATTTTTAGTATAATTCTTACAATTTCTAAGAATTATATTACTGTGGCAAGCATTACCTCAGCTTATCTAAACTGAGTGGCACTGATCTGTTGCCTGGATGCTGTCAAAGAAAGATTGAGATAGTTTATGAAGTGGATACATACTTTTGTTGCCCCACAAAGAGCACTAAACAGTCAAAATGCAGTTTTTCCCTAAGTCAGTGTATTTATTCATCTATGCACATACCCACAACAAGCTCAAGATTTCTTTTTGATTTAAAGATGCTGCACAAATAACTCTACCCTGCCTTGCATTGCATTTATAATCAATCCAGTCACATAATTCCTTTACTCCAGAGAACAAAACTGTTATTTCTTCCCTTGTAGTTCCAAAATATATTCCTCCTTCAAATAAACGAAAAAAAAAAAAAAGAATTTGGAATCTATTCCAAATAACTTATCAGGAGTATTTGCAAAAGCACTTTTCTTCAGAACTGAGTGACATCTGAATTAATTCATACTCATAATACAAGATAACACAAAGGCAGAAATAATGTGACTGAAATCTATTTTAAAAGCAAAGGTGGATAAGCACAAGCACACACAAAGTACTAACCTGGGATGTCGGTCAGTTCTCAAAGGGCTCTGAAGCTGCTGCTTTTATAGAGTGTGGAGCTGCCTTGTCAGCAGCACTCCACCTCTCGATTTGGTCAAGCATCCCTGTCATCAAGACCTATCTTGTAACATTGCGGGTTTAGTAACCTTTTTTGTTCCAGAGATAAAACATTGCTAAACTGCTGAAACAGCAATAAATACTTTTAATATGATACATTCTTAAAAGACAAGCAGTTAAGTTGAAATTTTAAAAAACATTAGGTACTTGTTTCAATCATCAGAAAACAGAACCATTTTGGACATCCGTTTTTGCCCCGGTTTAGTCTTTGCCTCAGTAACATTACCTCAAATGTCATTGGTTTTGAGTTTCAGTTAGCCTGTAGTTCAAATCTTAGAAATCCTGTAAAATTAATTAATTAAACTTTTTTAAACTACACCTGACACTTAAAAGTAAAGGCCCTCATTTTGAATTATATACTATGTTGAATAAGTACAATGTTACATGTTTCTAACTAAAAAGCTGGATAAAGCCCTGCTCCTGCTCATAAAATGTTTGAAGTTTGATGTCAGTGTCCAAAGTATGTCCCAAAATAGATTTGGTGCAAAACATTTACTCGTTTTTTGAACCTCTTAATTAACTAACTAAATAATAAACTTAAATTAAGATTGTGACTCAAGTGAGACAGGATTTTAACGTTTTATAATGAGAAGTTTTCTCTCCGTACCCCTTCAACTAAACACATTCATAGCCAGGAATGGAACTTAATTTTGGAGAAGCACCCAAGTGGTGCTGGTATATGGTTGCAGTGCAATTCCACATCTCATGTTCCTCTAGTTAAACAGAATGTAAGGCCCTTTCCATAAAGTTCAAGTGGTATTAACCTTGGCCTTAAAAGGACTCGAGGAACATTTGCCAACCCCTCTGAGATAAGACCTATAATAAGTCCCACTCACATATCAAAGATCTTTATCCCCATGCTCCACTAGATGTTGTTACTGTTTTGGAAACAAAATGTCCTACAAAAACTATGTGACTGTGGTTTTGAGACAGTTTTGGCATAGGTTCATTAGTAAGTGATCCTTTTAGCATTGTCTTAATGCCTTTCTAGAGTACAGACATTGCAATACTTTAACTAATTAAAAGTAAACATTTAAACCGTGTGGACTATCAAACTTATGTTACAAACCATTTTCATATGCAGAAATTTAACAGGAATAATAAACCTTTATTCACAAAGCATCCTTTACACAAGGGGGGAGGTGTTCATTTCTAACTCTTATAAAAGATGAAACGGTGAAACGAAATGGGGAAAGCTAAACAATAGCAAATGCAGGCTGTAAATATAAAACAATACAAGCACCAAATTACAACAACAGAGTTAAATTCATGACAAAAGATTCATGAAGGCAAGGATGAATTAATGATCCTAAGAAGTTAGAGACAATGTCGAATCAATACTTTTAATTTTTGATTGAAAATGGTCACAAACATGGCGTCTGCTATGGTCTCAGAAAAAGCTTAAATTAAGGTGCATGGTCAGTAAAGGTTGAGCTTCTACAGTTTACCCTGTGTTCAGTTAAGAAAATATTAGGCAGTGTTTTTATTTTTATTTTTTATTGAATTCTTCATATTTCACTCTCTGAAAAGTATCAGGGCACTGTGTGTGTACACACACACAATCACACACAAACACACACACACGCATTTGTCTTCAAGTTGGCACATTTTGAAGGGTTTCTAAAAGCAACTTGGTCAAGATCGTTGTTTTTCAGGTGGAAATCGCACATTTCACTCACAAGTAGTCATTTCAGTCAGACTTCCATATATCTCATCAAGATAGGAGGATCACTGCAGGAGAAAAATGTTGCTCTATTGCTTTCAAAAAAGGAGAATAAAAATAGACTGCACACCACGGGCAATTTTTGGATCAGACCTTTTGGGGTGCTCAGCCTCTAAAGAGAATGATATGGAGAGTTCCTTGCAAGTGTTCAGTCCTACCTCTAAACAACAAGAATTAGAGTATTTTCCTCGAATTTCTTTATATAAGAGCACTAACAAGGAGTCTATAAGGACAACACTGTAAATTTAAACCAAAAGTGACATACCTCATTACATTAAGACCTACCAAAATCAATTAACATCATAGTTTAAGCAAATAAAATAAGTATGCAAGTAGACGCTTATGAGAAACTGATAGAAAGGCATTTCAAGGCTAGCAAATTGTGTTAGTCTGCAATTGTCAAATACAGACAAAATGAGGATGTTCAATGGTTACCCCTTATTTCAATGACCAGTCTTGGGGAGATTTTGGTTGTATTTAAGGGAACTTGAAAGTTTGAGTAGGCTTTTTGAAAGGGCCAACATCTGGCTAAAGGAAAATTTACCACAACTTAAGGACCCTGTGTTCCATTGTGCTGGCGGTTCTTCTGGACCGCTGCTGCATATGTTTTTCTGCTGTGGACCTGCCTGCTTTCCAGCTGCTTCAACTACATGCTTCAATCTCACCTCAGTCCATCTCTCTCTCTCTCTCTCTCTCTTAATCTATTCCTTTATCTATCTATCTATCTATCTATCTTATCCCATCTGTCCACTGGGTCTTTGTACATAAAGTACAGTCTAGATCGGCTTTTTTGTCAAGTGTCAACAGATAATTCTTGTTGCGAATTGGCGCTATATTAATATAGATTGCACTGTTGAGAAGACTTAACTGAGCTGGCCACTCGTGAGGGGGGCAGACTACTCTAAAGTACGTGCAGAAGTGCTACCAAATAATCACCTCAAGTCGAGCACAACAACCTCACAACAATCCCCACAGAAAAATGTGGTGCATTTTTTTTTTTTTTAAATGACCTAGTGCATTTAACTGACACGCAAAAGGTGGAAGGCCCTCATCATGGGTGCCCTGCCTCTGCACAAAGTGGATCTCTGTTGCTGAAAGAAAATTAGTGCAAAAAGGGGTCAGACAACCAAAAAGAAGACAGAATAACCAAGTTGGTTGTCAAGAGATCAAGTCAGCTTAACCAATCTAATAAATGAAAAGCAGTTGTCAGTGGAACAAACTGGAAAGTGGAACAAAAAGCCTTAAAATTTCTGGGTGAGTGGTTTAATTGAAATCTTCCACAGAATGAGTATATTCACAGGATACATTATAAATGTGGAAAAATATTGAATATGATGATATGATTTGTTTATTTTTTTACTGTTTATTTTCTGACTTACTGAATTATTTCTTATTTAAAAGAAGAAGAAGGAGGAGATGTTAGGCCTTTACGTAAGCTTCATGTACGCTGTGACAGAAGCCAAAAGGAAGGGAACAGGTACACTTGACTTGGTAGGTGCTTTTGAGTATCATGTAATGAATAAATATGATGATTTTATACAGATTTTCACAGACGGTGCTAAACAACCAGAGAGACCAGGAGACAGAAGTGACAGGGTTTGGGGTGTCAGTGTCAGAGAAAGGAATTGGGATAAATAGAAGAACGTCTGATAAATTAGGGGTGTACACAGTGGAAATGGTGGCGGTGCTGGTTGCATTAAGGTGGGTTAAGGAAACTTGTCAAAAAAAGGTATTGATCTGTTCAGACTCATTGTCAGTGCTAGCTAGCTTGAAGTCTTTCCAATCAAGTAGTCGACAAGATATGCTATATGACCTGCTTCAGTTGGTTACAAGAATAGCCAATCAGAAGGGTTAGGTTAATTTCATGTGGGTCCCAGCTCATGTAGGGGTGAGGGGGAATGAGAAGGCGGATGAGCTGGCCAAGAGGGCCAGCTCATCCGCTGGGTATAGCAGGCAGAGGGACGTAATGAGGAGTTTGTTGTTGTAGTTTGTTTGTTTGTTTGTATGGAATGGGGTAGAGTGCTGGAATAAGTTGTAGGTCTTGTCTGACTCACACTCCAGGACAGGTGGCGGTAATGTGCCAAAAGCTGGTTGCCAACTGCCGTAAAACAAAAAGAAGAAGTGTGACGGAAGCCGGAAGTGAGAGGTGGTGTTCACGCGTTGCTATGTGCTAATGTTAGCATAACGAAGCCTTTCTTTTTAACTTGAGCGATCGTATCAGCTAAAGAGAGATGCCTTCACTAAACGGGAAACCCGATGTTATGTTTGTAAGCTCCCCTCATTTATTATGCTGTTATTTGTGATCATTTGTTGACAACATGATACCGTTGAAGCGTACTTTTACCCAAGTGTTAGCTTGTTTGTTCCACAGTGTTTGGTTGTGTGGCGGTGAAGTAAGCTCATTGCCTCCCATCAGCTTGCGATGACATTTTTTCTCATTTGGGTTCTTGTTAGGAGGACGATGATCTGCCTTATGAGGAGGAGATCATCAGGAACCCGTACTCAGTCAAGTGCTGGATGCGTTACATCGAATTTAAACAGAATGGATCCAGAACCACCCTCAACATGATCTATGAGCGGGCACTGAAAGAACTGCCTGGCAGGTAACCAACATAACAGGAAGACATTATTATGGATGACCAACTACTGCTGTGATAAAATACCTGGAGACATTATTTTGCATTAGGAGTAAAGCAAAATACCAAGGAAACACTGACCAAAGTGTAATGCAAGAGCTGAAAAACAGAATTTTTATGGATTTCAGACACTAACTTTTTTTAATTTTGTATTTCTAGCTATAAGCTGTGGTACAACTACCTAAGAGAGAGGCGGAAACAAGTCAAAGGGAAATGTATCACTGAGCCAGCCTATGAAGAGATCAACAACTGCCATGAAAGGGCGCTGGTGTTCATGCACAAGGTAAAAATTCATACAGAACCCCACACACGACTTGAATGCATAATAAAGAGCAAAAAAACTGTAGTCTGTTGAGATTAATGGGATATTCTGGCGTAAAATTAATTTAGGGTCAAACACAGCATAACACTGAGTTAGACACCTCCTTGGGAGATGAATGTTGCAGACCGCTTGCTTCTCTTGTTATACCAACAATAGCAATACACAGCGGTCCCAGGAGCCATAAACAAACCTTGTTTATGGGTCCTCAGACCGCTGTGTACTGCTATCATACGGTCATTACAAAAGTTGGTATAACTAGAGAAGCAAGCCGTCGGCAACATTCATCTCTCGAGGGGGTGTCTAACTCGGTGTAACGGTGTTTTTGACCCTAAATTAATCTCACGCCGGAATATCCCTTTAAAACTAACTATTTCCCCCTTAACCTAGATGCCCAGAATATGGCTTGATTACTGCCAATTCCTTGTGGGTCAGTGCAAGATCACCAGAAGCCGGCAAACGTTTGATCGTGCACTCAGAGCCCTTCCTGTTACTCAGCACCCACGCATTTGGCCTCTGTATCTTCGCTTTGTCCGAAACCTGCCATTGCCAGAGACAGCCATCCGTGTGTACCGCAGGTACCTTAAGGTGAGAGTACTCTTCCTTCTCAATATCCATACTCCAGTTTACAAGAGGAAATAGGAAAATGTTCTTAATGCATATGCTGTCTATTCTCGTCCCAAGTAGCTTTCACCTGAGAATGCAGAGGAGTACATAGACTACCTAAGGTCTGTTGGCCGTTTGGATGAAGCAGCTGTGCGTTTGGCAGCTGTTGTCAATGACGAAAGCTTTGTGTCTAAAGAGGGCAAGTCCAACTACCAGGTAAGGTCTACTCTCTTTCTCCAAAACTCAGAATAAGTATCTTCTTTAGGGCAATTGAGGAATGTTTACAAAGCTTGGTTCTGTGTTCACTCCCCTGACAGCTGTGGCATGAATTATGCGACCTGATCTCCCAAAACCCTGATAAGGTGACCTCTCTGAATGTAGGAGCCATCATCCGGGGAGGCCTTACCCGCTTTACTGACCAACTTGGAAAACTTTGGTGTTCTTTAGCCGACTATTACATTAGGAGCGGCCACTTTGAGAAGGTACCTTTGCTCAGACTAGCACTTGGTGTTACTTATATTGAAATGACCTGATTAAAATTAAAAGTCATTTATTTAGGGAAAAAAAGTGAATGTGTCAAAGTTGCATGGACTATTGTTCACTTTGGCTGACTTGATGATTGTATCTACTTTAAGGCTCGTGATGTGTATGAAGAGGCTATCCTAACGGTTGTAACAGTGAGGGATTTCACACAAGTGTTTGACAGCTATGCTCAGTTTGAAGAGAGCATGATTGCAGCAAAGATGGAAACCACTGTTGAAATGGGGCAGGATGAAGATGGTATGTGATGATGTATAAATAAAGGTGGTAGTCTTTGAGCTTTTGTTTACCTCGAAGCTTATATCTTTGCCCTTCTGTTTCAAGATGACATTGACCTGGAGCTTAGACTAGCTCGCTTTGAGCAGCTGATCGCCAGGCGGCCCCTCCTTTTGAACAGTGTACTGCTGAGGCAGAACCCTCATAATGTCCATGAGTGGCACAAACGTGTGAAACTCTATGAAGGCAATCCACTGCAGGTAAATTTAAGCTGTTTCCTACAATGTTTTTATAATGACGACAGTGCCAAAGCAATACATAAAACAACTTTTAAACAACATTGAATTGCTCACACTCTTACCTTTTGCATGTTAATAATTGTATCTCATGGTATCTGCAGATAATCAACACATACACTGAGGCAGTACAGACTGTGGATCCAGTGAAGGCAACAGGGAAACCTCACTCTCTCTGGGTTTCATTTGCTAAATTTTATGAGGAAAATGAGCAGCTGGATGATGTAAGTCACTGATGGGCTTTCAAAAGAAAATCTCAAAAACCATGATATATGTTATGACCACGATATGCCTTACATTTAATGACTGTCTCTTAGGCAAGGACGATTTTCGACAAAGCTACCAAGGTGAACTACAAGCAGGTTGATGACCTTGCCGCAGTGTGGTGTGAATATGGAGAGATGGAGCTACGCCATGAAAACTATGATCAGGCTCTGCGCATACTGAGGGTGAGACACATGTAGTATTTGCAGTGACGATTGTACAGGTTTGATCTGGAGAAACAAGAACTGCTGTAGCTGCTAGGTGTTTAGTAACATCTAGTGGCAGAACAGAGAAACTACATTATCCTGGACAAATGTTGGTTGAAAACCTAGTAAATAAATCGAGCTTAAGCTTCCAGAGTTTGTACTGACCTGTGATTTGCCAAGTAAGAGCAAATCCATTGATTCAGTCATTCAAGGTGCTGATATGTGGCAGATTTGACTCAAAAGCAGACATGGATCAGCTCTTTCTATCCGATACAAAGAAGTAAGAAGCAATGATTAACAATACTGGGTGCCAGTTCTTTGAGTATTGCTGTGAAGTAAAGTGTATATTATTGTTGCAGGTATTTCAAAGTATAAATACTTGGTGGATACACTTACAACATGTGTTTTTTTTAATGATTTAAATACAGAAAGCTACAGCAATTCCATCCAAGAAGGCTGAGTACTTTGATGCATCTGAACCTGTCCAAAACAGAGTCTACAAGTCTTTGAAGGTCTGGTCTATGCTTGCCGACTTGGAGGAGAGTCTGGGCACATTTCAGGTATGTGCATTATTTGAAATGAAAACTTTAAGTCATTTTACTGTTGTATGTTGAATATTTAGTTTAATTGCTTGTCCATCGTCTTTTGTCTTACCAGTCTACAAAAGCTGTGTATGACCGCATTATCGACCTCCGCATCGCCACGCCACAGATCATCATCAATTATGCCATGTTCCTCGAAGAACACAACTATTTTGAGGAAAGCTTCAAAGTAAAAACACTTTATTTGTTGTTTTAACCAAACCAGGTTATTCAATCAATATCTGCCTTGCTCTCTGCCCACCAGTCATTTAAACTTATGCTTCTTGTCTTTGTCTATCCTTTTTTAGGCATATGAGCGTGGTATTGCTCTCTTCAGGTGGCCAAATGTTTATGACATCTGGAACACTTACCTTACCAAGTTCATTGATCGTTACGGAGGCAAGAAGCTAGAAAGAGCCAGGGATCTTTTTGAACAGGCCTTGGATGGGTGCCCTGCCAAGTTTGCCAAGAGTGAGTTGATCTCCAAGAAAAGCACTGTGTAGACATTATTCCGGCTGTTTTTCTTTAACAGATTCATCTAAGCTGAATGTACTACTTTCCTTTGCTCTAGCCATCTACCTGTTGTATGCCAAGTTGGAAGAGGGATATGGGTTGGCACGACATGCCATGGCTGTCTATGAAAGAGCAACACAGGCTGTCGAACCTGGGGAGCAGCATCACATGTTCAATATCTACATCAAGAGAGCTGCAGAAATTTATGGAGTCACATATACCAGAGCAATTTATCAGAAAGCTATTGAGGTATGTTTTTGAGGGGCGGACAGATATTTAAGTGTAATACTGTTTTTCAATCCATATCATTTTTTTGTACCTACAATGATGATTACTGTTTTTTTCAGTGAATAATTTTATATAGCTGGTTTGATAGTACACATTTTCAAATGCCAAACAGGCAAAAGAAAAAGAAAATTTTATTCACAATCTTTTTTTCTAATGTATGATACTGATGCAATGACTTTTTGAACATCATAGAAAAGTAAAGACTAGCAACATATGAAGAGTTTTTGTTAAGCAGTTCAACAAAGCTTTCAAATGTTTTGTTTGTCTAGTTTTTAAGATTGAGATATAGTAATCACAATTTGAGCTACCTTCTATGCATTCAGGTCCTTCCCGATGAGCACGCAAGGGACATGTGCCTGCGATTTGCTGACATGGAGAGCAAACTGGGTGAGATTGATCGTGCCAGAGCAATTTACTCCTACTGTTCCCAGATCTGTGACCCCAGGGTAAGAAAAAAAACAACAACTCCTGTGTCTGGATTAAATACCCTTTCTGACATTGCACATCATCATGCGTTTGGATATGTTTTTAAACTTCATCTTTTAGGTGACAGCAAATTTCTGGCAGACCTGGAAAGAATTCGAGATCCGCCATGGTAATGAGGACACTATCAGAGAAATGCTGAGGATCAAACGTAGCGTCCAGGCCACATACAACACCCAGGTCAACTTTATGTCTTCTCAGATGCTCAAGGCCACAACAAGCTCCACAGGCACTGGTAAGGCCACTGTCTTTAAAGCGTCTGCTGTTTCTGGATTTTTTGTCGCAGTAGGGGAATGTTTAGCACTATTTTAATGTCTTAGATGTATGTTACGATAGACCAGTGGTGGACTTCTAACAGCAGATAATTCATAATCTTGAGCAAAAGAGAAAGAGCTTCCTTGTGAGAGGAAATAGCCATCTGGCATCAATCATGCCAATCTTTTTCAATAACAAATTTTTAGATTTTGTGTTTTTAGCCACCAAAAAGTAATTAACCACAACCAGCCAAACAGATCAGAGGACCTCTTCAACAGATCCCACACATTTTGAAGTTCCTGAAATCAAATGGATAAGAATTCTCTTTCAACAGATGTCCAACCATTAGTTTTTATCCTTTTTTCAGTGTCAGATCTCGCTCCAGGCCAAATGGGAATTGACGACATGAAGATGTTGGAGCAGAAAGCACAGCAGCTTGCTGCTGAAGCTGAGCAGGATAAACCCAAGCCCAAAGAGAAGATCCTGTTTGTCAGGTTTGTCTTTTTTTTGGTCCAGTGAAAATTTGTGCCTTAATTAACTTTGAACATACATTGCAAAAGACCTTTAACTGTTTTCTGCATATGCCCAGGAGTGACACCTCTCGCAGTGAGTTGGCAGAGCTTTCCAAGCAAGCCAATCCAGATGAAATTGACATTGATGATGACGAGGATGATGATGAGGATGATCAGGGACCAGAGGGTGAGTGTCGTCTATCAATATACCCAAAGTCAGCTGTAAAATAAAACCATTTAATGTTTTTTTTAAACATTACAAGAAATCTTTTATTCATGAATATGCATCTGCTAACTCCATCTTTGCTTTGCTTACACAGAGGTGCAACTGGAACAGAAGAGTGTCCCCACAGCTGTCTTTGGGGGTCTTAAAGACGACTGAACTTGTTGAGCTTTCTTTCTGACTTAAATTTATAAAGTCTTCAGATTACTGTAATAGATATTGAAAAGGCTTTATTTTGAAGTTTGCATCAATGATCAATTGATTTCTTTTTTCTTGATAGGATGTGAGTTGAGTAGACAAACAGGGAGTATTTGTGCCTTTTATGTGTTCTCATACATAGTTTATAAAGGTGTAAGTCCATTGTTACATGCTCTTTGTTCACTTTTTCACAAGAATGGGGCTCAAGATTTTGAGTAATTTTTGTAATAAAATAGTCACATGTGGTCCTTTTGTACTTGCAAGTTGCAGCTGTAGTTGCTTGCTCTGTTTTCAATCATTTGTGAGAATTAAAAGTGAAAATGCTTTTTGCACTCCTACTGGATGCACATAAATTTTCCAAAAAGGAGTTGCTGCCCTCAATCTAGGGGTATGAAAATGGTCATTTACAGGGGGCATTTGATGGAAAGCAAACTGAGCAATTGACTCTCACATTGTTGTCTCCTGATTTAGTATTACTAACCCTAACCCAAAAGCTTATGTCTCAAAAACAACTTGTGTACTTAAATATACTTAAACCATTTGATACAAAGACCAAATAACTGAGAGCCTGAATACATATTTAAAAACAATTTAAAAATCCAATAACTCTGGGAAATGCTACTTTGAAAAGAATTGTTTCTGATCTGTTATCATGGTGTAAAAACTGGCCTTCAAAATCCTCATTTCTGTTAAAGAAAGTCTAAATAGCTCTGAATGATAGTTGTGATGCAAATGGACTTGAATCTGATGAACAGGGACCTTTGGATGAAGACTTTCCTTGTGACATTTAAATGCATTATGTCAGTATTCAAGTTTCATGCTATTGATGCTAATGTATTATAAAACACATTTGGCAGAGTATTTTTATGTATGCATACATTTTGAAACAATGTCATGGAGATCTACAAGGCATCATGAGTTATTTGCTAGAATCCTTTTATTCAAGTTAAATCGACAGAGCACTGGAAAAAGTACTGACTTGGAATAAATTCTTTCTTTCATAATTAGATTAAAATAACTGAGAGGTAATCTCCTTACAAAGTTACTGCAGTGAGGCACTTGGAGAGCTCTTGGAACTTTGTGCAGCATCATGTGATGAGGCACCTCTGGGATTTCAGTTTTTCCAATGCAGACGGTTCCACTAGAAACAACTTTGAAAGCAATTGGGTAGAAAATTTCTCACAGTTAAACAACTTTTGTTTCGCTAGCTCAAAGAGTCTTATGTTATTCTCTGAATACCAGCATATTGAATGAGTTTATCCAATTGCAACCTTTTGTACAAACTGCAGACAACTGTTAAAAGGCAGTGTTGAACTAACTGTAATAAGAGCCTGCAGCAGTTAATACAAATGTCATGTATAATAATCACCAATGAATTGATTTATATAAAACACCCTAAAGTACATTAATAGGGTGGCCTTTTTATAACACTTAAGGGTGGCCTATGTATGGATGGCCTGTCCTGGAAAAATACAGGGCAAAATCAGTAATAAACTACCCCTTTTTTAATCTTCTTAAATCATAATGATACAGTGGCCAAGAATTGTCACTGCTGCAAATTTTTTTTAAGAAGTGGCAACGGAAATTACTGATGCAAAAAAAACAAACAAACAAAAAAAAACAGTTGACAGAAGCCTGCTGCAAATTAAAGAAGAAACCACAACAGAGGTTAACAACACACACACAAAAAAAGGGAAAAAATGGTGATGCGGAAAAAAAAAGTTTCTTACTGAAAAAATAAAGGGATGCAAAAAAAAAAAAAGCCACAACAGAAGTTGGGTGCCGGGGACCAATAATGATGATGCACCAGTGTTTTACGATCCAGGCACAGAAGACGATGTCAAGAAGACGAGTAAAGATTTAAGTGGAAAGGTTTTTGTTTAATTTCACTTCATGTGCTTTTCAATGAGTCATTTGGTTTGGCCATGTTGCGCCTGAGTTGATATAAAGTTAAACTGAATTTAACACTACACCGGCATCTTCCAGTTCAACTTAATATCGACTCAGGCGCGACATGGCCAAATCGAATGACACATTGAAAAGTTTACAAAGCAGATTAAACAATAACTTTTCCACTTACTTCTTTGCTCGTCCTCTCGCCGTCGTCTTCTGTGCCTGGATCGTAAAACACCGGTGCATCATCATTATTGGTCCCCGGCAGCTCACTTAAATTGTGGCTTTTTATTTGCATCCTTTCATTTTCGCAAAAAGTAACTTCACCACTTATTTTTTTTAAATTTTTTTTGCATCGCTAATGTCCGCTGTGGCTTTTTTGTTTATTTTTTAAATCTTTTTTTTATTTGCAGCAGGGTTCAGTTTCTTTTTTTTTGCATCAGTAATTCCGTTGTGACTTCTTTTTTTCTTATTTTTTTTTTATTTGCAGCAGTGGCGGTTCTCGGCCACCGTAAAATTACTTTTATAGTCTTAAATGTTTCGAGTGGAATAAGTCAAATCTTCGTTGCACTTGTTTTACTCGTGTTCCTGTGTGTCGGACCAACACATTACTGGGGGCGTGTGTGACACCTATAACTTGCAGTCACACCACACCTCTACCTGCTGCCTGTATGCACACAGAGAGATCCCGCCCTCGTCGCACGAGCTTGATTTCTATTGGATGGCGGATGACTGATCGATGCCAGTGTGGAGCACCTGGTAGTCAGTCATCGGTGGGGCTCCGCGGAGCTGCGTACAGTTCGCCGAGCACACGGCAATGCGGACGAAGAAGGGTAAAAACGAGAGGAATAACCAGGATTTCTGTGACAATCCGGCTTGTGGGACTTGGTTTGGCCGTAGAGAGTAATTTGAAAGGAGTTTCGCCTTTGACAGTCCACGAAAAAGGACAATAACGGGACTGGAAGCTGCTCCGGGCCGGATATTATCCGGACAAAATCCCCTCTCACATTCACAAACCCCGGTATCGTGTGGACTCGTCGGCTTCAAGAATGAGTGCTTGAATATTTTTATACTTTTGTAGCCATTTTTTGCCAGCACCATTCCCGTTTTTTTACAGACTCGCTATGGTGGATTCCCCTACTATGAGGAAGACCTTTGTAGTCCCAGACATAAAGCCATTGGATTTGTATGACTGTACTAAAGCAAAAATATGCGCAAGTGTCGGATGGCTATTGGCAAAGTCCTACGGGAGTGCAGGTAGGTTTCGGTTCAGGATGCAGGCCTGCTGAGTTATAGTACATGTTGAAAGAGGTTGGAGGAAGATCCCTGTGTTTTTGTAGTCTAGGAGTACCCTGTATTTATATTTTGGTCCGCACTGTAGCGGAAACACATGTATGTATGTAGGGAAGAAACTACGGTGGATGTATAGCTCAGCGATTTTCAGCACAAAGAGCAGCATATGAAAGGGGAGCTATTCACGGTATGCATTTTTGACTCGGACATTTCATTTGTTCTCAGTCAATGTGTGCCCACATTTTCTCAGTATATGTGTGTCAGAGAAACGGGCCTCCTCCCTAGGCCTTATCACGCTAACCCTTTTTGTCGTATTTGTAGCCACCAGGCTTCAGTTCAGTCACAAATTGCAAGCCACTGGGTATGTTTTTAATCCGGTGAAACAGGCATTGCATTTGCGGCGTGGATAATTTCTGCGCTTTTCTTCACTCCATGGCATGACAGCACATTTTTCTTCCTTGATTCATAATAAGGGGCAAAAATCTGCATGGAGTTGCTTACTTGTACACACGTTGTTGATAAAATGAAACCCACTTCCATGTCTTTCAGTGGGTTTGACAAACCCTCCAGCCTTGTATCTTGGATAGTTTAGTTTCTCATGGTAGGGGTGTCATCAGGCATAGTTTTGCACTAGTTTTGACCCTGAGTGGTAAAAAGAAAACAATATTGTCTGTGGTACTTCAAGATAAGCTCTCACAAAACAGACACTAAAAATTTGCCAGTAAAAGCCAACATGACTTATTCCTTTGTATGTGATTACACTGTTGTCTGATGACAGGGCACTGTTTCCCAAATGATCTCTGGAGGCGAACATTGGTTAAAATAGCTCCAAAACAAAACACATTCTCATTCTTGGCTCATGTCTGTTAATAAGTGCTCAGAGGTAAAAGGTCAAGGTTTTGATGCCTGTAAGGTTTGACAGGAGAGCAGTGTACAGTGTTTTTCCAAACGTTAAAACCCAACTTATGTGTTACACAATTTCAGGCCGTGTTTGAGTTCAGGACTATAGAGCAGTGTTTTCTCTGTGTACTCTGTTTAGCACCTCAACCACGCCCTCTGGTCAAAGTTACCTTCCATGCCAAGTTTCAGGAATATGAGGGCCAAGACTGTGATTAGATCCACTTTTCTCCTTAATCATAATGGCCTCTCGAGCAAATATGACATCATCCAATCTCCTCTAAAATGCTATTGGTAGAACAACAGATAGTACAGCAGGAACCAGACGGGGTCATCTGGCCTCAGTTCTTCCAGGTCAGTTAACCTAACGCTGACAATAGCCCAAATATTTACTCTCTGAGTTGTTACATGAAAAGATGAGTCTTCGCATAAAGCTATGTGTAAAAACATTTATGTTTTTGTGTGTCTAAGAAACATTTACTTCTGATTGTACTTTTAATCTGTTGCTTTAAACTAGAACTAGCAGGGGGCTAATGACACAAGAAATCAGTTAGGATATCTTGTCACACAAAGACTCCTTAAATGAACGCACACAGCTTGTTTACAGGCTCGGACATAGGTTAACAATGACAATTTCTTGCTTGGGTAAGCAAAAAAAAAAAGGTCCTTAAGACCAGAGGCTTGAAGCGTGGGAGCACAGGACAGAGTTTAAAGAAACTCTCAACTGATATGAAGTGATATGAAGTGATTTGCACCACCACCCTCATGACTCAGTAGGATTTACAAATTCTCCCCAAAAAATTCACAACCACATCAAGGCTTATCAGTCTAAAATACAAAAAGTAAAACTTGCAAAGTTATCTAACCCAAAGGTGAGAATACTGATTCAATTGTTCCCATGCTTCTTTCAGCCAAGGAAACACAACCATTCTTTAAGAAAAGAAAAGGTTCATTTCATGCATTGAATGCTCAGCAATAACACAACAAAGCTTGGGTGTAGACTGAGTTTGATCCATCTTTTTCTTAATATTTGGAGTCAAGTAACGCTGTTGATAAGAAACCTCTAAAAATGATCATTGTATACTTTCTAATACTTTAAATAATCCTGGTAAATTTATTCCATTACTGTCAACAAGTACTTAAATATTTGACTGTTTTACAAACATAAAGGCCTAATAATGGTCTTGACATTAATTGATGCACCTTGCAGTTGTTGTGACAGATGACTTGACAGATCACTTAAGGGTAATTCAAACTACTTTGGTCCCTGCCCATTATTAAGCATTCCACATTTTGTCCAAGTCTTTCTTTGGCATCATTTATTTTATTTTTAGATGGCCACAGAGCCAAACCTACCTGTGTCATGTTTGGTTCCACCTAACTACAAAGCTCATGGGTTCATGCTGAAATCCTATTGGAGTAATTACTCATCCTCTCCAAATCATTGTTACTATGGTGAGTCAACAAGAGAATAGGAACTGAAGAGGATGTTACCTCGCTGCGAGTATTTATTCTCGAGTCCTGTTGTTGTTGTACAGATGAATGCTAGGGTAAGTCACAAAGTCTTGAAAGATAAAGTTACAGCGTACTTTCAAGATAACATGATAATTGTAAGAGATTATTTGCCAAAAGGAAAAGTGAGGTTAAAGGTCACAGTAGGCTTCAGAAACGTAAGAGTGTCTGCTTGGGCAACTCTGTTACTCTTGTTTAGAAGTTTTTGTTCTCGAAGGTGCCAATGATGTGAGCACTTTCTCACTTTATAGGCTTTGCCTCTGTCTACACCAACCCTAATCATGAAGCTTTGCTCCTGTCATGTCACCATTCAGTTTGTGTTGACATGTGACATGATACTTAGTAGGGCTGGGACGATATGCTTTTCTCCTGATTTGATTCTTCTACGATTTTTTTGGATGCCGACTCAATCTAAATTGCGATTCTACGATATTGTCAATTTTCTTGATTTTTAGTCTGCATTATTAACACCAGTGAAACAGTTGAATGATTATGATTGTCTACTGATGTTCCTGGAACCATATTTCCGCAAAAAAAAACACATCACATGGAAGTCAGTTTTAAAGATTTATTCTTAAATTTGTTTAAAAAAAAGATTGAGCAAAAAAATCAATTAAAAAATGTAAAAACAAAAAATTTGGATAGTGAATGTGAATTGAATTTTTCTCCCACCCCTGATACTCAGGGCTCATGTACATATGTTAAGTGTATTTATTGTTTGACCCAAGCGTTTTCCTTAAGAACATAGATGTTAGTCCTTTGAATGAACACACAAACACTGATAAGTTGCATGCATGCTTGTGTTGTAATTAAACAACTGGACTTAGAGATGGAACGATTCAAACAACAGATTGAGATATTTCTTTGACCCAAACATTTTTAGATACACTATTTAATGTTTACTTCCATTTATTTATTAAAGATGGCCATCATAAGATACTGAAACAAGACAACACTTATATAACGAGGTTAAATAGTAAGCTGTCAACATGTAGACAGGTGACAGAATAATCTTTTTTCAGTCATATATAAGATGTCAAAGCTTCTGTGTTAAAGCTTGTAGTAGCAGTTTACTCAGTACTTGGAGTCACATGTTCAGAAGGGCAGTAACATGGGTCTTCACACTATAACTACATTTTGGGGTGACAGAGACAGTACCGACTTTGTTTTAAAATCGAGAAGACGATCTTCTGTGTTCAGTCCTTTTAACCACATGATGAGGATTTTTTTTAGCTCAACTTTTTGCAGAAGATCAAAAAAATGAGAAATACTGAGATCTTCATCACGTAAAATGATCTCAAGAAGTAGGACTGTTCGGCAGGTATGCACTTTTGTGTAAACATGACCTTGCTGACCTTTAACTTTATACTACCTTTACTAGCAGTCTGATATAAAGGGTAGCCATCAGTGGTGATATCTGTCCCAATTAAGAAAGGATGGATAAACAAATGACCTTGATTTCAACTGTCGCTGTTGTCAGCTAACCTTTGTTTGCCTTCTACTTTTGTTGCTTCTGTTTATTGCTGTCAGGAACACCGTGACCACCACATTAGCATCATTACTTGATCACTGACTATCTAGCAATGCACTTTAGTAGATTCGGAAGCTGATACAAGTAAACCTACAACATCCATGATGGTAAACAGATTGATTGTTTCTTTTGTTTGCTGCTATCCAGGGAGAATAAATAAATATTGCACATACCAGCTTATCTCGGAAATTGGTCTGTGATATTTCTCAATTTGTTTTTGTGTGCTAAGAACAATGTTATACTCACACAGGGAAAGTCTTTGTTTGCTTTCCTTGTAAGTAGGAGGGTAAGGTGTCAGCTACAGTAAAGCACCTGCAGGTGTCAAAGACGAAGTCTCTCAGTGACAAACCCTTGTTTAGACCTGACTTACTGAAGAACTGTCTTCCAGCTTTTCTACTATGCTAGTGTCTTACTCTACCTGGTAGATAAGGACTGACCTTGTGGTCTTTGAAAGTGACACAGAGGCTGTTGATCCAGTTTATGCAAACACATAAGCTTGTGTTTTTAACCAAAATATTTCCCCGGAGGACGATTGAGAGTGCAGTGGAGGTATTATATTCCTTTACGCTTGGACTTGCCCTTAAGGCTGCAAACTGGTTTTTGTGTTTCCTCTTTACACTGATGGCTTTTACTATGAGTTTTACCCTTGGTTCAATAATATTTGATAGTTTTAATCAGTGGAACATGGATATGGTACATTTCTATATGGATTCACACACTCATACTTGTACTGAGTTTGTTTCTGCTGCAAATGAGACTCACACAGTCATGATTCACAGCTTGACTTTCTCTTAGGGAAATTGTGCTCATATCAGTCTCTCTCATCTCACTGAGTTGGGTTATTTGCATCCTGCTTTGCCTTCTCTGGGAAGTTTTTCTCCTTTTTTTAACATGCCATCATAGGAAGGCTTTCATACCAAAAAACTAGAGGTGTTTATTTCGGTTTTTGTGTCACTATGTTTACTGTGCTAAGTAAACAAAGTAAGCAAGTTTTTTTTTCAGCACACGGGAGCATATCCAAAACAAAACAGACCATGAGGTGTGACTGACAATATTGTCTGACAGCTATAGTCATCATAGAGAGGCAGGGCATTGTCCACTCTCTGAGGCTGAGTGTTTTGTTCTGTTGTGTGATGTCAGTGGATCCATTACATGACTCTATAATGATACAACAACGCAGTGAAACCTCCCGTGAAAATAACCCCTTTGTCACCGGTATGCATAGTCTTACATGCAGTTTCCCTTTTCTCTCTCTTGATTGACTTTGTATACTTCAGCTTGGGTCATTTAAAACACTGTTTAATCGAGTATTTCTTCACAGAGTTGCAGGCAATAGAGTTTGCGGCTGGTTCACCCTGGATGCAGAGAAACCAGTTTCACAGAGGGTGTGTCTGGTCTGGTGTATGTTTTTAGGATAATGATTGTAGTAATCTTATTTAGAGAACAGCTAGTCCAAATAGATTATATAGCTTGCGTGACATGATGCTACATTTTGTCTTACAGCACCACACCTGAGCTAAGACATAAGTCTGTGATGAATGTCATCTTTGTGTAGGTCTTAAATGATTATTTTCAGAGTGGGTTTAAAAACGAGGGAGACACATGTAGCAGCACATCTTTAAATATGTAGATACCAACCTCTGAGCTGGTCATGCCCCACTGACCTTGATGCTTGCTCTGCTCCACTCACTCATATGATTATAACTCCAGGGAATACACCAGCTGTCTTAATCTGCCACTGGACATGTCACAGAGCAGATTTCTACGCCGGCAGCAACATTTTTAAAATGCTCTTTGACTTAGAAAATAAAGACTGCTGATAAGAAAAGTTTATCAATCTTAGTAGATCCAGAAGTGCATCTGCTCTCCTTTTTATCTATAAATTGTTTGTGAAGTTTTATAAGCAGTCATTTGCCAGCAACACTGATATAGAAACTTATCTGTGTCTGTGTGTTTTATCTCTCCGTAGAGAATGTACCTGCAGAGCTGCGTGACCCTTTCTACTGTGACCAGTATGAGCAGGAGCACCTTAAACCGCCAGTCACACGCCTCCTGCAGACCTCGGAGCTCTACTGCCGCACCTACAGCCTAATACTAGGTGGTACTGGACCCGAGGCCCAACCCAAAGACAATGCTGCCCTGGTGCAGCTCCTCACTCAGAGAGGCCTGCTCTCCAAAGAACAGGACACGCCGGTGACTGATGCAGATCTTCAACATAAACCCATCAAAATGGTAAAGTTATAAGAATAAAGTCAAACCTCCTTAGCACACGCTTTTACAATTTGAAGGAGTGTGTCATTTAATTGAAGAGTGTATTATTTAGCAGAACAGGCTAGAGAGTGGTTGATGTGTGCAAAGAATTTTCATTTTTTGATTGTAAAACCCAATGAATGAAAGATTTTTCCTATCATATATATCAGGAGCTTCTTGTCCCTGAAGCTTTCATTTCATTTCATTATTGAGAGGAGTGAGCAAGGGAGTGTTTAAGTCTAGAATCTGATTGCTAGATATCTCTAAATTTCCCCATTTCTACTCACTATACTGCTCTAGAATAGCGTGATGTGTTTATACTTTGCTGCTCGAGATTAAAGGACATCAAAAGACCCTCACTCATACAGTCCCCTCCCCACCCCCTGCCACCAGCTGATCTTAGAGGATGAATGGATCCAGCTGCCGGGACTAGGGAAGCCGTGGTTATACAAGGGATGACTTCTTTAATTCCAGGGAACGAGAGGGAAGAAGGGGGTGTTCAGTTTTACTAGAAAGTCCAGATCAGTTGTAGAACAATGGATAAACCGTTCTGGTGAAACTCTAGATTCATGCGTTTAAAGAGCACCTTAGACCTGCTCTGTGAGTTAGAGCGAGTCAAACTGGTTTGTGCTTGTAGCCCCTGAAATTGATCTTTCACTTTGTCACTCTCTCTCTCTCTCTCTCTCTCTCCCTGTTTTCCTCTGTCATTCTACCTCTCTCTGTCACCCTGTCTCTTATTGTCTCACACCCTGTCACTCCCTCTCTCTTCCTATCTCTCTCTGTTTTCCCATTTGTCCTCTTGTCATTCACTCTCCATCGCTCTCTCTGTTTCTCTGTCTTAAGTACACACATAGTGCTAAATCCTGAGTGACAGAGGTTGCTTTAATCAGGATTTCTTTCCTATTTTTCATTACACAGTGGTTATCTCTATCCTGTCTTGCCTCTTTAAATTTCTCAATCCATGGGAGTAATTTCAGCGCCGCTCTAGAGAAACAGCCGGCTTAGCTGTAACATGCCACGATGAGCCCTTTCCTTCACTTAATACCTGTATAAATATTTGTTTTCATACCTCCACAACATATACCTTTTGAGAACTAACATGCGCAGAAACGGTGGTTCTTTTAATCTATGATGATGATACTGTAATATGCGTCAGGAATTTATCTGTTTCCGTGCATCGTAGTTTTGGGCTCTGCCTCCAGGCCAATCCATGGACCACCTTTGCTGTAAAGCCTAATCTCTAAGCTTGAATTTTGGCCATCGCTGTTAATACTGCATTTGCTGTTTGCCGCTTTGGTAAAAGAGACTTCCTGTCACTGCTTGGCCCTTTGCTGCTCCCTAAGCTGCTGTCTGCTGCTGACCAGCGCTGTAGCCACCAGATACAGTGTGGCAAGCAAAGAAAGTGGGTCATGCTGCAGCATTACAAGGATGGAGCATCAATGTGGGTCTTGGCCGATAAACAGGTCTGAAGCAGCAGCAGAGCGCTGCAGCTCTGCTAAAAACTAAAGCTTCACAAATATGTGTCATATAAAGAAAGTGAGTAACAGTACAATGTTGGTGACAAACCATGTGCTTCTGCTAACTTTCTTTTAGTATATCACATATCCAAAAGCTTCTTTGCTGTTTAGATCATAAAGACACTGATTCTGGCTTGGTTTGCTGCAATTCAGAGTTGCAGTGATTTGTTCTTTATTAAACTACACAGTTTGTGCCGCAGAGAGAGCAGGACAAAAACAGGCACATTGTAGCACAACTGACTCATACACAATTATACTACAGTAGCAAATAATTCCTTTAGAGAATCTCTAAAATGCTTTCTTAGGAGTAAAAACTAACTGTTGGTTGATGTTCTTGACCTTGAAATTTCACCGTAATGGTTATACTCCAACAAAGAAAACAGGGTTTACTATTGTTACCTGTAATTGTGTGAGCCTGAGATCGCTTATTGAAATGTTGTCTTGTAAACACAGCACTCTGTTCATATTTGTTCACACGGTGCTGATTGTTATTATGGACACAACATGCACTGATATTGTGATGGTGTGTGTGAAAAAGTGTCCTGAACACCTAAACTCAATAAGAACAGTTTTGCTCTTTCCTCTGTCGATGAAGAAGGATAAAGTCTATGGCACTCCTTCTGAGACTAGAGTATGAATCCTTGTCTTTAGAAGTCAGGTTTATATTAAAAGCTCTGCAGATAGCACATCTTTGAGGCTCAGTAATGGTGCCTCTAGCTACTCCATTCCCTTCCTTGTTGTATGTGTGTTTGGCCTTATGGTAACTGTCCTTCTAGCGGGGGCCCAGCCTAGATTAGAGATAATCTGCCATGCAGACTGAACGTCATCATCCATGATTAGATGACACACCAGAGATGACCAGTGATTTACCATGCAACTATCATGTCACTTACTCGTTTCATCTATTTCAAACATACTGATTCTGGTTATGGCGTTGGGGGTGAAACATTTTTTCTTAGAGTAACAAAGTAAGTCATGTAGCCATAATTCAGCTAACCCTCTTCCTGGTCCCCTGTTGGTTTTGGATCGGCACTGACTGACACTTTGTCTTAAATCACACTGCTGTGTTGGCAAGTTTCTGGTCAAGTGAGCATCAGTCAGGAGCTTAGTTGAAAACAGAAGTGGCAGACTATCAGAAGCACTAACCATCATCTTACAGTATTTGTTCTGCTTTAGGCCTGTGCTGATCAAAAACTAATATGGAGCAACATCAAAAATCTTATCTTGAAAGACCGTAGTGTACTGCTTTCATGACTGTAATTCCTCACAAAGCATTCATTTCAGGAGCACATAATTGTTCATATAACCATGTGTTTTTAAAAAAACCTCTAGCCTTAAATCCCCTGCCGGGCCCCAGACCTGCCTGATCCCCCTGTTTGTCTCCCCCTCAGTAAGCACCAGGCATGGTAGGGGGGTGGGGTTTAAATCATATTTCAGACATAATCTGATTTTGCCCTCATCATAATCTCACTTAATGATTCACAAGATGCCTTTGTAGTATTTGTTTTTAGACCCGGTTGTTGACGTGGTTATGCATCATTATGAGAACCTGATGTGGTCCATGTGAGGGGTGTGATTTTTTTTTTTCCTCTCTCTGTGACATTGAAGAGTACTAACTGTTTGCTTGCTGGATGTTTCTGAGCAGAGCTGGTGCTAAGCCACTGCACAGAGCAATGCTGCGGTCGGGCTTGTGTAGAGATGCATTGTGGGTCAGATGGTTGGTTGTTATGGTGACCTGGCAAGCTCTGCGCTGGGTGTTCATGAGTTGCTCCTCTCTCCCCTCTCATTAGGGAGACTTGTGATTTAGCTTAGCGAGCTCCCCCTTGGTCTGCAAGGCAAATCCACTAGCGGGCCCTCTCCACCTCCTGTCACTCTGCACTTTTTGCCATAGATTAACCAGCTGCACTCTCGTCTGAATAACTGCTGAAAGACACAAGAACAGGGTTGGTCATTTAGCTGTCAAAAATCATTTGTTTTTATACCAAATATTTAAAAACACAGCTTACTCTTTATTTTAACCCCAAAACTCAAGAATAAAGAAAAGACTATTGTTGTTATTTGTCCAGTTGCTGCTTAATAGTTATAAATCTTTTCAATACAATATAACACTGCCACATAAAACAACCTCAGCTATGGTCTTATTTAATGAACGCCTTTCAACGCCTTTTGTTAGGATAAAAACTGGCCTCTAAAATCTTTGCATCTTCTAGAGCTGGCTGATAAATCAAAAATACACCAATACCAAAATTTACGACAATAACCGATGTCATTTTGCCCATATCGGTTTATTTGGTGTCAAAAAAATAAATAAAAGTTGGTTTTGGATGTGTGTAGGTAGGCTATGGTCTCATGTCCCTTTAAGACGCTGTCCTATGTCAGAGACGTGACTCCACCCCATCCAGTCCGTAACAAAGAGGGAAAGACAGGTGAGGAGATGGAGGACGGTTCAAAAGTGAAGTAGACAAAGTTAATGTGGGAGGGGGTGAGCAGCTTGTGAAGTAGTTATTGTCCATTTATTGTTATCGAGGTGAACTGCTCAATGTATCATGATATCCATTTGAGACCATATCGCCCAGCCCTAGCATGTGCTGTTGTACTTTAAATGCTTAAGTACATAGTGTGCGTGAAACTTTGGCAGTGGGAATATACCGTTATGACAATTTTAACATAAATCAAAAAACACATGCTTTGTCTGATTGTAAACAGACAAGGCGTATGAGTTTCATCTTTACTCATGAAATTAATAATGTAAGTTTGATAAGGATGATAACTGGACCGTAGACTTACATCATGAGAGCGTCTCTGTGTCTTTGCACTTCCTTTTTAACATTGCTCCAAATCAGTCTGATTTTTATTTGCCCTGAGAGACCTCATGATTAGAAGACAGACAAGCCATGTCACAGATGCCTTAGCTGTCTTGGCAGCAGTACCGGGAGGGCAGACCAACCATGGCACCACAGCCTCTAGTGACTGACTGCAGCACATTGAGAGAGCTTGGCCCAATCCTATCTGACAAGGCTTTGCTGGCATAGCACACCCTGCCCACCTCAGCACCGGGTCTGCCCAGGTCAGCACTTTACATCAGGGTTGAGTAGACAGACATGCAGTGAGGCCTCGAGCACACAGCTGGATTGCCACCAGCTCCTATCTGGGGCAACATAAGAGGTTAAAGTAAGAATTTTCTGCCCGCTAGAGTGGAATTTGTAAGCAGTAAAAGGGAGCAGGCACTGATTTGCACAGATTAGGCTCAAAACTGAAGATTGGAGTAGTGGCCCCATGACAGGAATGTGCTGTTTACGAGTGGTCTGTCGTCTCTGCTCGCCAGAATTAATTATTTTAACAAGGACTCCGGGAGTAGTTTGAAAAGTGGTGAACGAGACTTGAGTTATGCTAATGGGTAGCAACTAGAACTGATAAATATAGATGAGATAAAGATAGATCATATTAACCTAATAAGGTGGGAGAGTTGTTTATAGTATAATCTCACTTGCCAACATGTTCCCCCTCAATCTGTCATATTGCTCTCCTTCTCTCACCTCCACTCTCGAGTTATTCTAGCCTTTCAGTACCCACTCTGAAGACGTCTTATCCCCAACAAGACTTGTTGAAGTTTTCTTTTCATGGAAAGTTTGGGAAAGGACTTAATTTTCAAGTTAAGAGAGGATTCTATGGTTTTCCTTATCAATAGAAATGGTAATAAAGAGAAAAAACCTACAAAGAAAAATATATAAATGTTACAATTATTTTTTAAAGATATATAAATATAATATTGTTACTCGTTTGCAGGACTGAAATGCTATTATGTAAACGTCTGAAAATTCACAACAGTACATGTTGGTAGAGCGTATAAATTAGATTTGGTTGCAGCTTCATGTCTCAAAGCACAACTTCTAATGAGCTAACTGGTTTATAGAGTTAAGGCGCTTTCTCTGACTGAGCCGATAATGTTAGCGGTGCATTTTAATGGGCTCTCGTCTTAAGAAAGGGCTTCATAATGGTCTCTTAGGTAAAGGTAAATAAATGTATGTTTGTTGGGAGATCAGCGCTTGGGAATGTTAACTACAGCATGCGAGCGAGTTGCCCTACATTGATGTTTAAATCCATCCAAACATCAGAATAAGTCTGTTTGTATTGTGAAGGCTTGTCATTGTTGTGCTTCCTTGTGATCTAGTTAGAACACCCTCTTTTATCCTGCTGTCTGTTTAGCATGAGTCATACAGCATAGGGGAAGGGAGCAGGAAGACTGCAGAAGAGAAGGCAAATAAAGGTAAAGCAGCTGTGGAATGACAGTCCCTGGACACACGTGTTATCATATTATCAGCGCGCAGCCTATTTAAGGATTTAATGATTGAACAAACATGGGTCCAAAGTTCAGCTAGATCCACCGCCGTGTCCGTTTGTTTGTTGAAAAAATAAGGTTTCTGCTGACTCACAGCTGGCTTCTGATGACCTCTAGAGGATACTGCTTGTAAAAAAACAAAACAGTGGAATTGTGTTATTGGAGGTACTCTCTGTTCTGGACAAAGCAGTTGATATGGCTGCATCTTACGTTATTTAGTTAGCTGTAATTGATCGATACTGTCTAGACTCTAGTTGCGCATGGTTTCACCAGTGACATTTCCTCTCCTCTCTACCTTGTGATTGATGCAGAGTGCTCACCTGGCAATGATAGACGCCCTGATGGCTGTGGGAGCCATGGAGACGGTGACTGCCGTGAAGTCAAGTGATTCAGCCACGCTCCTGGGTGGAGCATCCAGCTGGGAGGATGCTCTTCTTAACTGGGTGAATGGGGTAAGGATGAAAAACACACATCTGGACATAACTAACATTGGTTAATCAGTCAGACTTTTCTACCTGTTCAACCTCGATTGGAAATGATCTGTCTGCTGGGAACAGAAATACATAAAAGGATGCAGTGCTTCTAGATTTGTCATATTTATGTTATTTGTCTTCTTTCCATGCTCTCTCAGTTGAACCAGAAATTAAGAGAAAGCACCGAAGAAGCCCAGACTGACACGTCTCAGGCCATTACAGAGCCCCAACCTGTTCAACCCTCTGTGAGTATACCAAGAGACATTTCGTATATATCTGCCTCCGGTCTGACTCTTCTTTCCAAACGCACATGATGATTTGATTATGATTCTACGCCCATTTCCTGTTTGTCCCTGCTTAGTCAGTATTTATTGTTGGTTCTGCCGTACCTCCTCACACTATACAAGCACAACAAGTACAACTCATAGACGAAATAAAACGAAGGGTGGCGTCACTGCTTCGTTAATGAGGCTGTCTTGTCATTTTGAAAAGGTTCCTCATCCCAACCCTTTCTCTTGTTTGTCTAGTTCTTCCACTTGTAGGCTTAATGCGTCTCTCCTCTGCTCCTGTTCTCCATTTCCCTGTCTCTCTCTTTATATCCTGTCCCTTCTCCTTCCTCTCTGACAGTGTCCTACTCGCTGGTACTGGAAACTTGTTCCTGTAAGTTCTTTCCTTTCCTCTGATCCTCCCCCCTGTCCCTCCATCCCTCCAGTGTCTTCATCAAATTTATCAGCAAAAATCTGATGGTCAGTTATGTTATTATTTTTATTTTTTGTCTTTCATTTGCTGGTGTGAGAATGCGGGTTTGTGCATCTTATCCTAGTCTGCATTTAATTGCACGTCATGGAACGAGGCAGAGCAGGGCTGTGACAGGCATTGTTTGTTGACACACACAAGAGGCCAATGAATCACGTTTATTTGCAATACACGAGGGACGCGAAACGCCCGTGTCTAACCGGTTCCTCTGGTCTTGTGTGCAGCTGAAGTGTATGTTTGTGCAAAGTCAGCTACAGAAGTTTACAGAGACAAACTTCTTGTTAGCTGGGCTGTTTGAACACGCTGTAGTTTAACCTGAAACACTTATACCTCTCTCTTTCTTTATCTCACTCTTCTCTCTGCGACTCCCTGCTATTTCACTTTCACTTTTTCACTTGAATAAAAAAAATCTTTCTTTTTTTGCTTTGATTAAATCACTCATTTTGCATTTGCCATTTTTCAACTAAGACTTCTGTTTCCAGCATGTTTTTTTTCTGTGTCCCCTTTTTAACACTCCTTTTTTTAATATCTTTAGTGATACATCAGCATGTATCACGTTGGGAGAACCTTGACTTTAATAATAATTGTACTAAAATATCAAATCATCTGGATCTTAGTGTGGTTTTTGAGTCTCTTGATTGTTTTTTGTATTTTTAGCTCCGTTACAGGAAGGATAAAATTCAGTCCAAACAGAAGCCAATATTTCCGGTGGTGAATGAAGTCAAAGACCTGTCCAGTGGTTGTGCAGTCGCTGCAGTCATACATCACTATTGCCCTGGTCTGCTTAGACTTGAAGGTACCAAAAAAACATCTTTACAAACTTTTAAAAATCTCTTGTGTTGAAGTTTCTAACTCTTGTTTTCGCTTTTTTCCCCCCCAAGATGTTTGTATGAAGGAGTCCATGTCTGTAGCAGACAGCTTGTACAACCTGCAGTTCATCCGTGAGTTCTGTGACAGCTGCCTGAGAAGCTGCTGTCATTTATCACTGGAGGACATGTTATATGCACCACAGGAGCTTCAGGTGGAGTATTTACATAACCTTTCCTTAATTGGGGGGAACACATCTGTATGGAACTGGTTCTTACTCTTGTTGCTGTTTTGTGATTCATGCAGGTGAACTTGCTGAGTTTCCTAGCAGAGCTGCTCAGCTGGTTCGAAGTGCAAAGGCCAGAGTTTGTTCAGCCAGGAGACGCATCAAGTGAGTGTTATTAATTTTTCTGGCTTTTGTCAAACTATGCAATCTTAAAGTGAGATCATAACATTGAAAATATTTGTAATGTTTTTTTTTCAGGTGGATCCACAGCAGTAACACCACATACCTTAAGTGGTAACAGGTACAGATCCTCTCTAAATGAGCTTTTTGATGATTCTAGTGCAGTGTACATGAAAAAGGAGCTTTAAACTGATTTTTTTCTTTTTTTTTTTCCACTTAGTACCTCTCCCTCTATCTTCAAGAAGCCTTTCCTGCCCATCTCCTCCCCAGCGTCAGGTGAGATTAAGACTTAAGCCTGTCAGTACTAACCAAAACCTCTGTGTTTTTGTATGTTCTCATCAGTTATCCTTAATTCTTGCTCATTTTTCTGTTCTTTTCTGTGTTGTGTAAGAGGATTACTGTCCTGTTTTTTGTGGATATTTTAAACCTTTTTACATTAAATTATGTTTATTGCTTGCTGTTTTTGTGCATCCTTGTGTGGTGTGCATGCCTTTACATGTCTGTGTGTCCCATTGTACTCAGGATCTTTGACTCAGTCTACCTCAATGTCTCATATAGAAGGAGTTGGAAAGACATGGAGCAAGAAACCTCTCAGGTATATTTCTTAAGTTTTGAACGCTGTCGTTTTAGATCATCTGTTATATACTTAAAATCTTTTTTTTATTATTATTCTTAGCCGGCCTTTGTCAGCGGTATCCTTCAGCATTCCTTTTGGCCTGGACAGTGATGTGGACATTGTGATGGGAAACCCTGTGATAACCCGCTCTGTGAGCTCAGACCAACTCAACCCAGCAGGCCAAACCATGACTCGGGTGCCCTTCAGCCCTCCCGAAGACCTCAGCTATTTGCTAAGCAAACCCCCTGGTCCCAATGGTCCACAGAGAGCTTCTTGGGCCACTCAAACACCCAGTATTCCGAGGCTAGCAGAGGAGAACGGCATTACAGCAAGTGAAACAGGAGAACTCCCGACTATCGAAGAGGCTCTTCAAATCATCCACAATGAGAGCAAGATGGAGCCCCGCTTACACCCAGACGGTGCTCCTGATGGCTTCTACCTCCACTCTCCTGACGACCCTGCTAGCTCTAGACACAAGACCACCTTAGCACCCATCAGCTGCTCTGCCCCTTCACGCTCAGGAATGATGTACAGACCCTCAGGAGAGCCCAGGGAGCCCGTTCGTACCAGAAACGCCTCTGAATGTTCACGCGATGATGACTCTGTTTTGAGAGATGGAAGTGTGGACTCTGATGCATCAGAGGACCTTCCCAAGGCTCAGTCCACTCCATCCACACCAGCTGCCGGTACACAGTCCGCCAGAGGCCATGGCAAAGAGACATCTGACAGCGGGGTGAAAATGACCAGCTTTGCAGAACGAAAAAAGAAACAGATTATGGACTCTCCCAAAGCCAGCGACCCCTCTTCTCCTCCGATGACCTCTTGGGCACAAAAGTCTGATGAAAGCCCAAACAAGAGTCCGCAACTCAACAATGAAGTGTCTGAGCTGGGGGTGAGACTTGAGGAAAAACGTAAGGCCATTGAAGCCCAAAAGAAACGCATTGAGGCCATTTTTGCAAAACATAGACAAAGGCTTGGAAAGAGTGCTTTTCTGCAGCTGAAGAAAGAACAGCAAGAGGACGAAGGCAAGGAAGGAGAAGAGGGCCTGATCAGGACGTCATCCACAGAAGAAGACCTGTCTCGTTTGACACTTGAGGAAAGATTAGCTCGAATGGAAGAGGAACAGGAACAGGATGAACAGCACCCCTTAGTGGATGAGGAGGGCAATGTCAAAGGAGGATCCACGCTTAAAAAACCAGGTAGTCACTCAAGAGAAAAAGCTGGAACACCAGGAGACAAGGGCTCCGGGGCACCTGGGGAGAAAATGGTTGCTCCATTAGGGGACTATAACAATGCTGTATCCAAGCTGACCGCGGCTCTTAGCTCATTACAAAGCGACATGCAGAGACTGACTGAACAGCAAAACCAGTTAATGACGAAGAAAGCTGCAGCTCCTGGCAGTAAATCCTGGGTCATCCCAGCCAGCCCGAAAACCTCAACACCAGCCCCTTCCCGTGTCTCCCGGGAATCCACGCGAGATTTAAATTCTGCCTCCTCCTCTCCCTCTCCGTCACGCAGAATTACAAATCACACCACTCCTCATAAATCTCCTCGAGTGCAACGTAGAGCCCAATCCATGCCCCCCAAAAGCCCCAAACACCACCATCACAGTCGCACCCTGGATTCAAAAGCTCCAACCCTATCCAGGGTTCTCAATCCACCACAGAATGTGGACCGCATCCCCCACCTCCGCCGTGTCAATCCATGGCAATCTCAAGTTCAGACTTCATCTTCATTCTCCATCGGTGATTCTGACAGCCTAGATGACTTGCGTTCAACAACTCCTCTCACGACTCCTACGCTGACCCCTGCACCTACACCGACACCCACGCCGACTCCCCGCCTCGCTGCAGATGAGACGATGTCAGAGGTGGGCTCCATCGATGATCAAAGTATATTCAGCATGGACCTGGAAACAGGACCTCCACATGGCCTTTCAGTCAGAAAAGAAGATCTTCCAAGTGGGGGCTGCAGCTCTGGTGCTGCATCAGAGTGCTCCTTTGAGAGCGATGCCCCTGCAGGTGTGCTGAACGGCAAACGCAGTAGCCTGATAGAGATTTCACTATCTGCTCTGAGGGGGGACGGCCAGGACGAGGATGACCAAGTACCTGATTCTTTCTGTGACTCAGTGAGTGAGCGGACAGAGGCGGACATGAAAGGCGTCGGTTTCTTTTTCAAGGTAGGCGGCTGATCATTACTGCTGCATGTGCAATTCTTAAACGTACCGTTTTCACAAGGTCTGAGTGTTCAAGCCTTTCTTATTCCTGTCTCGTCATCAGGATGACAAGGAGCGAACAGACGATGAGATGGCCCAGCGAAGAGCAGCTTTGCTGGAGAAACAGCAGAAGCGAGCAGAAGAGATGAAGAGACGCAAACTGGAACAGGAAAAGGAAAAAGAAAAAGAGTCAAAGTAAGAAATTAGTTTCTTGGAATAATCATTACATATATAATATCTGACATGTAGAATTTGGTACTCTCCAAACTAATTTTGAGGAGTTTGAAGATTCAATATGTTGTTGCTAAGACAGTTATCTTTATGTTGGTAATGTTCGACAAATCGCTGCAATAAACTCTTAAAAATCATCTGGGGTTTTTATCCTTTGTTACCTGATCAGTGCAACAAAATCAAAGTTCTTCTTTTTCGTTCTGTTAGCAAGCCTCAGTGGATGATCATTGAGGGCTGGGGGAATAAGGGTGAGGATAGACCTCAGACCCCAGGAACACCACCAGCAACACGCACTCCACCACCAGAGGGAACTCCTCAGCGCAGAGGAGACTTCACCAGGCAGGAGTATGAGAGGAGGCAGCAGCTGAAGATCATGGAGGACTTGGACAAAGTGCTGAGGCAGAAACCCACCACGGTTCGAGGTGTCAAGAAACAGAGACCTAAGACTGTTTTCAGGGATGACTCAGTCCTCTCTCATAGCCCTGTCAAAGGATACATGGGTAAATATTCCTGATGCTCTCAGGTGTATTTGTATATATCTGTATGCTCTCATTACATACTCTTTATACTTATATCTCTTTCCTTTCTTCATTCAGGAACCAAGCTAAACAAAGTCTACTCCCACTCAACCATGAACCTGTCATCCATGGCAAATGACTCAGGAGGTCTGACTGTCAGGAAGTCTCCCAGGTAACCTTCCCAGTGTCATAAGCAGAAACTAATACTCCTCAAACTAAGAATTTTCTAATTGTCTATTGTCCAATTTTAGTCAGTCTGTGCTAGGGCTGTCCCGATACGATATTGATAACAGATATCGGTCCGATTTCAACAAAAAATCAAATATCAAATTATATCAGCCTGCATCTAAAATCTCTGATATCAGCACTCCGATACAAGCAGTCCATTCCAGACTCTGCTCCAACACCTCTATCTAGCGGCACTTGGATTCAGCATGTAGAGCCCACGTGATCACAAAACAGTGTGTACTAAGGTACTAACAAAGTAACAAGGAGTAGGAGTGATGTCGGCTGTGAGGCAGTATTTTTTGTTGAAGTCCGAAAAAGTGCAAAACCTGTCATGCACAAGTTTGTGCTAAAATCGGATCAATATCAGTATCAGGCAATACTGAAGGCTACAATATTGGTATTGTATTGGAAATAAAAAAAGTTGTATCGGGACACCCCAAGTCTGTGCTCTCCGAGTTGTATCCTCAGTTTCCTGTCTTTAGCTAACAGCAGTGGCACCCAGTGTGGTCTTCAGCTGCTGTAGCCCATCTGCTTTGAGATTAAACATGTTGTTCTTTACATTCTTTATTTCTAACTTTCTTTACTTGACTTTTTCTCACCCCTCCAGTCGTTCACATTCTCCATCCCGGCTAATGTCACCAGGACGAATGCACGCTCATAACGGAGAGAGAGACTGGGAGACTGGTTCAGCTATCTCCTCCCCTGCCTCAATCCCAGAATACACCGGTGAGTGAAGTGTTTGATACTAAATGATTACAGAATATTTACAGAAAGCAGTGAAGATGTCAACATTTGGAAATGTTGTGTCTTACAGGGCCAAAGCTCTACAAGGAGCCTAGCTTTAAGTCAAACAAGTTCATCATCCATAATGCAATCTCTCGCTGCTGCCTGGCCGGCAAGGTCAATGAACCGCAGAAAAACAAGATTGTAGAGGTAAGTCACACTGCTGACCGACAGGAAGACCGCTAACAGGCTTCAAGTGACATTTATTATCAGCTTCACTAACTTTAAATTTATTCCTGCCCTTACCTCTTTAGGAAATGGAGAAGAGCAATGCAAACCACTTCCTAATCCTGTTCAGAGATGCAAGCTGCCAGTTCAGGGCAGTTTACACCATGAACCCAGAAACCGAGGAAATGGTACGGCTCACTGGGATTGGCCCCCGGATCATCTCACCTGAGATGGTTGAATCCATTTACAAGTACAGCTCTGACCGGAAACAGTTCACTGTCATCCCGTCCAAAACCATGTCTATGAGTGTTGACGCCTTTACTATCCCGGGTCATTTTTGGCAAAAGCGCCCAGGAACTCCCAAGAAGCTGGGCACCCCGAAGTAAACACATACCCAGGATGGGCAGGGATGAAACCATTCAGGGAACCAACCCCCAACGTGACTCTTTTGTCTGCTTTTTTGGCCAGTGAGGCACTTAGGATTATTTATTACCCAGTTAGAATAGTATTGGATGGCATGATTACTTTGACTTTTGGCCGGTTATCAACTTGGACCACAGGAACAATCCAGTCAGCTAAACATGCCAAGAGAAAAGGCCAATCACTCTCCTGTTCCGCCAGTCTTATCATCATAGTTTGTCCAATGAGAGCTTCTGTTCGGCTCTGCTTGGTCCACCCAGATTGTAAAATGTAAAACATCGTATCCTGTCTTGATGAAGAATTCTCTTTACTAGCACCCTGCTTCCTCTTGTCTTGCCTTACCCTGCCCCCCTGAGTCATTTTTGTGACTCTTAGGTTAAAAATAAGAGGGGAGAATCTTACCGCTCTTGCCCACACAACAGTATTCGGGGCCAGAGCGATTCTCAAACCCTCTAAATTCTGCTTGCTTTTCCTTTCGCTGCCTTTTCTTCTACTTCCAGGGCTTACTCTCTCTCTCTCTCTCTCTCTCTCTCTCTCTCTATTCTGCTGAGACACACGGCTCACCTCTCAGTCCTGATAGGAGATTGGAAAATTAACAGCAGGTAATGCTGCACTCATGAATGTAGGGCACGCTCAAATCACTCATTTCATTCAGGGTTGTTTTCTAGAAAATCCCACAGTGGGTGGTTTCTCTGTGGCCTGCACTAATGGTGGCTACTATGGTTGTCAATTGACTTGCACACGTAGAAACTGCCCATTCTCCCAGAGTTTGTAAATTTCACTCCATTCCAACTTCTTCTGCTGTAGACATCTGGATGTTTTTTTTTATACTATTTTGAAATGTTTTTTGCTGGACAAATCGCTTCGGCCATTGAGAGCTGAAAGGAGAACGAAGTTCATGTGACTTTTTCTTCCTCACCTGCTTTCTCATTTGAAACATAATGAACTGAAACATTATCTGAGCTTATCTTGAAAACGATACTGGAAACATGAAGGAGGGCTTTATCCTATTTATCATGACTTGGATACGGCTCTGTGAAAATGATAATCAATGCTGGTTTAACATATATGCTGAATGCTGATTATTTTGATTTTTTTTTTTCAATGATTTGTAAAGTAAGATGACCTTTGTAAGCTACTAATAAGCTAGCCTGCTGCTTTAGCATTAGTGAGATGGATGTTTGAGATGAGAACGAGTGAATGAAAATGAAAAGAAATTGTCAAACAGGTGAGACTTGCTGAAACCTTTTGTCTGAGGATGAATAAATCCTTTAGGTCACAAGGAGTATGTTTCCTTTTTGCATTATTACCTGTTTGTGTGCACTGGCAGGTATTGATTTATTGAAGGATTGTTTAACTGTAACAGCCCGTATAGCCCACAAAGTGTCTAAAGACTCCGTCATGGGAGAATGTAAAATGTAAAATGCCAAGCCTGTTATTTTCTTTTCATTTTTTTGTGTCAGTGCATCTATGGGCTATTGGGGAAACACTTGATCATGCAAATGCTTGTGACCAGGTTAATTTCACCACATAATCAGTGAGGAGTTGACCATGGCCATCCCTTCTTTTGCGGTCTTAAGCACTACAGCAGCTGCCAGGGTTTAGCTGTCTTCTGACAAATCACAGACTGCCTCCAAAAATGTGTTGTTGGATTGAGACATGTAAAAAAAATCTGAAAGCATTAAAGAAAAACGACTAAATGATTGATGACAGTGTGAGTGGAGGAGTGTGTATGAAATTAGAGGATGTTTGTATTTATGTATTTGTAAAGAATAGTATGAGGTAGTTGAACACTATATTTTGATTCTGTGCAATTCTCCCGTAGAAATTCCCACTACCAGAGGTGTATTTATTTGGTTTGCATTAGAAGGTGCATTTGATGTTTAGTTTCAGGTCCTACTTTTGTCTTTTTTTGGTTGAGGTTGTAAATCATTCATTCATTTCATAGAAGTTGTCATAACATTTATGTTGTTTTCTTCTGTTATCAAATCTGTGCCAGCACACATTGTATGTTCATTTCTTCATTGACTACCATTGGAAACTGGACAGACAAATAAAAAAAAAAAACCTTTTAAAACCATCACCGCCATGTTTTTTTTTTCCATACTCCTGATTATTTTCTCATCTTTAACGTTTGTTACTTTAATTTCAGAGCATCTTTGCCTGAAAAATCAGATGTGGATAGGTTGATTTACCAAACTTCTTTATTCTGTGATGTTTTTGTCTCTTTGCTTTACAAAACATCATGGTAGTGCTTGGATCGTGTATCTGTTCGAAACAGGACAAAAAAAGATTTCCTAGGGTTTAGGCTGAGGTAACACTTTTGGTAATAACACAATGACAAAGCAGGACACACTCTTCATTAGCAGTCCAAATATTCTCTGTCATTGCTTAACTTGCGTCCAAGTTTTACCATCTCTCTTGTAAAAGCTTACAGCTTTTGGAAGAGCACTTGTTCACGGTTTGCAGCATCTGCAAGAGTAAAAATGTTGGTTTTTGGCCCATGGCTTTCAGACAAGAGGTACAAAACTGACAAAACACACTCAGGCTGTATCGTTCTTGTGTCTCCAGTGCGACGGCAGCGTTTTCTCAGCTGTGTTTTGTGTGGAGCATCTCAGTCAGTAAAGAGTTACAGGGTAAATCTCCCACAAGATGGCGCTGGTACAAATACTCCTCAACCTGTAAGCTTATGCTGCGTACTTCAGGCAGCCTGAGCAGCAGCTGGCCGAACTTGTCTGAGTGTCCCGGGTGACTCTGTTGGGTGTGCTCCATCAGGGCCCTGTTTACTCTCTCTTGAGTCTGCTCCACCTGCCTTCGGTTTTGCACTGACTTCACATCTGAAACGGAGAGAAAAAAATCCACACTTTAATAATCAACACAATAGTTTATGTGAGTTCAACAAAATGTCACTTAAAGTCTAAAGGAAAATCTCACCAGGGTTAAATAGTACAAGGTACTTCAGACAAACAAACTCATGTCTGTCTAACTGGAGTGTCTTCAGTTTGGATACCAGGTCCTGGGTCCTTGAAACCAAAGCGTTTAATTTTGCACCTGCCTGAGAGATGATGGTGGAAACTTCGATCTGCGTCAGAATAAGAACAACAGGGAGGTCAAAGATTCTTCAAAACCATATTTGATACAAAAAAAGTCACCTTATCACACTAACATCAAACATTACCTGTTGTCCTGTGACTAAATAAATGCAGCCCTCTTTGCCATAGGTCACCTGTCTACAGAGGTGATCGAGGACCAGCAGCTCACTCCAGCAGCTCTGTAGCAGCACCATCTGATCTTCCACCTTTTGCAAACATAAAAAACAAATCTTTGAGTTAATGTGAGCTCCCAGTACAACAGAGTAAATACCAAAGGAGTTTTTATGTCACTTTTATATTGTGTGGTTCATTACCTTGAGCTCTTTGAACAGTGCACTATTCCTGGACCACTCCACAAGTCCAAACAGGGTCTGATCAGCCATTTTGCACATGATGCTGAATGTGTTGAGGCAGTCGTGTTTCCCCCTGTTGGCCTGTTCTCTCTGCAGGCTGGCGAGGACCTTGGCGCTCAGCTGGCTCTCATCTTGATCCCCCTCCATCAGCTGGCTTAGAAAGTTGGATGTAACAGGGGTTGATGGAGGGTTGTGCTGGAATTGGTCGGGGGTTTGGGAGAGAGGGGTGGTTGAGCTTGATGTTGAGCAGGGTGATGACGTTGGTGTGCGTCTTGGCGTGAATAAATTGACAGGATACGCTGAGTAGTTTGCCGAGTTTGAGCTGTGGCTATAGGACATGTCTTGCGTCTCCCGAAGGTGAGTGAGGTTGCAGTGATACAGTCCAGGATGAGGGAGGGATGGAGGAGTGAGCACCCTGTCTGTGTTAAAAGAGCAGTCTAGAGGAGTTACCTCACCTGACTGCCCAATGCCAGGAGGGTACATGTGTGGTGGATAAAAGGCACCAGAGGGCAAAGGGTCAGTGGTGTGACTGTCCATTAAATGGAGATCATTTGAAGCTGCAGGCTGATGTATCTGGGTAGTTTCCATCTTAATCCTGTGGGGAGCAGTGTTTACCTGGTGACACACATTTCGCTGTTTTAGCTGCCTGTCCCGCCGGTAGAGAGGACCAAACTTATTCCTCCCACCTCTCATACGGTCTGCTCTTACAGCTGAGGATCAAACATAAAACAAAGGTGTTGGAGCAAGAGTGCAAACACTGCCAGAGAATTTTAGACTCATTTTCAGTTCTCAGGGCTCAGATTGGCTCTGCAATACAAAGTCCTCATATGTGAAGATCTGGGTCATTACAGCACCAGTTTATGACTTGGTAGATAAGTCATACGGAAAAAAGAACATGCAAGTCAGTGGGACATATGACATGCTGCACTGGAGCGTACAATCACAATAGCATGAATGGGTGCATGTTTCTGTGATGCTGATAGCTGTAACTGTACCTTCTCTCCTCATGCCCACCGCTAAACACTTCTGGAAGCGACAGGATGGACAACGCTTCCTCTGCCAAGGGTTCATGGGGCATCTTTGTTGTTCTGCACAGGTATAGTGCTTGTTATTCTGAACTGAGCGTTTAAAGAAGCCCTGCGGAGAAAGAGAGACATTGTCGACCTGTTTCTTCATACAGTGCAGATCACAAGACAATCTTGTATATTAGATAAGTAGCCTATCATTGTTTGAGACAAAAAGATGAGCTCTACAGCAGCAAATTCGATTAGGGCCACTAGAAGAGAAAAAAATAGTTACAAGAGGGAGATTTTGTAAATTTTCCATTTTGAGATTAAAGTTGAAAAAGTCGAAATGAAAAAAAAATGAAATTTCAACATTAAAGTAGAAAATTCAAGCATAAAAAAAGAAATGTAAATAAAGTTGAAATTTCGAGATTACAAAATGTCGAAACTACGAGATTAAAATGATTTAAATTTTTTGATTAGTCGAAATTTTGACTTCATTTAATCGAAAAAAAATTATGTGAAGTCGAAATTTCAACATTAATCTCAAATTTTAAATCTTTTTAATCTTGTTTCAACATTTAGAAATCTTGAAAGTTCGACTTTATTTATAGAAATTCATTTTTTTCTAATTTTGAATTTTCAACTTTAATGTAGAAATTTTGATATTTTTCATTTGACATTTTTAAATTTCAACTTTAATCTCAAAATGAAAATTTACAAAATCTCCCTGTTGTGTTATTTTTTTCTCTTATTGTGGCCCTCAACACTTTTTCATATATTGATTAATGCACTTTTTTTAAAATGCAAAAAATCAAAAAATCGTTATGTCAACATTTAATACGTTCATTCCACAGTATTTCCAGTTAAATAAACGGTTTTAGTGATTTGCCAATCATCAAAATCTGCTTTCATCAACAATCCATGTTCTTGGTTATAAAACACTCAGTCTTTTGACATGAACTGCTTACATCCTTCTCTTACCTTGCAGCTTTCACAGGTGAGCAGCCCATAATGGTATCCTGACACTTTGTCCCCACAGACAGGACAGCTCTCCTCTGGTCTGCCATCTGATTCTGTCTTTAACTCCTGAGCTGAAGAGGAACCCACAATGATATGAGACAGCAAATATACAGGGCAACAAAATCCTCCAATTCTTATGGCTGAAGGATGAGATTGATTTTCAGATGCTACCGAATGTTTCTTTCTGCTCTCATCTAAGCAAAAAATGATGATTATCATTTTTAATTTGAGTACAATATAACAATACAAGTGTGGACCTCCCATTGAGCAATTCTTCTTTTGTTTCTAAGTAACGTAGACATATGTCAAATGATATAACTCTAAAATCCCAACAGTCACAAATAAGACTCTTACTGAACAATATGGAAAAAGTGTCAACAGAAATGCTGTCAGACTGGAAACTGTGTAATGAAGTCACTGTCATGTTAGTGTGTCATCCAATGAGGTTTATTGCTCAGCTGCTGGGAGAATATTGAGCAGTGCAGGACTCCTCTTGCTGCAGACAGGATCTTATCGCTCACTTTGATTTGCTCCACTATAATCACAGATATGACCCTTACATAATTTACAGAGATCGCTGGTTATGGCTCCTACATGAATTAGCCTCCTAAATGAAGGTCTGTGGCGCAATAGTAAACCTCTTTCATGCCTTCACTGCTTTAAATGTACATTTCCATAAAGACTTGATCCATATCAGTTTATATTGTAGTTGAACTAAACATTTTCATGCTTTAATGCTCAAAATTTCCACAGATAGTTTAACCTCTAACATATTTAAATCATGTTACACATTTTCTGAAACCAAAAGCATTTCTAAAAGCCGTGTCCTCACATGTTGACGGTCCTTCCACAGTTAAGAGATCCAGTGGGTCCTCTGATGGGTGGACGAGAGGCTGGGTCTGTTGTGGGTGATAACCAGATAGGTCCATTCTGGCTGATGGGTCAGGAGCTTCAGAGTTAGTCCAGCATGATCTTCATTGCTGTTGAAATCAGGAGAGCAGACAGACACAGCAGGAGAGCCACACAAAGGCCGGCTGACAGGCCCCACAGCCCCGGTGGACTGATGGTTGTTTGAGGCCCGAAAGTGGACTTCGATCAGCAGTTAGTGTCATAAAACCTCTCCTGACTGGCACTCCTACCCAGTCAGTCAGTCAGTCAGCCAGTGAGCAACCAACCAGCACCTCTGGGGAAGACAGCCATATATCTGCCTGCAGGAACCTCATTGTAGTGAAACAACTCCGGTGAGCCATCCTGCAGCTCAGCTGATAAGATAAGAGCCCGTAGAAGAGCACAGTCAAATACGGCAATTCAGGTTGCCTTTTAGTTCTTACATTATTAATAATAATTATTAGTGAGATTATCATGAAGATAAGTGTTTTAATTCAAGCACATGTGATGGAGAAGCACAGGCTCTTCAATCTAAAGCAGTACCAAAGTGCAATTAGTATTCGATGATGATCAGTGTCTTAGAGGCGTTTTCGCATTTCATCTGGTTGAAATGGAGCTACACCAACTATCTTTCATACATGTAAGACAGCTACTCCACTGTTTAGCAACTCACAGCCTCTTAGTTAGCAAGGATAATGTTTGAATTTGTGGTACTTCAGCTCACGTTTGCGAAATGTTGTAACTGCACCTCATTAAAATGATCTTTTTTTGATTGTTTTAGGAGGAGTCACTCATTACTTTGACTGATAGGCACTGAAAATGTGAAATTATAGTGATTTCAGTTAGGGGGCAGAGGTCATTGGTAGTCAGAGTTTTCCCACAAGCCAAGTATATAATCCCAGAATTCTTATCAGAAGATGTATTTTAATGTGTAAGAAGAAAAAAGGGTAATTTAAAGCGTCATTCAGAGGCCTTTATCCATACATTCTCAGTGTAAGATAGTAAGTCAAATACACAGACTAGACAATAATGTATACCGGTGTAGGTCTGTGAAGCCCTTACATTTATCTTTGTTAAGCAGTTTACAGGAGAAGGACATTTCCAAACACTTGGTACAGAATTGATAAAGTGACATTCAACAGGTTCCTCCTGTGAGGTGCACAGTGATGTTATCACCATGGGGCAGTTCAAAAGGTAACTGGTTATGTCATCTGCACACTAGCTTGTAAATGCATCATGACACACATCGAATAATTAGTCTCCCTGGTTTAGTAATATATCTTTAAAATGTCTGACACTGGGAGGAATTCCTAATAAAATTAAAATATCTAAAAAAACTTACTAATGTGAAAAGCCTGCTCTATTGAGAGTAATGGATAAATAGTGCCATCTAGTGGCATAAACAAAGTCGGTTTGTACCCTCCTCACACTGGGTCACTCAGGATCATCTCCAGCGACAAACGGCATCTCATGGTGACTGCTGAAGATCAGAGCACACACTCAAAGAACAAGAAGAAGAACTTTGAAAGCTCACACACTTCGGTTAAACTTTGAGAACATGATGGTTATCTGTTTACCTGCTGTAACCAACAGCATAGTAGAGGCCTTTTTTGTACTTTGCACCAACTACTTCAAGGTCAAAGGGCAGTTGGACAGTATTTTCAGCAATCATGAATTCACTATAGTTTCTTATGTGCTCTGCCATATCTGGTGTTTCATTGATACAGTGAGTTGTACTCTGCCGGTTCAGAGGAAAATGCAGATGTTATATGAGCATTAGCTTGTAAATGCATAATGACAACAAATTAATTTTAATCCGTGTCAAACCCCAGACACTCTATACCATCACTAATTAAAAGAAGGAAATCCTCGTGAAAGTAAATATGAAATCATACCAAACTGAAGTGACAGATTTATTTCTTTGCACTATTTTTATTCTTGGCAGAAATTGATAAGTAGCATAATCTAATGGTATCAGAGGTTAACAGCATTTTAAAAATAAGTGACTCTGCAGTAATTTTACAACAATGCGTTTAACATTTTGGTAAGGACACAATTCATTCAGGCTCCATGAGGATGACTTTGAATGATTAAGACCAAGAAAAAAATGAATGCAAAGGATAACTTTATTGAATTCACCAGAAAATCATTAGAGAAGCCAGTAAAGACCCAAAGTAACAAATAGCACACAGTGTGTTCAGTTTATTCACGTAAAAAAAAAAAAAAAAAATCTTCTAATCAGTCATTTTACTGTAAAGTAATGATACATATGATAAGACTTTAACAGGGGCTACTGCTACGTATACACTGTGTGCTGTAAACTGTCATTGAACAGGACTCGAAATTTTCAATCCGACAACAACTGCTCCCCGGGGCTGGGACATACTGGCTTACCCTCAGCCATGTACCACACCTCATTGTGCCTGTCGAACAGCGTCATTGGACTGTAGAAAACAAAAGCGCACACAAACACACACACAAAAAGAGAGAGAGAGAGAGAGAGAGAGAGAGAGAGAGAGAGAGAGAGAGAGAATAAAATCGTTACTAGAAAACAAAGTTCTCCATCTATGCACAGCATAATAAAAATTTTATATTTTAGTGCAAAAAAAAAAAGTGATAGTTTGATAAAATGTCATATAAAAAAGTTTTAGTGTAGTATGATAAAAATGTCACAGTATAGTATGGTAAAAATGTCAAATTTTAGTTTGAATGAATATCACTGTATAGTATGATAAAAATTTAATTTTGTGGTACAATAAAAAAATAAAAAAAAAATTATGAAAAAATGCCATTGTAAAAAAAGACAAAAATGTCATAGTATAGTATGACAAAAATTGATATAATAGTTTGTGAAAAATGTCACCGTATAGTTTGAAAAATGTTCACAAGTTGGGTATGAAAAAATTTCATCGTATAGAATGATAAAAGATTCAACTTTAAGTGTGAAAAAATGTCATAGTTAAGTATGAAAAAATTTCATGGAGCAGTTTAATACAAATGTACATTGAAGTACAAAAGAGTCATATTATAGTTTGATACAATTTTTTTGTTTTTGTATGAAAAATATGTCATAGTATCGTATGATAAAAATTGTACATTTTAGTACGAAAAAAATGTAAAAGTATAGTTTAACAAAAATATCACTATAGAATAATAGTAACTTAAAATTTTGGTGTAAAAAATGTCATTATATAGGATGATAAAAATGTCATAGCATAGCATGATAAAAATTTGACATTTTAGTATAAATAAAATGTCATACTATGGTGTACTAAAAGTGTCATAGTATAGTATGATAACAGTGTCATAAAATTGTGATAGTATGAAAAAATGTCATCAGATAGATTAATAAAAAATTCAAATTTTTGTGTGAAAAAAAATGTCATAGTATAGTATGGTAAAAATTCCAAATTTTAGCTTGAAAAAAATGTCATAGTATAATATGGTAAAAGTGTTATAGTATACTATGACAAAAATTTCAAATTAATATTCTTTGTCTGTAATACGTAATTAATCTGTTACCTGTTATAGCCGACAGCATAGCGAGGAGATTTTTGGTACATTGCACCACTACTGTCAAGGGCACTGGACAGTTTGTAAGAATGGTAAACATCAGTTATGTGTGTGAGCCATCCTCCAAAGCTCCTTACATACACTATCTTCCCGGGCATGTCAATGAGGTACACCTGAAAGACAACCAAGTTTCATGGTCTTCTGGAGCTGAAGGTAAACTTCACAGCTTAATCAACATGGTTATAAGGCCAAATGAAGATTGACGCGTTTGAATGTTCCGACATGATTACCTTCTTATCAGTAGGCTTTGGGGGATTTCTCTGAAATTCACTTGGCAGCAAGAAACTCATTTTATAGACACCATTTTTCAGAATTTCCACAAGAACAGGACTTGTCATTTCAATATTCTTTCCTGCAAATGAACAGAGGGAGAGGATGTCATGAGAGGGTTTCAAGTGGTTTGCTTAAACAATGGTCCTTCTTATTCATAAATTTATCTTAATCTCATTAAGAAACCAGTTTCAATTAAACATATGATTAGATAATTTAGTAGTGGACATACACACCCTCATGATTTTCACCGGTAATGTAACCATACAGTCGCCAAAATGCTTGATATGTTGCATAATCCAAGAACCAGGCCTCTACCTCTGTGGACACCCATTTTGCAGGGCCGTACTCCCGGACCTGAGAGGCACAAACAAATATTGCACCACAGCCTTTGAAAAGTTTCTTTCACCTGAAATGTCACTCTTTTGTCTGCAGTCAAGAAACTCATACCTCATACTCGTAAGTTTCACAGATCCTCTTAAACATCAGGCATTCCTCTGTCTCAGTGCAGAACTCACTCTCAGATGACTTTCTGTTGGAATAAAGCAAAACATGCAAGGATGTGGGAAAATAATCATTTATATCTTCAATTTCTTATTCATCTATCTTAATTTGATGATGTCAAAACTTTTTACTCTAATTTTGATCAAATGTAGAAATTTACTAAAGTGAAGAGTTGAAAGTGAAGCTTCTTACCCAACTCTGGCCTCAGCTGTCAGCACCAGCAGGACACCAACAAGCCCCGAAAGAAGAATCCTGAGAGACACATGTGGAGTATTTTCAGCCAACGCTAAGACTCATCAAGCTGTTTTTGTTTATCAAGTGAAAATCTCTACAGAAAAGTTCACACACTAATACGCTGACATTGCATAATTTTCAAACACATCAGAAAAGTTGTACTTACATAGTTCCAGAGTGTCGAGATGGGATCTATGCGGGGTTGTTTCACAGCAACTATTTATTCAAACTCTGGTTATGAAAGGCAAGCTGGCCACTCCCCGACTCTACAATACGAGCCAGAAAACTCGACCAATGGGATCAAAATCAGAAACAAGAGACTGGGAGTAACAGTTACACAAACAAGTATCAAACTGAATGCACCATTTACATAAATGAATTAAAATATGTATTTATAAAAAAGGATGTGGGATAGTGTAAAAATTTAAGTAATGAAGAAGTCAGAGAAAATTCTATAGTGGACAGAAAGGAAAACATCCCTTTAAAAGAACCAAATACTCACATCATCCTGTTTTGATTTTGCCACTTGCAAAAGTTGAAGTTTCTCTTTAATATAACATTGGATTATATTAGATTATAATAGATTAGATAGACTTTATTGATCCTTTTGGGAGGGTTACCTTTAAATAATAATCTGAAAAAAAAACCCAACAAAAATGAAGGACAGTTTCAACAGGATTGATAAACTGTGTATACAGTATCTGGTCAGGCCACATTCTCACTCACTGTGAGAAAACTCCATCTAAGGCACTCACATTTTTCTTTTGGCGTACACGTGAGTGAAACACCTAGTTTTCATGTATTCTCATTTTACACTGATATTGTACAGAATGTTCTACAAAACCATGGCTCTCCTATAGTCATTCAGTCAGAAACAAACAGGTAGCTCAGACATTTTGGACCTTCTCCTGTCTCAAGAGATTTAAGGGAATTGTTTCTATTGTTGGCATAGGTGCACATGATACCTGTTTTGTACAAGAGAAACACCCAAACTCTGAAGTTTCTCCCCTTTTCATCAAAAAAGCATTCAGTGAAGACAAAGCGGTCATATCACACACACAAACAGGTACAATGGCTGTAATCAGGGGGTCAGGCTACATGGAGAGTCTGAGCTTTGCCATTATCACTGCATACAACTTTAACACTGTTTTGGCCTTTTCTTTGTGTGGGTGTGGGCGCAAAACTGGTTAAACATTGTCTCTCAAAGCAGCTTAGGGAGTTCTCCAAAAATAATTACTTTCCAACCGTAATCTTTAATGACGGTAGATGCCAAATAATTCCAAGGACAGTCTTAATACATCTTGATTAAAGCATATTGATACTGTTGATTCATTGAAAAAAAATATCACACTAAAAGATACACATCTTTGTGTGCTCCCAATAGGAGTTCTTTGGTCTTTTGGCAATGAACAGGGGTAATGTAATCTGAGAAGATCAGCGTTTAAAGGATTTTCCTCTTATGTTGTATAGGGACATATGAAACCCTACCTTAAGCTTCTGTTTAAGTTTTACATGTCTTCAGTGAGGTTTTTTTTTTAACTAATTACATAGTTAAGGATCCATGTGTTTTATAGCACAGCTAAACTTATATAAGATCTTAATTAGTGAAGATGTCCATCCAAAGAAGGTGTTGTTAGGCCAGACGTTTCAGTTGAGATACACCTAACAACAAATGAGGGTGGTGTACTTGAAACAAACAAGTGAGTCTTAACCATGAATGGGGGCAAGTTTTTCCACTTAGCAACAGTGCATCACATTGTATGAGGCAATTGAGCAGTTATTTGTGGATAGATAGATAGATAGATAGATAGATAGATAGATAGATAGATAGATAGATAGATAGATAGATAGATCCCTGAAGGTAAATTAAATTGTCATAGCAGTCCAGCAAAATATAATAAAATAAATAAAATACTCAAAAGACAAGAGAATGAAAACAAAGATATAAACAATACACATGCCTTTAATAGAATACCTAAAAACTATAAATTGAACAATGTTCATGTGGCATGGAAACTCTTTAGTAAGCCGTTTCCAAACTCACACAACTCAGTACTACTAAGTAACTTCAACTGTCTCTTGTAAATAAATTCCTCAAAGCCTGTACAGGGGTCTGTAGGAATTTTTCGAGACAAAAGGGGAATTGGAGGTGACAAAAAAACTGTCTATGAAGTATGTTTGCCTGTCTATTATATACCACGCACACTGGAGATGGTATGGGTGTATGGCATTCATGCAATTGTGTCTATGAGCTCTCTGTCAGTTCCAACAGTTTTGTCTTTTTCTCTCTACAGTACTTTTCAAACTCAATAAAAAACAATTCAAAATAAATAAAATAGATAATAAAAGGAATCATACTTTTCTATAAGCTGTAAAAAAGTAATAATACTAAAAGAAACAATACGTGGTGCAAATTTTGTCACCAACATGGCATATGGAGCAAAACAATAAAAAAAAAATTTGTATGATAAAAATGTGATAGTATATTATGATAAAAATGTCATAGTATGGACTGATAAAATGGGGCATTTTAGTATAAATAAAATGTCATTCTATTGTGCGCTAAAAATGTCATAGTATAGTATGTTAAAAAATGTCATAGTATAGTATGATAAAATGTCAAATTTAAGTATAAAAAAAATGTCATAATATAGTATGATAAAAATGTCATAGTATAGTATGATAAAAATGTCATAGTATAGTATGATAATAATGTCAAATTTGAGTATAAAAAAATGTCATAATATAGTATGATAAAAATGTCATAGTATAGTATGATAAAAATGTCATAGTATAGTATGATAATAATGTCAAATTTGAGTATAAAAAAATGTCATAATATAGTATGATAAAAATGTCATAGTATAGTATGATAAAAATGTCAAATTTAAGTATAAAAAAAGTCATAATATAGTATGATAAAAAATGTCATAGTATAGTATGATAAAAATGTCATAGTATAGTATGATAAAAATGTCAAATTTAAGTATAAAAAAATGTCATAATATAGTATGATAAAAAATGTCATAGTATAGTATGATAAAAATGTCATAGTATAGAATGATAATAATGTCAAATTTAAGTATAAAAAAATGTCATAATATAGTATGATAAAAATGTCATAGTATAGTATGATAAAAATGTCAAATTTAAGTATAAAAAAATGTCATAATATAGTATGATAAAAAATGTCATAGTATAGTATGATAAAAATGTCATAGTATAGTATGATAATAATGTCAAATTTAAGTATAAAAAAATGTCATAATATAAATATGATAAAAATGTCATAGTATAGTATGACAAAAATGTCAAATTTAAGTATAAAAAAATGTCATAATATAAATATGATAAAAATGTCATAGTATAGTATGACAAAAATGTCAAATTTAAGAATAAAAAAAGTCATAATATAGTATGATAAAAAATGTCATAGTATAGTATGATAAAAATGTCAAATTTAAGTATAAAAAAGTCATAATATAGTATGATAAAAAATGTCATAGTATAGTATGATAAAAATGTCAAATTTAAGTATAAAAAAATGTCATAATTTAGTACGATAAAAAATGTCATAGTATAGTATGATAAAAATGTCATAGTATAGTATGATAATAATGTCAAATTTAAGTATAAAAAAATGTCATAATATAGTATGATAAAAAATGTCATAGTATAGTATGATAAAAATGTCAAATTTAAGTATAAAAAAGTCATAATATAGTATGATAAAAAATGTCATAGTATAGTATGATAAAAATGTCAAATTTAAGTATAAAAAAATGTCATAATTTAGTACGATAAAAAATGTCATAGTATAGTATGATAAAAATGTCATAGTATAGTATGATAAAAATGTCAAATTTAAGTATAAAAAAATGTCATAATATAGTATGATAAAAAATGTCACAGTATAGTTTAGTAAAAATGACATAGTATACTATGATGAAAATTCCAAATTCATATTATTGGTCTGTAATACGTAAGTAATCTATTACCTGTTACAGCTGACAGCGTAGCGAGGAGTTTTTTTTGTACATTGCACTACTCTTGTCAAGGGCACTGGACAGTCTGTGAGCTTGGTAAGCATTAGACCACCACATCTCTAAGATTAAAAATCCTTAAAATTGATTCTGCTCTTAAAGGAATATTGAAGTAACCCTCTTTTGTCATGTAAGATATCATAATTTTAAGCAACCAACTTGCAACATTTTCTGATAAAAATGACAATGACTGTGGTCTTTATTTAGAAAGTTTTTTTTTTTCTGTAAATAGACTAGTACTGTTTCAGTTCTGTGTATTGAGAATAACGGGTGTTTATTGCCCTCTAGTGGTTAAACTGGACAGCTGCAATCAAATAAAAAATGTCAACAGGTCGGCTTTGTGTTACGATCGTGTTTTATTGACACATTGGAGCGTTATTTTTAGCATAAAATCCTCTGTCCATAATCCCAATATTGTTTTTTTTCTTCATGATTAAAATTATGATGCAGATGAGGCCGTTATTGTGAGTAAACATTGAAGGTTTATCATAATTCTGGGTAAGAAGACACTGGGGCTGAATCTATAAATACTAGAAATATCTGCCCTCTAGCGGTCACATTTGGAAACTGCAAAGCATTGAAATTGTAAAGCTGACGTTAATTCATCCCACAATAGAAAAACTACTTCCGTTTATACTTTCAAAGTAAACTAGTTTTGACTTGATACTTTGCATAAGAAAAATTATGAACGAATTTTTTATTTTTTTAACAACTGGAAATGATGAAGGCCTATGAAAAGGATCATAATATTTTTCGATGTAAGAAAGTGTATTATTATTATTATTATTATTATTAGTCGTAGTAGAAGTATTACCATTACTACTATTGTTCTTACTATTATAAGTATTATTATTATATTATCATTATTTTTGTGCTATTAGTATTATATAATTTTAATTTTTAATTTTATTATTATTATTATTATTATTATTATTATTATTATTATTATTATTAGTAGTAGTAGTAGTAGTAGTCGTAGTATTACTACGACTACTACAACTATTGTTATAATAACTTATATTATTTTTTATTTTTATTTTATTTTGTGCATATTAATATTATATCATTCTTAATTTTATGATCGTATTATTATTATTATTATTATTATTGTTTTTGATGTTATTATTATAATCATAATATTCTTTATATTATAATTACAATAATGTGTTTAGATTTTTTTTATATTTGTCTTGTTTGTTAAAGTAATTTAATAATGGAATAAATTAAAACATAGAAAAAGTGAAAAGGCCAGCATCATTGGAGCTAAATTAAGGAAAATGAAAATGTTGTTCATTTAAACTCGTTATCTGTTCAAGTTTTAAAAACAAACAACACGTCTGCTGGCATAAATGTATTAAATAATCAACCATGTAAAAGTAACAGATTTACTTTTATCAATTTATACAGAAACAAATGAACGCAAGATAACATCCGGTAAGACTTTCAAAATAAAGCAAGAAAGTCTAGTCACCGCCACTTAGGTAAACACGCAAACAAAAAAGTGTATTCAAAGTTGAATGTATCCAGAATCTGCTGTCTACCGGATTTGATTGTAAGCCATCTGCCTGCAGATGAGTGTAGCCATGAATTAAGAATGTATCCTGTACTGAGAACCTGTTGTTCAAGAACTACAACTCCCACACCCCGAGCCTGCCTAGTGTCCTATTTAGGTAATCACTCGGCTTATGCAGGCGCTTGCGCCGCTGTGTCCCGAAGTGTCCCTCCTGTCTGAGTAGGAGTGAGGTAAATGAAGTTAACCGAGCCGCTTTAGGGCTGTTCTTCTTATAAATGCAATAAGGGAGGACGTGCTACTCGCTCTACAGGTTGGTGGACTACAATATAATGTTTACGTAGATGTATAGACTCCCCAGTCTTCGCACTTTGTTGTTGTGAACTGGCCCTGTCCTAAATGCAAAAGTCTATTCATTGTCACCGTATTTCATATGCTAACCTGTGATATCACTGTTACTGGGTGGTCTGTTTTTGATAGTTTTTTCCTCTTGAACAATATAAAAGCTGGTGCACTTTTATTGACAGTATTGCTCTGTGACTAACTGGTTAAATATTGCATCTGTGCGATCATAAACCCTAACTGAAATTTACTTTATTTCTCTGTGGTCTGTTTATATAGGCTTTTTTTAAGGTATAAAACAGCTTAATGCATGTCAGCTAAGTTTTCATCAGTTAAGAGTTTGTACATTTGTATGAATGGTATGTAAGATGGGTGTAGAAATAAGCTGAAGATCTTGAAATTGAAAATCTTTGCACAAATTAAATAAGTTTGATATTTAAATTCAAGTCAGATTTTAACTAAATAATTAAATAAATAAATATAGTTTGTCCCATGGATCTTCTTTCTCTACTTTTACAGTTGGTACTTTTTATTGGGTGACTTTTTTCTTTTGAGTGCAAGATCATCTCACGTCTATCTGGATTATGCTTTTATGCTAATGCTTATTATTGAAGAGTGCATCCTGCATTTACATTTAATTTTCTGTATTAGCTGCTTTGATTAAACTCATTGTTTGTCAGTGAAATTAACAGCCTGGCTTCAAAAATCTTGATTTTTCCAGCGAACTCTGGTCATTTATGTGAAATTATATTAGACGGTACTTTTCCCCTTTGTACTGAAAATATCACTTTAAATGTGAGGAGATGTTACTTTTGTCATTCAGTAAAGAAAAAACCTTTTCAAACACTTGCAGGCATTCAAAAGCCAAGTCATAAAAGCCTCCTTACCAGCTTTCATTACGTCACACACCACTTGGGGTAAAACTGGGTGTTTGAAATTGTTATAACCTTGTTATATGAATCACATACGTAATCAGTGGGATTACTTGTGTTTGAGGGTTTAAGTATGAAGGACCTCTGTTGCACAAAGCTTTCAGTTCGGTCCTGTTTGCTGTTGAACATTCCAAGACATAATCAGATTAGAGACAAAATAATCTTTGAACAGCAATGAATCAAATATGCCCTGCATGGTTTAGTTTGTCACCTAGTTGTTGAGTTTTAATTTATTGTTCAGAGCAATAGAGGGTTACTTCTATGCAGAAAGTAGAAGGAAACAACAGAGAAAACATTAAGATTATGTATAAAAAATCTCAGACTACAATGCAATCCAATCCAGTTTCTGAAAGTGTTCAAGGCAAAGAAAGCAAAGACAGGCTCGTGTACACCCACCCTTTCTGTTTTAATGACTTAATCACAAAATAATGTCTGTTTTCTACACAGAATTTAGCTTGACTGCTTGAGTCTCAAAGCCAGAGGTCAATCGACATGGGAACCAGGAGGGTGCTGATAACTGGATGCTCTTCTGGCATCGGCCTCGCTGTAGCTGCACGTCTGGCCAAGGATGAGCTTAGACGGTTTAAAGGTAAGCCATTGACTCCCCACAACCAAAACGTTGTAGATGCTTGAAGAGCTTAGAGGCCCTGACAGATGCTCTGTTCATTGTTTATCTGAGACAGTGGTTGCGACAATGAGGGACCTCAACAAACGGGGGCCCTTGGAAAGAGCGGCAGGTGACTCCCTGAATAAAACCCTGGAAATCAAAGAGTTGGATGCGTGTAGTGAAGAATCCATCAGAGAGTGTGTCAACAGCCTGCCAGACAGACGGGTGGATATTCTTGGTCTGTCTCCTCTGAATTGTGTTGTTAACAGTTTTTAGATAAAATGTATCTTTCCACAGACTCACAATGTTGTATGATGCTCTACCGTTACAGTGAACAATGCTGGTGTTGGCATGATAGGACCTCTGGAGTGCCAGAGTATCTCTGATATGAAGGAGCTCTTCGACACAAACTTCTTCGGCCTGGCCCGGCTGGTTAAGGAGTTGCTACCTGACATGAAACGCAGGCAGAGCGGCCATATTGTGGTGATGAGCAGCGTCATGGGAATACAGGGTGGGTTATTGTGTCTGTGACATTAAGGATCAAGTCAATAATTGAAAGACAGTTTAGAGATTAATAACAGAGTTCTTATGTCCTCTCAGGGCTGTTGTTCAATGACGTCTACTCTGCCTCCAAATTCGCTGTGGAAGGATTCTGTGAAAGTTTGGCAGTACAAGCAATGAAGTTTAACATCAAGTAATTCCATCAGACTTCTAACTATTGCTCTAATAACAAACTTGAACAGTAGTGTTGTTGGGTCAGAACTGTCCACAACAATAAGAGTTTTAAAACTTGATGTAATAATTGTAATATTTGCCCTCTTAAATGCTTATTTTATTCCTCTGCTTCAAGGATGACTCTAGTGGAGCCTGGACCTGTGGTGACAGAGTTTGAAAGGAAGGTGTATGAGGATGCTGACAAGATGGACCTATCAGGGGCAGACGAGGAAACCGTTAAAATCTTCCGTGAAGTCTACATACCGTACTCTAAAAAGATTTTTGCCTCACTGGGCCAGACGCCTGAGGAGGTGGCAGAGGCAAGTGTGGAAAGTTTTGTTTCTAGCTGGTTGATTTGCCAGTTAAATGATGAGAAAGTGAAAATAATTTTATTTTATTCCTCACACAGGAAACTCTTCAAGTGATTACAGCCAAAGAGCCTCCTCTGCGTCACCAGACCAACCGCCTGTACATGCCTTTGACAGCTCTGAAGCATGCGGACCCGACTGGCCGGCTGCCTCTGGACACCTTCTATAAGATGACTTTTAATCACGACAGACTATTTAATGCTTCTCTAGGAGTGCTGCGCTTACTGCAGAGGAAATCGAAAAAGTTATAAAGATTTGGCTGACTATATATGCTGCTAACCACATGTTTTTTCACAATTTTAAAGGGATATTCCGGCGTAAAATTAATTTAGGGTCAAACACACTGTAACACAGAGTTAGACACCGCCTTGAGAGATGAATGTTGCCGCTTGCTTCGCTAGTTATACCAACTTTAGTAACGACCGCACGATAGCAATACACAGCGGTCTGAGGAGACACGCAAAACCTCAACCAAAATGCTACTCTATGGCGGACAAATGATAAATATGGTGTTTTTTACTTTAAGGAAATGATAAAGTAATGATCATAAATGTTCTTCCTCGAGCTGCATCACCCCGCTGCAGTCAGTGATGGACTCGCCGAGGTCTCCCTACAAACAAGAGGCTGCTAGAAGAGAGCGGGTGAGTTGTGTTTAGTCTCTTTACTAAAGAAATCAGGCAAAGTTAAAAAGATGTTTGGTGGCTAGTACTATGGCTTGGACCCTATATAAACTGTTGATGAAGTTAGGTGCTGTTTTGAGCATTATTTGTGGCTATAGAGTGGCGTTTTGGTTGAGGTTTGTTTATTGTCAGTCGTTACTAAAGCTGGTATAACTACAGCAGCAAGCGGTTGGCAACATTCATCTCTCAAGGAGGTGTCTAACTTGGTGTTACGGTGTGTTTGACCCTTAATTAATTTTACACCGGAATATTCCTTTAAGGTGTGCTGTCGAACTGTGAAGTGACAGGAAAAAAAATGTACAGACATATTAATCTGCTCTGAGCAGTACTGCAAATAGTGATGATTCCTTAACTTATTTAAGTATGCACATATTTATGATTTATCTTTGCTGTCATGCAACCTGTTTTTCATTTTGTTGAATTGCACAGGTCAAGAGTGTCTAACAGTTTTTCTGTTTTCAAATTCTTTTAAATTACAAGTGTGAATGTTTCACTCTAAATTACCAAGAAAACTAAGTCAAGGCAGGGAAAATCTATAAAACTGTAATTATCATGGGACTGCAATGTTTGCATCTGATAGTTGTGATGTTACTATACAAATAGTAAAGTAAGCAACAACAGCAGCATACACTGTAAGTTTTAAACTACTGACACAAAGTCTATTAAAGCTCAAACTCAACATTGACATTAATTGAATGTTTTTATATTTTCATTCCAGTGAAAGTCTTCTCTTTAGTTCATTTTCCCTCAAAAGTTATTTGTATCCTTTCCAAGATGCTTATTATACCTGCAGCAGGAGGAAAGATCGCTCTTGACCCCTGCCACCATCCTTCCACCAGTCAATGAAATGATCCAGTAATCTGAAAATACAAGATATACATATTGAAGTTGGTGACAGAGATGATGTTGTTGTTTTGGTTATTTTTAAGGCTACAGATTTGGCTGGCATGCAGAATAAAACATTTGAGAATACGAAGGAGTCAAATACATTATTACCAAAAACTTTGATTTTAAAAGCAAAAAAACTTTATTATTAAACAAGATAAACAGAAAAATCATGTTCAATAACTCATTTCAGGAACTGCAGTTTTAGGTCATGTCAGGGTTATTGTTTTGTATCCAAATAAACAATAATTAAAAAGAAAATTGACTACAAGGACACGGAAATGTAGTTCCCTACAGCTTTTATTTTAAGTAACTTATTTTACATCTTTTTCCTGTAGAAAGAAAACCATGAAGGGTCAAAGGTTTTTATGTACAATGTCTTTGAACTACTTTTAAACGAGTATAGAAATTATTAATGATAGAAAATATCTATGACTGTTCTAACAATACAAGACCAATAAAATATCAGTCACAGCCTCAGCTCCAAATAATGCTAAATGAAGTACGATTTATTTTTGTCCTTTTTAGTACATAACAATCATATAAGAAACATAAGACTTCCCAAGCAAGGAACTAACCAGAACAAACATATTTACAAACAGAAGTTAGGAATTTGAAATGTACAAAACACTTAGTGCGACCTGGTAGTGAAGTTGAGAACACATTATATATAGGAATAATAAACAAAACGGCAGCTTTATTGTAAAAAATAAAATGTGGATTGTGAAGAAGTTGGTTCGCAGGTCTGACATAACAAGCTAGATCTACAGTGAACAGAGTAAAACAAACTAACAAACTGTGTCTGTGAAACAGCCACTGGCAGTGTTAGGTCACCACATTAAAGTGAGTGGAAGTAGTTGCCTAGTCGTCTCTGGATGTGATGTTACAAGATGAAAATCTAAAAGTTACTTTCTCAAAATTCAACTTTTGTCAATTATCTTGATGCTGAAATGTCCTTAGTATGCTGAGGGAGGGATGACTATCATCCTATAATATTCTCATGTGGTGGTGAAATAGAGCTGGTGACACATTACACACGGTGTCAGCTGGATAAATGAAGAGTGTCATTGAAGAGTTTCGTAAAAGGTTAAAGGGTACCACACTACATAGTAGTGTTGTTTCCTACGTTCTCTTCAAACAACTATCTTAAGATGTCACTCCTTGGCCTCTGGACTGGAGGCTACTGTAGATGCAGGGGGAAAACAGCTCCACTGCATGCCATAAAACACCTCCCTGAGGAGTGACAGGGCAAAAGCAGTCACAGTCCAGCAGCTACACACTCATACTGACCACTACTCAACCGAAGATAATCTACAAGTGTCAAAAAGACATAAACTGATGCAGATAGTCCAGGATTTTTCCATTTAGTCTGGAGAAGGACAGAATGCAGGGTCAACAAAGGACACTTCTTCTTCCGTGTACATCTGCTTCTGCTCTGTCAGGATGGTGCAGAAAGGCACATCATCTTCACATGACACAAACGAAATGGAGGAATGCAGGGAAGAGTGATATAAAATAGCAGCTGATAAGCATAGCTTAGTACATCTGGATTGATGTTAAAAAAAAAGGTATCCGTGGTTTTCACAAATATACAGAATATGAAACAAGTAGAACAAAAAAATAACAGAACAAAAACAAAAGTAAAAAGGCAGTGAAAGGCAGAATATAATTAAAATGATAATCTGTTATTCATAGTTTCTCGCAGTGGATGGAAACTAGGGTTCAAAACAGGCAGTATCAGTGCTGACAGTACAATTGGTAACAGCCGAGCAGAGCCAAAATGAGATTATACAGACAACTATACTCTGCTGATCTTTTTTGAAAGCTCATAAGAAAAAGGCTGCCAACTTTTATAAATATTCATTTTAGTTCTACTGAATTTCTCAATCATACTTGCCCTTCAAGGCTGGTCATTTGAAGTGCTTCAGAGACACTCATTTACATTCTTATGCATAATAACCATATAGAACCTAATCTGTTACCACTGTTCAATAAAATTAAAACATATTTCTACTGTGGCGCATGTCTTTATATATTCGCTATTACCAGTTTATCATCCTTGACAGCTGTCATTTGCCTCAATAAATATCAATTAGGGTAGGAAAAACTCCCTTTTTCTGTGTGTTAACTTTGTCTGAACGATCAATAATATTGCTAAAAAATAATTGACACACGACTTAAATAAAAAATAATGGCGGTCCACGTAAGATCAACTGAGTTGGAATATTTTGTGAGAAGCTAGAACAGAAACAGGGTGAAAAAAAATCTACAAAAACAGGCCAAAGATTTAAAACAATAAATAAAAATAAAGGAATTCCCTTCAACATTTTACTTTTTATCTACTTTTTAAATGTTAGTTTTAAGGAACGCATCCCTAAGTCTTTGAAATGAAAGACTTGGTTTTCTTCATATATTTTTTATAATAAAAAACAAGTCCATCTGTGACAGAATTACTTCATTAAATTGTCTGCTGTTCCCAGACAACACACATTTCCCTTTACTTTTTTTCTCTGCAATAATCACTAGCAGATGGTCCTCATGATAAACACAGTCATTCCAATTCCAATGAAAATCTTGGAAACAGGCTGACACATATAAAAACAGACAGGCCCCAAAGCCAGTCCACAAATTCTTTCACCCCAAGTCCTTTTTCAAGCAGGGTCCACGAAGTCTTCATGCAAACACCTGCGTCTTGCCATTGGCCTCTGGGATTTGAGTAATTTGGGTCTGGGCAGGACCAGCAACTGCTGGGCTGGGCGTGGAATCTGACCAATCAGAGACACAGTGAGGGGAAGGGCTGGACCATGGCTCAGGAGACTCCGGGGATGGGGTCAAGTAGGGGTGCTCACTGGGCAGATGAAGATAATGCTTAGGTGTAGCATCCAGTGCGGATGAGTAGCTGTGCTGGGATGGAGGGGTGGGGTAATCCTCTGTTCCTGTAGTGCTGCTACCAGGCTGGGGGGGCAGTGCCTGAGTAGGCGGGGCTGCTGGCGTTGCTGCCTGTGGTGGCTGTGTGGGAGGCTGGGGCTGAGAAGGTTGCTGAGGCATTTGTTGCTGCTGGAAGAACGGTGGTGGTGGCTGGGAGGTCTGGGGCGTTGGTGGCGTGGAGGTGCCCATGCGAGCCATGCTCTGCTGGTTGGTCATGGAGTGATTGAGAAGCTGCTGTTGTTGTTGTTGCTGTTTCTGGTGCTCTGCGATAGAGGGCAGTTTTACAGGACTGACCGTAGGTGTGGAGGTAACAGGAGTTGGCTGTAGCATGGGATTACGGAAGATCTGCTGCTGGTGCATCAACATATTCTGCTGCATGGTGGGGTTCTGTGGATGCATGCCTGCCTGGCTACTCTGCACAAGACTCACGACTTGTTGACCACACTGGGAGGCAGGCATTCGGTTGTGCCAGTCAAAGGGCACACTGACAGGACTAACCATGCCCATGTTAAGCCCCATCTGGCCTGGACTCAGCACATAGCCATGGCTGACATCTGAAGCCATGGAGACACGACCCTGCATGGACATCCCACCAGCTCCAAGGTCATTGAGTTGTGCTAGAGACACAGCAAAGGGGCCACTTCCCTCCAGCATGCTACTGTGTACCATTGGGGTGTTTGGGACTGACATGGAGGTGTGGAAGAGCCCTGGTGATGGCATTGCTACAGGGGAAGTTGGGTTGGTGATGTAGCCCGCATTGCTTGCTCCCCCATGGGGTGAGTCCAGTGAGTCAACTGGAGACAGCGTAACTGAGCTCTCCAGTAAGGCGCTCTGCATGTCTAAGGTCAGTTTCTTGTTGCGGGCCTTGACAGACTCCTTCAGACTGGCAGCATGCTGGCCTCCCAGGCTGGAACCCTTGGCCCCAGGTCGGCGGTTTTTCTTGCCTTGTGGGGTGTTCTTCAAACTAGGTAGAAAGGTGCTGGGAGGGCACATGAGGGGAGACAAAGTGTGTCCTCCAGTTAGGTGGTGTCCAGCCCCTCCATGGCCCTGGGGACTCCTTACTGTGTTGTACTCATCAAGAAGCTGCACAATGTCGTGGTGCATACGCTCCTGAGCAATATCCCTTGGCAACCTGTCCATATGGTCTGTGATCTCTCTGTTTGCAAAGTGAGCCAGGAGCACCCTGACAGCCTCACAGCTGCCTTCACGCGCTGCAAGGAACAGAGGAGTCTCCTCCTGCACAACAGAGCAAAGGACAAACAGAGGCTGCATTAGGGACCAAACAACACAACTCATTTCTATCTGTATGGACGCAAAATTATGAGTGTGAAGTGTATAAAGTGAATGTCATACCTTAAGATCTTGCATATCTTTGTTTGCACCATTCTTAAGCAGGGCAACAGTGGCATCCACATTGTTTACAGCAGCAGCCCAGTGCAAAGCAGATTTACCTAAAAGTGACAACCAACAATTAGATCGCGCATTAAAGGTTTAATCATTATCACAAGATCCAAATACCCACATCCGAAAAATCAATTCTGTAAAAAGTACACACACTTACCCAATTCGTCAACGGCATTGACATCAGCATGACAAGTGATGAGTTCCTCTACCATGCCTTCAACTGCCAGCCTAGCAGCCAGGATCAGTGCAGTGGAGCCATCATACATACGAGAGTCAAGATCTGTAGCCCGGTTTCGGATCAGAATCTAGGGGTTTGCAAAGAATGGTTTTACAACTTGATTAATGAAATACATGCTAAAACCTAGAAAAAGTCAGAAACACTTTCACTTATATGGATAGAAACGGTACATGTTGATATTTCTTTACCTGGAAGACACCCTGTGCATCAGCAGCCACTGCAGCATGCAGGGGTGTTCTGCCTGTGTTGTCCTGGGCGTTGGCATCTGCCCCAGCGTCCAGCAGCCTTTTAGCAGCATCAGCACGGGCATAGCGGGCGGCCAAGTGAAGCGCTGTCTCACCAGTGCGGTCTGTTTGGGCAGCAAGGGATGCGCCCTGGTAGATGAGGTCAGAGATAATGTTGGCAGAACACTCTTCGTTTTCCTCTTCCTCTGTTATTTCAGGCTCCAAGCCGCCTCCGCAGAACGATGCCAGCATCAGGGGTGTAAAACCGTCTATTGGGAGATGAAAAAAAGCAGAGTTTACATCTGATCAACAGCAAAAGAAAATATTCAACAACTACAGACGTGCAGTTCACAAAGTTTAGATTGTAACTCCATCCTACCTGGGCCTCGGACATTAACATCCATGCAGTCACTCTCAAACTCTCCTTGAGGTGGTGTGAGGGCCATGGTGGGCGGCACTCGGATATCTGCAGCTGCGAGGTGATGCTGTGTCCACTGCCTGCTGTCCACCGCATCTTCACTGTCTGAGAGCATACTTGGCTCCTCAACCTAAACTCACAGAGCCAAAGAAGTCAGTTTTTATCCTCTGCTTTAAATCCTGATAACAAAACTATTGAAAGTATCTGAAAGGTTTTGTGAATGTATGGAAGTATGCTACTGACCTTTAGCCTTTTAGCCTCCGGGCAGTCTGAGTCCATCCACTGGTCACTGTGGTCTCCAAGAAGAGATTCCTCCACAGTTTTTGTCATGTGCCTATCAAGAATGGTTACGTTAAACAATGCTAGCAGTTTGAATACAGTTTAAAACTTCAATCGGGGTACACATTCTTAACTTACTTCATTCCCAGAGCATCCTGACCCACAGGTTCTCTGCGGTTCTTGTTGCTGCTGGGCTCCTTTTTAAGGAAAAAGCCCTCGGGGAACCAAAGAGTGCTATGTTCTCTCTTTCTGCGAGCGATCAACATGCCTATGACGAGGATGATCAACACGAAAAGAGAGACTATCCCCACCAGCATCAGCTTGGCCCATTCAGGTATGGGGACTTCAACTGGTATCTTCTCAGCTGTGGTGAGGAAACAAAGCAGTTATTGATTATTTTGAGACTCAACTCTGACAAGATCATTTTATGCTCTTCATGGATCTCTACTCACCCCGGGCTTCTTTGAGAGGGTAAGGGAAGCGGAGCATTTCCACAGCTGACAGGGCTCCAAGGTAGTCTGCAGCAGTCTCTGCTGTAGGGAAACAGTCCTCATACCCCTGTGAGCACAGACGGTTGTCTATTTCCAGGTACACTACAGAGCTGAAGGAGAAACAGAAAGGCAAGTGTTTAGTGTCATTTCATATCAACAAGAAAGACACCAACCTTTATGTTTATCAAAAACTCCACTGACCCGATGACCTCCTGTTGAGGCTGCAGCTCACGCTTGAGTCGTGCTTCTTTGCGGGTATACGGGCGGATCATGGCTTCCCCATTGCGGTCCAGACGGAAGCGTAGCGACGTGTGTAGGATAGCACTCAACTTTTGCAGGAAAGCTGTGCTGGTGCGGAGAAGCTCCTCTGGAGGCAGAAGGACTACCAAAACCAAAGAGCCATCAGCAAGGTTTTCTGGAACATCCTTTGCGCAGTCCAAGCCATCCCAACCACACTCCTCTGAGTTACATCCCTGGTCACATCGTCCATCAGCGTAGTGATCGATACAGTAGGTTTCATATATGGGACTGAAAATGAAACACCATATGGATTAGCTTCAGTTGTCTTATGTTTCTCGGTAAGGAGCATGTAAAAAGGATTATTTTAAAGAAGACTCACTTGCAAACTTTTTCCTTGCTTTTGCAGTCAAAGTTGTCATAGAGACATTCAGCAGTGTTGCAGGATTCATCACAGTGGCTGTTGTTGAAGACTTGCCAGCAGCGAGGGTCTGCACAACGAGCCCAAGGGTTAACTGCAAGAGAGCAGTCTCCCCCATCCCAGCTACAAGCAAATGTGTTGCACTCCCTGTCGCAGACGCTGTCATTGGCTTTCATAGGACAGTCAGCCAGAGGGCAGGAGGGACTTAGGGCTCTACTGCTCTGCTCACACCGTTTACCCGTCCAACCACTGGGGCACTGGCAGTGGAAGAACGGGAAGCTGGTCTCTTCAGTGCATAGCCCTCCATTCCTGCAAGGCTGGGAGGAGCAGCCTTCATTACTACGATGCTGACACTGAGGCCCACCAAAACCAGGTACACAGGTGCAGCGTGCCCCTCTTGTGGTAAGTGCACAGCTGCCTCCGTTGTAGCAGGGCAGCTCTCGGCATGACATGCTTCTTTCACAATTAGGCCCAGTAAACCCCTGAAAAAAAAACACCATGTATCCAATTATTTACTAAAGTTTCCAAACAACAATATGCTGAAACTGCAATGCACAAAAGTTAAAACCAAGTTTTTGAAAATCCAATGTGAATGTGCACTTACAAGCTGACACGTGCAAATGTATCCGAGTGAAGAGCTGCTGGATACAGAACAGGCTCCTTCGTTCTGACATGGTTGAGACTCGCACACACTGTACCTGCTCTGACACCTCCGACCTAAAAATCACATCACTGTAAGACTCTAACATTTCAAGAGAGTGTATTTACACAAAAAAATTCACAGTGAGAAGTCAAAGTTATCTAACCTGTGAAGCCAGGTTTGCAGACACACTGGTAGTCATTTGGCAACTGGATGCAGTCAAGACTGTTGGAGAGACTGCAAGGATTCGAGAGACACTCGTTTATGTCTCCCTCGCATCTTTCTCCTGTGAATCCGGGAGGACAATTGCAACGATATCCACCCACTCTGTCCACACAGGTGCCGTTGTTCAGGCACTTAGGAGGAGTACTGCGCAGCCGCAGGGGTGGAGCACAGTCATCTTCATTGATCTCACAGAGGACACCTTTGGAGGGGTTGATAATTAAATATACATTTATTTACCATCTTCAAGTCACATATTGTCAAATCTCTTTGTGAAAAGTAAAGGTTAATTCCTGTTTTATAAGTGCTTGCATACCTAATGTGCCAGGGGGGCAGGAGCAGATGTAATGTCCCACCAGATCAATGCAAGTACCTCCATTTTGGCAAGGATGAGACTGGCACTCATTGATCTCTATCTCGCAGTTCTGCCCAGTGTAGCCTGGCATACACTGTAATGGTAAACACATGATAGTTACATCCTCTCCACGTTTTTAAACCATGTAAACAATGACTTAGTAAAATCAACAAAACATGGACTTACGTCACACTGGTAACCACCAACGTATCCCCTGCAGGTGGCGCCATTGCGGCAGGGTTTGTCCTCACAGTGGTCCACTTGGCTTTCACAATAGCTTCCTGTGTAGTCGGTTGGACACTTACAAAAGTGGGCATTCCCTGTGTTGACACAGTGACCACCATGATGGCATAGGTCATCTGTCTGCATCCCTGTTACAACAGATTAGACAAAAAGTTTAATTTCATTCACAATAAATCATAAAAATTATTCACAATATTGAAAAAATCTCAAATGTCATAATCCAAAGACCAAACGGATACCTCTTTGGCGGGCAGCTGTCTCACAAGAGACCCTTGGGATGTCACAGTAACGTCCTGACCAGCCATTGGTACAGTCACAGATAAATGAAGCGTCCTTTTGGCGACAGCGTCCCCCATTTTGACATGGAGATGAACGTCTGCACCAGTCTACTGGCGTCTGATAGGCAAGTGGGAGATATAAAAAAGTCATTATCTATCAGCTGAAAATAATAAAAGCTATGAAGAGTCAAGATTTAATAAAAGATTATAAGTGTAGTAGTGAGTTTTGTATACCTGACAGCGATTGCCTGTGTACCCCTTTGGACATGAGCAACGGAAAGACCCCAACGCATCTTGACAGATGCCTCCATTGAGGCAGGGCTGAGAGTCACACTCATTGACCTCATACTGACAGTGGGAGCCAGTGAAGCCTGAGCGACAGCTACATGAGTACCCATTGATTTTATCTGTGCAGGTCCCTCCATTGAAGCAAGAACTGCAGCAATGAGAAAATTACAGAGTTAAATTTAAAGAAAAATAACACACTGTGGACATGAATGTGGATGAACTTAAGAGCTGATGCAGAAAGTACAACATGAGATACCTCATTGACTCAACACACTAACACAAGCTCACCTTTCAGTGCAGTCGGGGATGTTAGTTTCACAGTGGATGCCAGTATAGCCGGGTCTACATGTGCATGTGTAAGAGTTGACATAGTCTGTGCATGTTCCTCCATTTTTGCAGGGGGAACTCTGGCATTCATTGATCTCCAGGGCACACCGAGGCCCAGTGAAGCCTGCCAGGCAGCTACAGTGGAAGGAGTTTATGCCATCTGTGCAGGAACCTCCGCTCAGGCATGGATCTGTTGACACAAAGGGAGGGAACAACTTTGGTCAAGTAGAGTAAATACACAAAAATAACTTATTTTCAGAGGAGATGGTTATTGAATTAGGCAGGATAAGATTATTTACACAGTATTTAAGCACGCTAAGTTTACACAGCTACTTACTTGGCGAACAGTCATTGATATCAGTCTCACAGGTCAGCCCAGTGTACCCTGCTCTACAGGAGCACACAAAGCCTCCAAGTGTGTTGGTGCACGTCCCACGGTTCTTGCAGGGGTTTGAGATGCATTCATTCACATCTATGTTACACAGTTGACCTAAAATAGGTGAGAGAAATACATCAAATGTTACTTGAGCTTACAAGATATTGTGCTTTCAAATAATTTATGTTTGTTTTACAGATAAGCAGTTTCTCGGATCCCAAGTATAAAATTTTCTTACCTTGCCATCCTTGCAGGCAGTTACATTGATAGCCCAAGTAGTCCGGTGTGTGTGTGCAGATGGCATGATTGGCACAGGGATTAGGGGAGCAAGGAGTGAGGACCTCAGCACAAGTGGGCCCACTGTATGGAAGTTCACAGATGCAGGTGAAACTTGCCACACCGTCCACACAGGTGCCCTTGTTCAGACAGGGGCTTGATGCACACTCGTTGATGTTCACCTGGCAGAGGTTACCTGTTGGAGGAATGGAGAGGATATTATCACTCAAGTTTAAGGCTTGTCTGACTCAAATGAATGTATATACATATTTTACACCACTAGGGGGTGGTAAATGATAGTCAACCAGAAGTTGGACAGGGTGAAGAAAATGCTGTGAATATTGTAGATATAACATTGCACCCATGTCTGCGAGACAATTACAAATCATGAATGTGATGTACATGTAAGTTTCCTATCTCTGATTCCATGCATAGATGTAAAGGGCTGATGTTAGTTTGTGTTGTGCGCTCTCTCACCTCTAAAACCTTGACGACACTTGCAGGTGAAGCCATTGAGCTGGTCAATGCATGTGCCAGCATTCTGGCAGGGGCTCGGCAGGCAATCGTTTCTATCAAGGTCACAATTCTTCCCCACCCATCCAGGCTCACAGTCACAGCGATAACTGCGAAAACACAAATCCAGTTTATGATTCAGAGACTAATATACACGTCACAACCTGTGGGACAAGCAAAGAGATCATGCCAAGTTTGAAGTCACGTGAGCAACTTTGAATTGAAGCTGTAACAGTTCATACCCATTGATATCATCCCTGCATGAGCCGTGCACACAAGGACTGCTTCCACACTCGTCCACCTGAGAGTAGCAGTAAGGTGGCTTAAAACCCTCTGGACACTGGCAATGGAATCCATTCTCTTCATCCACACATGTACCTCCATTTCTACAAGGACTAGATGCACACTCGTCTATTTCCACATTGCATTTCGGACCTAGAAGGACAGTAAAAAAAAAACAAAAAAAAAACCATTTGTTAGAGGCCTTTTCGTTTCTTAACTCCAAATTGTAATTTGATTTTGAGAGGGTCTTACCGGTGAAGCCAGGTTTGCAAACACAGTCGTAGCGGTTAATGCCATCTTTGCATATGCCGTAGTCACATGGGTTACTGGCACAATCGTCGAAGTTTATCTCGCAGTTTGTGCCTGTGTTAAAAAAAGAGTATTTTTTCTGTTACATTTTGTTATTATTCTCGAAACCTACTTAATTTTCAGCATAAACGTACAACGAGATTAATCTAAAAGTTTCACATCGACATTCACTACAAATGTTTGCTTTCTATAAATTTTTAAATGTGTAATTAAAAAAGGTCTGATCAGAGTTTCCAGGGTTTTCCTCACTTACCTGAGGTTCCATGTTGGCACTGGCAGATGTATTTGTTGACTAAGTCCACACACTTTCCTCCATTCTGACAGGGGTTGCTGTGACACTCATTGAGCTGGTTCTCACAGCGATAGCCTGTGTAACCAGCGTCACAGTTGCAGGTGTAACTGGCAATGCCATCTACACAAGTACCATGGTGACATGGATCTGGTTGGCAGTTGTTGATATTACTTTCGCAGAGAGTCCCTTCATACCCTAAAGAGAAAAACATACATTTATATCAAAGCCCGAACAAATAGTCATCTCATGAACAAACATATATCTAATATATCTATTTAATTTCTTCCTCATCTCTTTCTTGAGAGCACTTATTGCTTTTGAAGACTTCCTTCTTTCAGAGTTTCTGTTTAAAAATATCTTGAATGGATCTGGGATCTGATGGTTGAGGTTTCTGTGTCCTTAGTTTCTGTGTTGGGAAGTTTGTGTGCAATGACGAGTGTGGTGCAATGCTGAGTTGGGTAAAGCAGGCCCCCAGTCCTGCTTTTGTTCTCAGAGGCAGAGGGAACAATGGACTGCACCATGTCAAACAGGACCACTTCACTGAACAGAAGGGGCCCACAAACACAGGGAATACCAAGCAGCTGGCTACTGAAACAATGAAGCAGGCTCCTACACAGGCATACATTCACACAAACATCTTAAATATCCATCTGTACATACTGCCAACGACTACACGCACTTTTTTTTTTTTTTTTACATAAGATTTGTAATAGCTGACTGGGTTTGGGTCTTTTTTTTGATCATGGATATGACTGACTGTGGAAGAATGAGAGCTAAGATGCAGCATAAGGTGGTTTTGTCTGAGGGGGGTTCAAAAGATGAACAGATGTCGGGGTGATGACCAAGACTCATTCCTTGGTAACTGCTGGTCCTCAGTGACCCCATGATCCTGAGACCCAATGAGGAAAAGAGTGGGATTAGGGGCCTCAAGTCAGTCTGCTTGGCCAGCAGACGTTCAGAGAAAAAGCTGACCCCTCAAAACACTCAGCACTAAACAAAGACCGACACAACCCACAAGTGGTTAAGAATCGTCTACCCCTCTGCCTGGGGTATATTACAAACTCTGTGCTTTCGAACAATTACCAACCTACAGCTATTAGGTAGAGGAGCCCTTACCTTCAGCACAGCGGCACTCGAACCCATTGGGGCGGTCATAACATTTTGCTCCGTTCTGGCAGGGTGTGTGCTGGCGCACTCATCTATGTCGATCTGACACATGGTGCCAGTAAACCCTGGGACATACAAACATAGAGGTTAGGGGTCAGAGAGACGTCCAGTGGAAGGGTCCGTACTCGTGTCAGAGGGCAGTTCTGTCTCCTCTAAGAAGGGCAGAGGTCTTGGGTAGGTTGGTGATGTGGAGCTGAGGTTGACTTTGAGAGAATCTTGACTGGTTAAGAGCTTGTCGTCCATGCACTTGAGCCGATGCCGAGATGACCACGACAAAACACAAAGCAAAGCCAATGACCTAAGAACATTTTTAAGGAGGAACTAATCACCTCTTTCAAAGCGGATTTGGAAATAATTATCAATAACACATTCATAAACTTAATATGCCATTATTATACCTACTATTGTTGTTGTTATTATTATTTTTTTATGATTTTTTTAATCATTTTATTTATGCTATTATTATCATTAGTATTATTTTTATTATTATTTAAATTTGACAGTACTTTGGTTTTCTAATTGGAAAAGCTGAAGAAACTGAGCAGGCTTGAAATAAATGGGCACAGCACCCAGACAGGGGTGAATTGGTGCATTGGTAGCACACTGCTTAGTTGATTAACAGTGTCAAGATAGTCTGTGTGTTGGTTCTCGGGCTGCAAAAAGGGAGGGTAGAGGGGAGAGGAGACGGTGGGATTGTTTTCTCTTTTAGGGAGACCCCCACCCCTTCCTGCAGCAGCTCCACTGACTCAATAGCGAGATGGGGGGTGGAGGGGGGACGTCTGTCCCAGATGTAAATTGCGGACCTGGAAAAGAATCTCATTAGCAGGACTGCTGTTGCTCACCACCACCAGGGCAGGATGAGGGAGACTGCTGTCCCTTCCACATTCCACAGAGGAGGGGGTGAGGGTCACAATAGTGTCTTTGTTCTGGCAAGAGTAGAGGATAGGCCGCTTTTTGGGCCTGTCTTTTTATATGAGTGGTGGATCTACATATTGGCAGACGTAGCAAGTCTGGCCCTCCCTTGTCTGGTTGTGGGGACATTTAAACTTTGCTTGCTGACAATGCTGTTGCTTTCTCTGTGTTGGAGTTGTTAACATAAAAATATATGGAATAAAAAGGGTCAGTCAAAGAAAGACTCACCTGGCTGGCAGGTGCACGTGAAGCCATTGACCATGTCCCGGCAGATGCCATCATTCACACATGGATTGCTCTCACAGTCGTCCACATCGATCTCACAATAAGTCCCCATGTAGCCTGGAAGAGAGGAGTTCAAACGTGATTATGCAGCTGAAAAATACTCACTTTTACAAATGAATATACATATAACGAGGCTCGCATGGAGTCCGTGTAACTTTTAAACTTTTTGTGAAGAAGCCAAGAAACTGTGTGAAATTTTTCTCTCGGGGGACACTGGTCTCTTCTGAACCACAGGACAGAATAAAAGAGCATCCCCAGTGTTCCCACTCTACTGACCTAAAATCACCACACCCTAATGTTGATGGAGTATTCCCCTCCCCGGGTCTGTGTCCCATTCACCAGTAGCATGTCATATATTTTGTTTTCGTAAACTATGTAGGGCTCCTTCAAACAGAGTATAGATCAGAGTGCTGACCCTGGGGAGAAACCAGTGCAGATTCAGAGATAATCAGCAGCACCACATGCGCTCTGCTGGGGCTGGCTGATGATGAGGAGGGTAAAGAGGAAGAGTCCGTCTCTGGAAATGAAGTGGGGGGGGCTCTGGGAACAGGCCTCTTTCCCTCTCTGTGTGTATGAGGGGTGCAAAGTGGAGCACAGAGGGGCCCTATTGTTCTGCTCCATTCCCACCACTCTTCTGCTCATTAGTATTCACTGCACACTCCTCCTCCTAACTGCTGGCCCTCTCTCACTTCCAGTCCTATAGACCAAACTCCCAGCTCTAATTTGTATAGTTCCCCAAACCCCAGGATGCATGTAGGACTGTGCGTGAGAGTTTCACTGTGTTTTTGTCACTGAGTGTCTAAACCATCACTTGGTCCAAAGTAATACCCCTGTCTAGTTGGACAGTGCATTGGGAGTGGAACAGTGCCCTCAATAGAGAATATATTACATAACAGTCTGCACTGGCAGTTAGTAAGACAGCACTGAAGATAATGATTAGAAGGTCAAGTTCATACACTCAGTCATTTAACTTTGCTACTGGATTCCAGCTTTACTGTGCTAACAGACGCACACACAATATGTTATTTTTTAAGTGCTTAAACTTAAATACAAGTAAACAGGATTGCATACCTGGCATGCAGATGCATGTGAATTCTCCAATGCGATCCAGGCACGTGGCATCATTCTGGCACGGCATTGACAAGCATTCATTGATGTCAATCTCACAACGTGGCCCTGCATATCCACGACCACACTGACACTGAAACGAGCCCTCTGTGTTTACACATTTCCCAAAATGCTCGCAGGGGTTTGCGCCTGTGTGTAGAAGAAACTTGGGATCACTAAATGAAACACACTCAGAACTAAAATAGATCATATGACTCAATCACGGATCACTGTAAAAGAAAAGCAGACCCACCTATCGAACATTCATCCATGTCCTGGTTGCAGGCACCTCCCACAAAGCCAGCAGGACAAGTGCAAATGGCACGTCCGTTTAAGGGGTTGGTGTCACACACTGCCCCCTCGTTGCAGGGATTACTCACGCATGCGTCATCGAGGTGGCACAGCAAACCTGTGCAGAAAAATAGATGAACATTAATGTCAGTCCTATCTAACTGGCAGCCAGAACTAGAAGATGCACAAGGTTTCATATGGAAAAACCCACTTACCAGTTTTTCCCACAGGGCACTCGCAGTAAAAAGATGCTACACGGTCATGGCAGGTGGCGCCGTTAAAGCACACAGCTATGGCACAATCGTCAATGTTCTCACTGCAGTCATCTCCAGTCCAACCATTGACGCAGACACAGGTATGACCACCGATGGTGTTAAAGCAAGTACCCCCGTTGTGGCAGGCATTTGGTTGCATGAGACACTCATTCACATCCTCCGCACAGTATTGTCCTGATGTGATTGAAATAAGGTATCAGAACAAATAAACTTAACAGCATTTGATTTTTTTTTAAATATTAAAACTCTTATATAAATAGAGCAGTACCTGTCCATTCTGGTGGACACTGGCAATTGTAGGTGTTGACTCCATCAACACAAATTCCTCCATTCATACACTTGTGACCTGGACAGTCGTCTACATTATTCTCACAGTTGTGTCCCTGAAAGCCTGAAACAGATGGAGAAAGACTTAGAGTTATGATACACAGACACAGTAATACACAAACACTGAAAGTTTATTAAACACTCAGCGGTCCGTCTGGTTCCAGACTTTAAGTGCTTCTAAATGCAACTTTGAGTCATATTTCCCACACTGGAGGAGGTGCAAGGCAATGTGGGCAGTAAAAAGGTTCAGAGGGTGTCTGATTGTTTACATCTTCATGTGACGGTTCCCACACGATGCCAGCAACAGTCATGACTCCTGCCTGCTCCAGAGGTCCACACTCCCCACAGTGTTTGCTTGTTTTATAATCTCTCACAGTTTCAATGACTTCCTCTCTGGCAAGAGATATTTCCTGTCAGTTCCCCAGTGGGAAACCAGAAAGCCCATAAACTAAATTCCTTCTGTTGTGAACAGAGTGGACCAGAGTGCCGGCAGGCCGCCTCTACAACTCTCCCACCATCCCATCTCCCAACAGTAGCTATTAATAGCAGACAGCAAGCTGACCTGGGAGAAAGGAGTAAATCCGAACTACAGCCCTAACAACTACGTCATCAACTGGGAAATCTGTCTTTCTGAAGCATGTGCTGGGGCCTGGGAAAGTAGCAGGTTCTGCCCTTTGACCCTGAAGAATTATGCCCGTGCCCACACATGCTCTGTTATGCTGATAGTGAGCAAACATACCTGGAAGGCAAGCACACTCGTAGGAATGGTCGCTGGTCTGTCGACAGGTTCCCCCATTAAGGCACTGAGATGGGGCACAGGGGAGAGTGGACACCTCACACGTGCGCCCACTGTATCCAGGTTGGCACTGGCAGCGGAAGGACCCATGATTATTAATGCAGAGACCACCATTAAGGCACACGCCAGGCTTGCGGCACTCATCAATGTCATTACGGCAGTTCTTTCCCTGGAAGCCAGGTGGGCAGGAACAGTTGTAGTGGTTATTCCAATTGGCACAACGTGCTCCATTGGCACATGGGCTTGTGGCACAGGCATCAATGAGGGAGCAGTCTTGGCCTAGGGATTGAAAGTGAATAGTATTAAATCAATGTCAGAACTTTCTTCCTTTCAGATCTGATCTTTTAATGATTGTGAAATAGGTACCTCTGAATCCTCTCTGGCATACACAGGTATACTGGGGGACTCCATTGACCACTTGGCTCTTGCAAGCTGCTCCGTTCAGACAAGGGGATCGATGACAGGGATCCAGTTGCTGACAAAGGGGGCCAATGAATCCAGGGCGACATCTGCAGAAGAAATGTGTGCAAAGGCACACACAGACAAATTAGGATGTCTTTAGGTCCAAACAGTTAGCGGTACCAAATTTAAGACAGAGCTGTGACAAACCAGAACAGCCCTTTCCCATCATGTTTGTGATTTGCAGTCAGGGCCCAATGACACTTTGGCAAGGCCCCCCTGCCTTACTCATACCTTGGCATGAGAAATACTTTTGGGCCCTGGACTGAATTTGTCCTTACACAATTTACCCCACAAGCATTAATCATGCAATACACTGTTTATAGAATGAGGCACACACACGCACACACTCTAAAAAGCAGATTTCGGATATAAAGATGGATGGAAGTCATTTCTGTTTGTCCTACTGAAATCACAAAAAAAACACACTCGGTTATTTCCAAATAAAAAGCCAAACTTAATCCATGTCAGCTAACATTCCTAGACTGTTTCAGTTTTTCCACACCTCAGCTCTTGTTTCTCTTCTCATATATGAGAAAGAACACACCCAAAACCAGCAGTCTGGAAAAATTAAAAACCGCCAACAAATACTGACATGAGAAAAGTGAGGAGTACACACAGCACACATCAACCAAATGGGAGAAGCAGCTGTGGAGCTGAAACATAAAAAACGCATCCGTCTCCTTCCTAGTCGATGTACATTGTACACAGCTGGTTGTCATGATGGAAAACTTAGTATACAGATGCACATTTTTGTTGTTGTTGTTTTTTTTGGTTTTACGTCTTACCTACAAGCAGAAGAATTTTTAAAGTGCTTATCATAGCTGCACATAATTAATTGAGAATGAATAGCAGAGTACAAAAAACACAATGTACCTTGAGCATAGCCAAAACATAGGTGACCTATACACAACACCTGAATGCAAAATACTGTGAAACTCTTATGCTTACACAGATCTAACCTGCTTCATTATGACATAAATATATACAGATCTCTTATCAGAGTTTTCACTAAGTTTGAACTCACCAAAGGAGTCCAGTATGAACTGGTAACTTTACACCCACAATGGAGAAAAGCCCCCGCTTCAAACAGGCTGTTTGATGCTGATGACAGGGCGGTGATGACTGGGTTTGGCCTGCCCTTGGGCACTGTCTTTCTCATTGGAGAGGAACCCCAGGGCAGTATTAGTAAGAGGCTTTTGATCTCTGTTTTATTTCACATTTTTAAGGGAACAACACTGGCAATACTTCATTCCTTTTTTTTACCATGTTTTTGGATATTATTAGTGCTTTTGCTAACTGTTCTGCTATGAATAAAGAAAAAAGGGTCGGGTGATAACTTAAATGGCTAGTAAAATATTTAAACATTATTTTTTTACATAGTTGTAAAATCATTGAAGTCTTAAATTGTCTTTTAATGTTCAGTATATGTTGGTGTCCTCCATGCAGCAGGGGAAAAAGTTTATAAATTTTGACAGTGGTGTGAAATCTGAACTAGATAAACCAAAAACCAAAACATAAATATTAAAACCAAAAAATGTCCAATGCCTAGCCTTTGTCTAAATTTGAAAAGACAACAGTGAAATGGAGAAGCCACAGGGCCAAAAAGGAAAGAGCCAGTCACAAAGGGACAAAATTGTGTTTGAAGACGGTAAAAGGCACATAAACAGTAAACTATCTTCAATCTCACAGTGAATCTACAACTTGGTCACAAAGTCAGAGTGAATCAGCACTGTAAAAGAAGAGTTTGCACAGTTTTTACAGCTATACTACATCCTCTTAAAGCCCCCGAACGGTAGCTTTGCTTTTCCCCCGCACAACCTCCCCCTCCACTCAAGCGCTGAGAGGTCAGATGTCAGAGGTCCCCCGTCTAATTGTGATGATAATGTCACTCAGGCTGCAGGGAGTTGGGTGGGGCCGCTCTGCAGGAGGGAATGTCTTTGGAAGGTAGAATTTGTTCAGAGTACAGCGAAAAAGAGAATTGAGAGCTCTTGTCCATAAATACTGTCATGTCATATTTCCTGTAATCCCTCGTCCCATGCTCTAAAAACACTACACTCACTCAGAGAGCACGTTCTGAGAGTTACCCTGGCAACCTCACAGATGAACAAGCAAGCCTAACACCCAACCAATCACCCTTCCCCAACCCCCACCCTTGGTCCCCATGGCTATTTGTCATGGCTTGGCTGGGTTTATTTAGAGGCAAATTAACTATGTCTGGAATCTAGGGTGCCACTAAAAAATTAAACACTAATGTGGCACACAGACCGCCGTGAAAAGACACACAGAGAGAAAGTTGCTTATAGAGCTGAAAACAACACACATGCTGGCAGTGAAATCCTTATTGGACAACTCTGCTGTGGGCATTTGATAGGCGTTGAAAGCCAGACAGCCTCAGTCCAAACACAGAGTTGTATTTCAGTAATGATTGTTACCTTCTGTGGATTTGGAGTATAGCTATTAATGTCTTTTACAAAGTATTGTTTGGCAGAGTGAATGCGTATATGCATTAAAGGGGCCCAAACATTTAGCATTACATGAAGTTGAGAAGAGTGGGAACAAAGTGCAGTTCTTTGTGTGTCTTTTTTGTTTGTATAAATGTGAGCATGTGCATGTTGGTGACTTAGAATGACGCAAGTATGTCTGATAATTCGTCCTTCCTTATAAATGCACCCTGAACTAAGCAGCCCAAACACATTCTTTTGTCTAGACCTGACCCATGGCCAAATTGCAACTCCCATAACACGCAAAATGTGAGTGCTATCAGAGCAGACAAGTGAGAGACTTGCATATTTGTCTTTGTCAAGCCAAGAGTTTCCTTATCAGGCTCTTTACAACCTTGTGGATTCTGCTGTTTGTGAAAAAAAAAAAAAGCATAGCAGGAACTGTGCCGTCATTGGGCCCAGCCTTTTTAGTGAAGGACGTGAAGGGCAGGTGCAGTCTGCTGTTGTGCAATGGGCCCCTGAGTCATATTTAGTGAGTGCTGACTTTTGACCCTGGAGGAAGAGGGTGCAGCAGATGAGGAGGAGGTCTTTGAGTGCAGCGGAGGGATGGCAAAAGAGGGTAATCTCTTTGTGTCAACACATATGACGACTTCTGCCAGCTGCAGCCTCTGCACCATGCATCTGTTCACATCTGTCAGTGCCCCTTCTGGATGTCCGGCAAACCTCTTCTTCTGACGGACTTTAAGCCCAAACAACTGTGCTATTCCTCCTTTGGGACAAACCCAGTAACCAACACATGCACTCACACGTTCAAGCCATTTCACAGCACTCAAGACATGTGATCATACTTCACAAACACATGCACTTAAAGTTCCTTTTTTACTTAAAAGATCAGTACAAAAAAGGCACCACTGATACAACGTAAAAGCATGCAGCGGACACGCCAAGCCAAAACACACATGAAATAGAAACTTACGACCAGTCTCAGCCTCTGAGGAGGGAGAGTATTGTGAATGCATGAAAGACAAGATCCAGAGAGAAAATTATAAAGAAGCAAAACAGAGAAAGAAGTCAATACACATTTTCAAGGAAAAAAAAGAAAGAAAAGGTCTTTTATTATCTAAAATGTTACTCTACTTCTGCGCTGCTGTGATTCTCCATTTTTCAGCAACAGGTCTGAGGATCCTTTGCCCAAAACCATTTGCTTTAAGTGGCTTCTGTCACCTGTACTTTTGTAACACAACTCCAGTTTTCCTGCTTTCTGGGTCACTGAAGCAGGGTAACCTGAGCTCATCCTTTCCCACACAATAGCAGCTACTCTGCCAGAGGTCAAAGGGTGGCTCACCTGTGAACAAAGAGGCTGTAATCTCTGACACGGTTCATACACGCAGTCATGCTCCACAGAGCAACACATATTAAGGGGTTCCTCCTATCGCAGAGGGAATCTCCTGAGACAAATGGCGAGGAAGAGCAACAATATCGAGAAAACAATGATTTGACTTGGGGCGAGATTTTAAGTTCTATGTTGCATGACAAGAACAAATAAAAGATTTATGAAATCCTTTGAACCTGGGGTTATGAGAAAGAAATTAGTCTGTGGGAAACGTCTTACAACACTGCCCCTTCCTCTCCACTCCTCCTTCCAAAAGCAAGCAGGCATCAGCTCTACTCCTTTATGTGAGTCCATACTGACACCATACTGCCAACCGGAGCCCATCCACATCCCCCTCCTTCAAACAGCCTCCTCTGCTCTGCTCTCCTCAGCTTGGCTCTCCCTTTCTCAGCAAAGAGCCAGATTGGGGGTTGGGGAGCGTTTTGTGGCCCAAATAAAAGAGCTAAAGTAGTCAGAACTCCTTTGTATGAAAGTGTTGGGGGGGAGCAGTGACCCAAACAGCTAGTCTTTCAGGCCTAGGCTTACACGGACGAACAGGCCTGGGCTGTAGCCTGGCAACAGTAACCCATGGTGAGGGAGAGCTAGACTGGGAAAAAAAGGGGTGTTGGGGGACAGGGTTTCATAAGGACAGTTGCTCTTTGGGGGACTGAGCTGTCTGTATCTGCAGGTAGAACTAAGTGTCTTGTCCAGTTCAGTCTGGTTCTGATGGAGTCAGATCATGGGTGAAGTTTCAGGTCCAAAATATGCTGCGGCTAGTAGAGGTACCAAGACAAAGAATGAGGTGTTGAAATGGAGACCCCCCCAGCATGAACCTCAGATGTGAATAAAAGAAGATTTAACTTTCTCTTAAGGAAAACAGCATAACAACTGAGAGGAAAACTCACAGGACTGTCCTTGCATTCTTCTCACCTACAATGCTTAGATTTATATCCTTTGACAACATAAATCAAGAATTTAGAGGGATACGCCAAGAGAAAGAAAAGACTCTTGTTGTGAAGCAGCTGCTTTAAAAACAGCTGAAGTTTTACCACTTTTAGATCAAACCAACAATGTAAATTTGCTCCAAGTCTCAACAGAAATGTGGCAGAATACTGCTTGACATTTTTTAAATAGCAACACATTTGCCCATAACCGCATTGCATGAATCCCAAGACGGGGTCTTTCAAAGAATTCTCCACTGAACTTCACCACAAAAACCCCACCCAACCACCTAAACTGAAACAGATTCCCTTTCACTTTGAAACTGGAATTAAAAAGACGTCATACTTAGTATAATATGTCAGATCAAATGCAATGGCTTTGTCCGTGGCATTGTCTCAAGTTTGCCTTAATTATACAAACAATATGTTTCAGATCTTCAGCCTGTGTCGGTATTTATTAGTCAGACTGTTTGCACAGAACCATTCAGTCAGTCTAAAATAAACAACATCTGATGAAGAAACTTGATATTAACAGAAACTGTTCTCGATTGGCCGAGACTTTCCTTACTTGTACATCCTGAAAACCCTAAGTTAATGAAATTGGTTAAAACAAGATGAGCTCAGTCAAACAGGAAGAAGTTTGTCTATCATCTCAACTCAGTAAAAGAGGTGTTAAGGAAAACTAAAATGAAAAGGTTTTAGATTTTTATTTGGTGTTCTTGTTTAATGCTGCATGGGCCAGATGTCTATGGAAAGTGTGCCGAGTGGAAAAGTGAATGTCTTTTCCTGAATCATTTAATTATGGACCCATCCCTTCCTCTTCCAAAAGAGAGGAAGAGACAAGGGAAACTTAGCTGGCAGACCTGATTTATTACAATCCTGCCTCAAAGTCTCTTCAGAAGTCATCATGTTAGAATAAGAACAACTTTCAGGGGATGAGACATCACAGACAAGCTAATCCCTACATAAGCACCGGGTTCAGAAAGACACTGGCCTCAAGAGGGATATCAATACACAACCCCCATGGTAATTTTCTGGCTTTGGGGTCTTTTTTTTTTTTTTTGAGTCTAACATAAAGTCGTAGACAAAAACAGCATAACAATTACAGCCACATGATGTCAATGGAGTATAAAACAAAATGAGGAGAAAATTGGGGAAATTGGGGAACGTGGAGGCAAGGGCAGGCTGAGTAAGCTTTTTAAGCTTCTCCGATAAGACAGGATGTGCGTAGCAGCAAGGTCAGAAGGCACCACTTCCTGCAATGGAGCCTGGGAACCATAGCTCCCAGTTTCCACTCATGACCCACAAAGACGAAGGGACAACAAACCCAAACTACCCCCTATGATGATGATGATGCAAGCTATGGGTCAGATAGTGTCCACCCTCTCATGGATTTCTTTCATCGAGTCATTTTAAAGTAACTTGTCTGCAATAGATCAGTAATGACGTAGCAAAGGGTTAAGCTGCCTGTCAGGAGAGCATGAGTGATAAGGCCCGTATGAGGCCTCACAAAATTGCAAAGTAACTAATTGCAAATCAAACAAGTCATTCCTGGCATCCCATTTTCAATGAGACACGGCTGACAGTGTTGTTAAAGGCATTCCTAAGGGGGCTACCAGGGTGAATGGATGGGAGGTGCGGACAATAACCTGAAAGCACCAGAGGGACAGGAGGAATCTTACTAAGCATTCCTCTCTAATCCACCATAAAGATGCCAAAGAAAACACTAGCCCTGAGGTGCTCTGAACTAAGACAACAATATAATCTGTCTCTTTGCTATGGTCTGCCAGTAAATATGTGCACTGGCATATTTCCAGTCCTTTGTGAAGTGTTTTCTGACAAAATGCAGTTTTCATTTGATTTTGTCTATTTATTTCATTGGTGCTGCATTTCCCATTTCAAAAGTTTGGTTTGGACGAGTGAATTCTTACATTTAGGGATTAAAAAACTTACTTTTTGTACTAAAATACTTTGAAATCTTGCTGTTTTCTAAAACTTTCACTCAGTCTGCAGACACAAAGAGATTAAAACAATAAACCTTCATGGATCTTCACTCGCCAGTCTGCCGTGTTCAATTTTGTCCCTTTCCTTCATGTTTTTAAGAGACGAGGAGCTGCAAAACATTCATGATTTAGTGGTAGATCCAGCGCAAAGTATTTATTAAATTTCCCCCCTTTTGGCATTAAACAGCAAAGTATTCCAGTTTTGATTTCTGTTCAGCTTAAAGGATCTCAGAGGAAGGGGTCGGTCATAATCTAGGATCTACCACTGTGTTGAGAGACAGAGACTGAGGATGAGCTGCCAGAGCTGACACGACACGCAGTGAGGGAAAGACTGGACCTGTTTGACGCTGCAGTGAGAGAAGCAACATGTGCTAGAGGGACTGTGAGCAGCTACCAGCTTCATTCCTCCACAAGCTTGTCTCTCACAGTATGGGGGCGGCTGACTGCTCAATGGCAGCACCTGGCCCTATGCTTTCCCCTTTGTCAAGATCTGACTTCACTGGATTACCATCACAACATCCACCAGCTGTCCTCTACGCAGCCCCCCTCCCCACTTTCCAGCCTCCGTACCCGCTCCCAACCCCCAGTCCGATCCCTCCAGCTGGATCTTCTCTGAATGACATCCTCTCAATCTGCCTAATTATCTCTCCTCCAGCGACGCCACTGTGGCCCTCTCTCGGCAGCCCTCTGTTAACAGGGTGGAGTTGTGGGGCCAAAGACTCTTCAGCTGGACTTCCTGACTGCTCACCTAAAAAGCCCCTTTCCCTGAGACACGATCCAGCCTTCACTGTCAAGTTCAACACTCTAGTCAGCAGAGTTTTAACCTTTCTTTACACTCCAGTATGTGCAACTAATATTGGTTTGGTATAAGTCACTCCAGTTACATGACATGTCTGTTTGATTTAAACCAAAAGCATGGTACGGAACATTTTCATGGCAGCAGAAATCACCATTATTGAATTCATTTTAGCTACTGTGCCTCATATTTATGACATTTGGCTTGAATCACATCCACTCAAAACAGAAAACTGGTTCAAGGTGTAAACTACACTTCTTTTCCCAGACAAGACTCCTGCAGCTGTAGTCACACCAAGTTATCTCAGATTTTGTTGAGGTCACTTCAGTGTTGGCAGAGTTGAAATCAGCTTATGTGAGTGCTAAGATACTGTTTTGTTCAGGTTGTTAAGCGTATGTGAGCGGCACATACTTCTATAAGTCCCAATATTTGAGATTTCTTACACGTCAAAGCTATACTGTGGTTACAAAGCTGTGTTTGCCAACATGATAGAGGATATACTGGTATTTGGGACAGTAACAATAGTAGCTGCCATAGCTGCCACAGTCTTAATGTTACTTGAGAAGGTCTTTGCTGGAAGAGAAAATGAAATAACACTGTGGTTGGACAGGCAGGAATAGAGGAACATTCTTCACACAGAACAATGTGTGTATTTCAGTGGAACAGTGGTCATTTCAAGCAAGGTTGTTTTCTACTGGTTCTCCAAATTCCTTTCAAATGCCAAAACATGTATCTGTATCTGCATTTTGTCCCAGTCTCTCAACTCTGTATTGGCCTCGCATTGCTGTGGCCTTTCTTCTTTCCCTCTCCACAGCCCGTTCTGGTGGTGCCAGGTTACAGGCAGGTATCTGGTAGAAGAAAGGATCTTTTCTACTGTTTTGGATCTCCTGTTTCTGTACGATCCCAGGGGAAGGGGTGGGGAGGCTCCACCACTCACCTCTGTCTACGACTGATCTGACCACTCTCATGTGGCCACGCTCCGCTTCACTGCTTTGCCCTGCTATGGGACTCTTTCTACACTGTGTGGTATGACATTTGATGTCCCCTTCCATTAGCAGGCCTTTCTCTCTGCACTTTAACTGCTTCCTTTTCTTGGCACTAGACCAGATAACACGTGCCCAACCTTTACACCCCTAACACATGTCCACATACATGTACACAACACAAAGGAGCACAAAAGGCGAATTAACAAGGTTTCTTAGTATGGCACAGCTACACTGATGTGATGACAACAGATAACCAGGCTGAGTTCTGAGGGTTTTGTGTTAGTGTTCACTGCTATCAGACAAGTACGGTTTTTGTGTGGGATGAAAATAAATGATTTGCTTGGCAGAAAAAAATGGATATGCTGAAAAAAATCTGGTTGCCAGAATTATACATTTACTAGCTCCATGGCTTAAGCTAATGATTGAAAAAATGTGGGCGGTAGTTACTTGTCCAACATGCAGCATAGTTACACATTTGCTAATATGCAACTGCTACTATAACTCCAGAGAACAATGCTATTACTTTTACGTGAAATATAAAAAAATCACAGACATGCATTGCTACTGAAAGGTCATTCATAGTGTTGGCCCAGCTTTGACCCATGCAGCATTGTAAACTGCAAACAACTCCAATAAAATAATAAATTCCCAGTTTTGGAGGGAAGCAGCTGGCAACCAGAGTCTTTTTGTTCCACGAATGACTGTATCTCCTCCAGCTGAAACACTAAGGCATGTCTCCCTTAGCTGAAGGGTTTTTAAAAGGACAAATGACCCCAGGGCAAGACACTGTAGGCTATTTGAGTTGACCATTGTAATGGGAGCCCACACAAACCCCCCGCCAAGATTTGAAAAACAAAAGCCTCATCACTGTCAGAAGATTCGAGACCTCAAACGTGCCCAGGGCAGACAGGAAATGAAGACAATTCATCAAAAAAAGAAGAAGCCTTTACATCAACTTCTGTCACTTTACAAAAAAAGGAATAACAACCGTGAAACAGTGAAGTACTGATGCAATGTGCAGCGAGATGCAGTGATTAATGTCTGACAAAGCTCTTTAACAGGTGCAAGAGATGATGTAGCAGCCAAACAAGTTGTGGCTCGTTGATTCTCATCTGCACAAGCCTGAGTCAATTTCTCCTGTCTTTCAACACTTTGCAGTGAGTATTGTAAATTGCAAGTCAACAAGATACAAAGAGAGTGTGTCATTTCAGGTAATATCTATGCAACAGAGTGGAAATCTATTTTCCCCTGAACCAATATATTGCCTGTATGATTTAATTAACAAACCTCTTAACTAAATTTCACATGTACATGTGTTTTTGGTTGAATGCTCTCACTGAGGCAGGACAAAGCTCTTGCTGAAAGGAAACTCAGGTACATCTTTCAATGAGTTAAACTTACATGCATCGAGATGGTGAGTCTAAGCATGTCCCTCCATTTTCACAAGGTCTGTATTTATCCAAGCAACGGAATCCTGTGGAAATGGGGAAAACAGTTAGAAACCAAAACAACTGAAAAACTCCTTAGAAATCTCAGTAATTCTCTTCCTGTTTGGGTCTTTATCACTGTGCTCTCAGCAGAAAATCATGACCACATTAAACAAAAGTAAACTCATTCAGGCATGTCTCTCAGGACTGCAGCCCTTTGCCACTTGTAGCCCAAAGACACACCCGCATGATTTGCTGTTGCTCTTCATTTCTCAGCTTCCTTGACAGATAAACCTACCTGTTGACAAACTATGTTTATATCTGCTGGGAAGAAAACACTCTTCCTGATACTAATGTAAGCTATAGTGGGCCATTTGAGGGGCATTGCTTAACGTCTCTCAGGGAAGAGTATTCAGTTGTTTAAAGGTCTTTGTTTGGAAGGGGAGGGGGATTACCTCGGCCCATCACTCTCTACTTAAACCCTTACATGTTAACTCTTAACTCCACACACAATGTTTACATATAAGAGAGAATTTATGTTAAAAAATCACTGCAAAAAGGCTATGTTCCTTAAACAAAGTTTGAAGGATGTGTGGATGTTACATGCGCTCCTGCAGCACTTGGAGTTAACTGTCTGCAGCCATGTCTCCAACAAAAGAAAACCGACTATTGTAGAAAGATCAGCTATTAAACATACAGTTTCTTCACAGAGCAGAAAGAGCTTGATATCTTCACGAAAACTTATCTGTGCGTGTGGTTTTGCCATGTGATTTCTGAAAAAAGGTCTCTGGTAGTTAAGGTTTCATTTTATCATTACAGCTTATCTTAAATGCTCCAGTAATTACTTCAGAAAAGTAAATAGATAACATGTCTTCTCTCACTTAAATAAATGAAAACAGGAGTAAAACACAAATGATTAAAATAAATCACTGTTCATCAGTAGACTGGAGTCTAATATCCCCATATTAAGGCTATTGGGAACCGTTCGTCGGATGCGCTGTCCAGACATGTCCAGCTTCACAAGGACTCAAAAGTTTGCAAAAAAGCATTTAACAAAATTTACTGACTGATCTTACCTTCGCAGATGTTCATAAACAATAAAAACGACAAAATAATCCATGGAATATTCCCTTCCATTTCGGTGGAAAAGTTTCCAGTGTTTCAAGTTGGATTTTTTAGTGAAAATACATCCTTTTAAAGTTCACATAAAAATAAAGGCTCCAAAATCGATGAGGATATTTCATAAAGTCAGCCGGAAGATGTTGCGTTATTCCCAATCCCGTAAAACCCTCCGCAGCTCGGCCACGGCTGCTGTGATTCTTGGTTAACCTCCTCAAACTTTTGAAAAAGTTTTCCTCCTTCCCGATCTGTCCCTGCGTCTGCTCGAAACTCCGCCTCCATCTCTCTCTCTCTCTCTCTCTCTCTCTCTCTCTCTCTCTAGCCCGTTCCCAGCATTGAGCTCCTCTGGGACTTTTACGCACCGACACCAAATCCCACAGCACAAACACACACTGCAACACACTCACACATATACACACATTTACGCACACTCACACAACAAAACTGAATAAGCCTAGTTAAATTTATTTCACTCACTGAGAACTGAAAGGTTGCAGGAAAAACGAGAGCAGTTCCAGCTAAGTTTGGGGGCAAACATACCCAAGAGAAGTTAGTAATAGAATGCAAAAAACTCTCTTGCTCTGCTTTGTTCTTGAAAAGCACTGAAGCAGGATCTGATTTCTGAGCCCTGAGTTTTAAACTTAGGAACATTAGTTATACAGAAATACAAAAATCACTCTCACTGATCCCACAGTGGGGAAGTTGAAAATTGAAAGAGGAAGATAGAGGAATCCACAACATTAGACCTTAAACTGAAATGCAGAGAGTAATGGACCTACTGAATGAACAGTTGCATCAAAAGTTGCATTTTTTTTTTGACATATTTTTATTACATTTCTCCAGAATCAAAAAACAAACAAAAAAAAAACACACACACAAACAAACAAACAAACAAAAAAAAAAACATACATTTGGCTCACACACACACATTATGTTCAAATTTATACAGGCGAGAGATTCAGGAGTCATCTTATACATATAAAATAGGTAAGTAAAATAAAAGTAAAATAAAGCAAGAACATTCAATAAATAAGACATCATTCTTTAAGGCAGCATGTTCAAAGCTATGATAGCAACCCTCTCGTGAGAATGGTAGAGATATTTAAACCAACATATGACAGAAAGGGTTCCCATGTTTTTACGAAACACGTCATCTTCGCTGTGTAGTTTACACGTCGGGTAGTCCACTGCAACATACTCAAGAGTCATCCTTTGCCACTGAGCCTTGGATGGGACTATACCCACAATCCAGTTTAAAAGAATACACTTCCTAGCGTTGCATGTTTTTGATATTATTGCACATAGTTTGTTGCACATAAATGGTACCAGTGAGTTTATATTGTTCTTGAATGTGATTTAACTTGACTACAGTGACCATGTTATTAAAAAAACAAAAAAACAATATAATTATAGAAAAGCAGCCTCCGTGTTATGGCGGTTGACTGGAATGTGTACAGTCCTGTATGTGTACGTATGTTTACGGTTAATGTATTGTAGATAAGAAGGTGAATTGTTTACATGATTGCAGAGAGTGCAGCTAGTCCTGTTATCCTCACAGCCCATAGACTGAGTGCAGTCGTGCTCTCCCAGCACCTCCTCAACCAATGGCATTGGACTCATTTTCTGCAGCCGGCGTATAGTGCCTTAGTTGTTCTGTGGCACAGCGCGGAGCCGGTCGCTTACAGAGACAATGGCCTTGATTTGAATCATAAAAGGAGTCCGGCATTATGACACAGTTTCTCTCTGCAGGGGAGGGCAGCACACTAATATGCAAGAACACTACCCCTGCCACACCGTCTCCCCCTCTCCATCACAATATTCCTGCTCCTGGCCTTGAATAAATTACAAGCATGGGTAGGGCCATGAATGTAGGCGGCTGGTTTGGAGCGAGGTTCGTTAGTGTGTGTGACGTCATCTATAGGGGTCAGTGAAAAGAGCTTGTTAGGCCTCACAGACACCTGCTTGATTTGGCACCCACAGTGTGATGAAAGTTGGGTAGTGTAAAGTTCTCAATAGCTGGATTCAGTGATTTGTGCACAATGACATGATTACTGAGTTGTATATTCCCCATTAGTGCTTAGTTATGACTCACAATGACTGAAAAAAACAACCCCAATATGCAAACAGCTGCAAGTAAAAACAGGAAAGAGACGAGGAGGACTGCGTAATAAAGTCTGTGTTTACTACGAGTGAGTGCGATAAACTTTTTTCCTCTTTTGTGTTTTCGTCTGGCTGTGAAATATGTCTTTCACCCTGTGGGGATGTAGTAGGTGCGCTCCCAGCTCATTTTGGCAGGTGTAGCCAGTATTTTGACTGGCTTCCAGTTGGACAAGCTCCAAGGGGAGAGATGTCTCTCTGCGTTCAGGGGACCGACAGTTGTGTTTACTGTATGTTGCTATCTTGGCACTCAAAGTCGATGAACGCCAACGCTCCTACTTTTGCAAAACAGACATAAAACTAAGGGCTTCATATCTTACAATATTCACCCTGCAAAAAAAATCCCAAACTAATGAATTACTCGCATTTTGCAACTAAACTGCAAGAAGAAATGTCCCATGAAGTATGTCTTTTTTTGTTAAGGGGCCTGAATTCTAAATTTAAAGAAACAGAAACTCATAAATCAAATAAAAAGGAATCAAAGTTTTGATGGTAGTGCTTTCAAGAGCCTTTAACTTCTATCTTCAGTTCCCATTCATCATCAGGCTTTAAAAAAATTCTGTTGAAAGGTCTGCAAGACGTCCAATTTTCTTAACCACATGCTGAAATGCTTTGTTTGAGAGGATTAAAATCTGCACCACTTGACTCCGGAAAATACACAGCCAATGAGAAAATTCCAGTTTGTCCTCTTACTCTCTTATCTCATTAAAGGAAGTGGCTGCTCCAGCAATTCCTTCTGGAAATATGACCTTACTGTGATTGTTTCAGAAATAAAGGAGACGAGTGAATTTAATCTTGAGTGAGCAGCAGCATTGTGGCGGCCTGTGGTTTCTTTGTGAGATGTATTCTGTGTTATACCTCTTAAAAAGTTATTATTTCTTTGTCATGGGTGCCACGCTATCTCCTCTGACACTCACTCTTTTCTCTCTGCATGCACGCACACACACAAACACACACACACACACACGTGCACAACAGAAGAAATAAGACAGTGTTGAGTTTGTTTGAAGGAAAGTGTGAGAGTGGAAGCTCTGGTGACAAAGTTCTCGCGCAGGGCTCAGGGGGAAACTCCAATCACACAAACAAAGATGTGACAGTCTGAGATTTATAACTCTGTTCTCAGTTGGAAAGAAAGCGGCGCTCCTCTTTGAACCGTTGTTTGCTTTGCTTTGCTCATACTTAGTAGATGTAAATCTGAAGAAATAGCAGGGCAGCATTTAATCAGGACATCTTAGTTAACACTTTCAAAGGAAACACTCCTTTTGTAGCACCACCTTTATGCTTTTGTGTTCCCAGCTGAACAAAGTGCTTGTTTTTTCCCCCCTTGTGCATTTGATACCTTTGAATAAAATACACTTTGGTGACACATATTGCTAACAAAAAGGTATTCATCCGGTTCTGCAGGTAAATGATACTACATATTTGCTATGACAAGAGGGAAAGCTGACCAAGGGACGTTACAGTAAGTCAAGACCACCCATGGGTGAGGGGGCAAAATGGTATCAGAGTCTTTCTAAACTCAGTCTTGCTCATACACCCAGACTGGGAAACATGTCCATACACCGCACGACCCATTTAGAACAACAAAACATAATATTCTCAAACAGTTTGAGTTGGCACGGTTTACTTGTTGATATAAAGCTAATGGTGGCTCTGGAGGTGGATATTCTAAAGTTTCCTACTTGTTCTGATACAGAGACTTCTTTAGCACAATAAATATTCAGTGTCGAGTGACGTTACCAGGAAAACATTCATCCAAAGTTTGATCAGGGAGCACTCTCATTTTATGCTCGACGGCCTCTCAGTGCTAGCACGCTCCCTGTGATAGGGGTGCTAACAGGCAGTGTTTGTGGACACAGTGGACGTGATGACTTTACCACCCAGCCCAGACTGATTTATGTGGGAAAAGCCCTAAGAGCACCCACAGAGAGTGTGGAGAGGATTAGAAACCCCTCTACAAAACTGGTCATGGCCAATCAGCAGTCAGGACCCCCTACGGACAGATGTCGAAGCCAATTGCAGCTCTGCGTTCAGCATGATGATCTCGATTGTCTACTTTATGGCTGCTTCATAATTGTATGATGTCTTTATCATGCAGGGTTTGTGGGCAAACACTTCAGCTTCAAGTGCGGTGAAGGGATTTTGAGGTCGGAAGAGATGGTAGGCACGCTTCTGACGTTGTCTCTGCTTGTCGCCAAGCATCCCCCATAAAACACAACACAGACGACCATATCTCTCAGTGATAAGATAACTTTTTCTTTGTTTCTGGGAAAGCCGGGGTTTTCAATGAGGGAAGAAAACCTCTGCTTTTCCCAGGATGCCACACTCTTGTTTCTTCAAACTCCTTCCCACACCTCCGCCAACCACAGTTTTTTCCAGAAAATACACTGAAAGGAAATGTCTGTGGCTTTGTGCTTATTTTAGCTCACCTACATTTACAAAAGACAATTAATACAGTAAAAAAACAATCTAATACCTTATCTGTCCCTACAGGGTTTTACCTCAGTGGTATTTCTGGTTCTTTTCCGTCTCATAAAAAGACATTATCCCCGCTAACACTGTTTTAACTAAGTCTCTAATTCATTCATTTGTCATCATACACACTAAAAAAATAACAAGAGCTTCTTCTGGCATTGTGTGTATGAAATCATTCTTCCTGTATCTCGTTTCACCGTGATTCTTTCCAAACACACCCACACATACACACAAGCACACACGCGCACTGACTTACAGACTGGGGCTTTTTGTCTAAAGTAAACACATGAGAATGATGGATCTTTCTTTGGATTGTGGGAAAAAGTGTTTGACTTTCACACAAGCTCTCTAAATGGCTTTTAAATCCAGAATGTGTACACTGCAGA